CTTTTCTTCGTACAATTTAATTCCTTATAACATGGAAACATTCGTACATAAAAATCCAACACATTGTACTGCTTCATATAGCCCAATAAATCTTTGGGCAGCACATTTTGAGTAAAATTTTAGAAAAACTCTTCTAAAAAGAATTCTTCTAAATTTTCAAAATCCCCGACCATCAATTTCGCAACTGCCAACAATCCAATGGCGCCGTCGTGTGGTAGGCGTTATCTTCTCCTACTTCAATTGGGGCAGTACTGTTCTGGGGGCTTTCTTGGCTTAAGCAAATCGACTTTTTGTCGGGCTTGCTGATCATACTCAAAGTTTAAGCATTTTTTGCATGTTTATGCAGTATGTACATTTTTAATGTCAAAATAAACTCTAGAGTCTTGGACAATCCTGAATTTAAAAACGGAGTATATCCATGCCACGTCGTCGTGTAATTGGTCGACGTAAAATTCTGCCAGATCCAAAGTTCGGATCAGAATTATTGCATCTCATACTGCACAATTATCTCACTGAACGGTTTTTCCGAATCTTTGAAGGCAATTCCCCTATCGATGATGATGATGATGATGATGATGATGAGGAGGAGGAGGAGCAGGATACTAGCGGGGTTTGTGCTCCCAAGGTACTGCAGCCTTCTGGTTTATTGTACCTTCCTAGTTCTCTAATTCAGTGCAATCGATTCTATCCTTCTTCTCAGAAGTATCAGGTAGTTGCTACAATTTCATCGCCTAGAGTTTTTCTGTATGCTAGGATATGAATCCATTGAGCTGTTGCTTCGCATTCCAAGATGATATGGGTGGCTGTTTCCTCCTCCTCATTACATAATATAGACATGGGATCATCGTTATATATGCCCATGTTGTGTAGATGTTTTCTCAGATGCCAGTGACCGCTTAATACCACTGCTCTGAGTTTAGCCCTCTCCAACTGTGGCAGTGAGTTTGCCAGTCATGGTGAGGGTTGTTTTAGCATAAGTTTACTATGTCTAGTGCCGCTAGAGTTTATCCATTTCTCTTTTTGTTTTGCTTGGATCCATTCTGTGATGGAGGATTCTGTATTAGTTTTTGTTATCACAAGAATAGGTTGGGGGGTCTTGCAGGCCTCTGGTCAGCCTGTCTGCTTTTTCGTTACCCAACATTTCTTTGTGCCCTGGCACCCAAGATATCATCAGTTGTTGTTTCCCCAGGTTTTTGAGGTTTTGGATGCATTGCATTTTGGATGGACTGACTAGTTTTGATTGATTTTTTTACTTGCTAATGCTTTAATAGCTGCTTGGCTATCCGATCGAATTATGGTTGTGTGCACGAATTGTTTGGATCCTATCCAATTTGGTTGGTTTTTGGAGCCTAAATGAGCTTTTCCTTAGACTCCTTGTATAAATGTTTCCAGTGGAGGTAGGTTTAGCAGAGTTTCTATTGCACCTGTATGGGGGTTGTTCTCATAACCTGTGATATGTAGGTTTACTAATCTTTGTATATTGCCTAGTGATTGGGTAGCTATTTTTTTGCTGAGCTTTGGTCCACCAGATTACTGATCCATAGGTTATTTTGGGTCTTATTACTGCCATGTATAACCAATGGGCCATTTTTGGTTTTTATTCCCCAAGATTTGCCTTGGGTTCTTCTTGTGGTCATTAGCGATATTTTACTTTTTACTTTGCTATGGTATGCTGCAGGTGAGGGTTCTAGGTTAACTTTTGATCAAAGATTATTGCTCGTTATTTAACCTCATTTTTTAACTGCAGCATTTCATTATAGAAATGTAGGCCTTGTATTTCTACGTTTCTTTTCTTGGTGAAAGCAATTAGGGTAGGTTTTGAGGGTTTGCCCACATTGTGAAGGTCCATTGCTCCATCATTATAGTGCTTTTTGGGTGAGCTCTTTTAATGTTGAGTCAAATTGCCCCCTGACTAATATGACAATGACATCTGCATAGCTTTAGACGTAGAGTCTGCTTTCATTTAGTTATTATTAGTTATCATTAGCATATGAGGTCTGAGTATGCACATCAGAGGTGAGAGTATTCCTCCTTGTGGACATCCTCTCACCACCTTCTGCTTTTTCATGGAAAATGGAGGTGTGCATTTTTCTACTTTTTAGCATTGATTCTATCCATCTGCAACAAGTTTTATAAGTTCCTAGCTGTTTGAGTGATGTAACCATTACTTCAAAAGGAGTATTATCAATTGCTCCTACAATGTCTAAGAAGGTTTCTAATGCTATTTCTTGGTTGTTCAGTAAATCCTATTTGTATCGTTATTTGGTGTAGTGCCGATTCACATGATTTTCCTTTCTGATAGGCATATTGGATATTTATGAAGGGGTTTTTCTTTTAGAGAGCTGCCCCTTACATGTTTTTCAACTAGCCTTTCAATTTTTTGAGTAGAAAGAATGTTAGACTGAATCTACATGATTTTGCATATGTGTCGTTTTTTCATGCAACCTTCAGAATAAAAACTACTTCTATAGTTCTCCATGTCCCATTGCCAGGTAGCTTCTGTATATTTTTACAAGTACAGGGATTAATGTTATTTTTCCCTTTTGTAGGAATACTGGGTATATGCTGTCTGTTCCTGGAGATTTGGATTGGCTGAAGTTGTCAAAGTCCCATTTAATATTTATTTAGAAACCATGAGATGCGGTCTGGTGTGATGTAGGTTTCAGAAAAACATTTTCTTTATTGTGCCAACGTTTCAATCTTTATTGAGATCATCTTCAGAGCTCAAAGTGTTTGCCTTCTGTGTAATTGTGCCATTCTTGCGGGTCGACAGTGCCACTAATCACCACACAGTCCCATTTAATTTTTTCATAGGTGATTATTGTTTAGGCTATTTGTCAATCTTCCTTCTGGCTTTGTGGCCTTTGACGGGTTCAGTTTGTCCCTTATGTCTAGGTTGGCAGTTTTTGATTCCGGAATGAGTGTACTTATCAAAATTTCTAATGTTTCCTTTCCAGTTTGTTTTCCATGATCCAGTTTTCCATCTAAATTTTTTAGAGTTCTGATGGGGTTTATAGAGTCTTTGCTAAGGATTTTGTGGAGTATACTTGCTTCAGTGATGTTTTCAACATCTCTGCAACATTTCAACCACGATTCTTGTTTTGCCTTTTTGATCTCCCTGTTATATTCTGTTATGGTTGATTCTGTTTTACTGTATTCTTCAGTATTTCTTTTTTTTTCCTGTTTGTTGTTGCAGGTGATTTGTGGACAGTTGAGTTTATTATAGCTTCTTGTATTTGTGAAGAATTCACTATTTCCATGGTCCACTTGACCAATTAATATATTACAATTAATTAAGGTTTTTAGTTGAGATAAAAAAGGCAAAAAGGAGGGAAAATGTAAAAGGTGCGGTTGAGATGGGAAGTTGGTGTCTGAGTGGATCGAGGTCATGTAGCTCAAGTGGTAGAGCAGCGGCGTATCAAGCCGAAGATCGTGGATTCGAATCCCGCTCGTGCCATTGACTTTTTTATCTCAACTTAAAACCTTAATTAATTGTAATTTGTGAAGAAGCTAGCTCAATATCTTAAGTGCTTTTGATGTTAGCCAGCCATTGTGGTGTATTTCTCGCTGTATTTCTCCCAGTTTGTGCTTCGGGAGTTTCGACCCGCATTACATGCTTTAACCACTTGTGTGATTTACATGTATATATGTCTGAGTTGATATCTCCCAGTGGGTAGTGGGTGTAATATCAATAACTTATTGTCTTCTGTTGGTTATAAATGTCAGTTCCAAGCCTTTATTAATAATAAGATCGTTAGTTGGAACAAATTATAAAAGCTTCTCATCTCTTTTGATGTTTGTTCTTTTCCAAACCACTGTGCAAGTTAGCATCAGTTCCAATGATTAACTAGAAGTTCTTTTGCCTGCAGTGTTGTACCAGGTCCTCAGTTTCCAAGGTGGTGGAGGCCTAGTTCAATCGTAAAGCATGTAGTTTAAGATGGTTTTTCCCTGGTGATCCACTTTATACATTATTAAAATTAATTATTTTATAATAATTAATATTAAAAAATAGCTTGTGTTTATTATTATTAAAATATAATTTGAAAAATTGTTTTATTATTTTAAGACTTTTTACATATATATTTTATCTTAACATTTTTATAACGTGATGATGGTTCATGCAGGATGACGATGGCCTAAGAAAATTGTGAGGTGGCACTTATTACCTACGGGGTAAATAAGCCTGAGTGCTGGGCGATAAGCGCCCCTCTTCAGTCAAAAGGGGAAGAAAGGGTTAAAACGGACTATGTCCTAAAATTTAAGACAAGACCCTTCCCTTTTTATATACAAGAGTTTATTAATAAAGAATCTTTTACAACACTTATGTACACCTGTCCCTTACCAACACCATTCGTTCGTAAAATTTCCCAACACCAACCAAAAGAAATAATAAGGCTTTGCTTGAGCTTACTGGCTCCTTATAAATTAAAGTTTTTTCCAATTAGCCGGGAGACCCGATCTGTTCGCCGTATCGCATACACCTGGCTCTTATCGTCCCTTTTCCTACGTCCCCTACCACGACGTCACTGTGGGGGGGGGGCCCAATCCTGTATGTGTCGCTGCTGATGTGACAAACTCCAAGAACCAGAGTATTCGTTAGGACTAAACAAACTTCGATTAAGGTATATTAATGGAAATTTAGTTCAAATTGTCTGAAAAGACCTTTATAAAAAATACTCCTTTTTTTAACAGGGATTTGCAACTATGCAGTATCAACCCTGGGTTTTGGTGTTTTTGAAAAAAAAAAAAAAAAAAAAAAAAAAAAGTAAATTTGGAAGAACTTCCAGTGATTAGTCGCTGTATCAATGCCTTAACCATTGCATTAAGGCCACTGGTGCCCCAAACTCTTTCCAAATTTAAAGTTAATTAAATAAAATATCTGATCAGTGAAAAACTTATCAAAACAGTTTTTCAAATCATGCATAATAAGAATCGTTTAGCTAATAATCAGTTAGATAAGTAAAGGTTTATTTGTTATTGTTTTTTATATAAGTGAAAAATAGATATTAATAAAAATTTATTCTAATATAAAATTATAACATTTTTTTTGTAAAATTCTTATGACTAAAATGGCAACAATACAAAATAGTGAAAAAATATATCAGTCCACATTACCATTACGTAATAAAATTGAACATACATGGATGGAATTGATTAATTGTTGATTGGACGGTATGTTTCCTTAGAATAATAATAATATTCATTTGCATATATAAATAATAATAAAACTTCTAATATTCTAAACATACTATATGAACACAAGCCAGTTATAAAGTAAAATAAACTTTAATATAAAAATACTTTATATTGTTTAAAACATAAAATGCAGTGCAAAAATAATTAATCTTTGTGCGATTTAATTTTTTCTTCTTCACATCTTTGATTAGTAATACTTCATGTATATCAGATCTAATGTTAACATAATAAAAGTATGAGAGATTTGTTATTTATTGTACTAGTATTAAGCATATGAGACTCTCTGTTCCAAAGCATCGCCTTCTTCGTCTTCCCAATCTCTCACTGGCCGTTGTAAGGCAGTGTGGCGCAGACGACACCAGCTGGCACCGAATCTTAGCATAAGCATTATAACTACGGCTATGAAAAGGGCCAGAACGGTCAACGGGGGCCAAAACACCTGCACTCCCATTTTTATTTTTTACAAATCACTCTCTCGCTTGTGAAGTTCTAAATATTCCTCTTGACCGTAGCCGGTGTGGTGTTCGGCCTCAGATGTGTCGTAGACTTGAGTCGGCTCGATCGCTTTCACCGTCTCCTCTAACTCAGTCAAATCAAGCGGTGGTTGGCGATACGGCGATTTAGTCCAAATTGGGAATATCCAACGGTTTCCTGGACAAAAGAGGATATTAATAATTTTTTTAAACAAAATTTGTAATTTCAAGATAAAAAAAGTCAACGTCACAGATGGGATTTGAACCCACAAACAGTACCCTGGAAGCTCTAGCCTTCTGAGCCACCCTGACTTTGATCCCAAGAGCATCCACTTTTCTATCTCAACAGATGGTTTTTATACAATTCAGGAGGTTAGAGCATCGAGGTACTGTTCTGAAGACTGTGAGTTCGAATCCCATCTGTGACATTGAGAGTTAAGATAAAAAATTAATGTCACGTGGGTTTGAACCTGTCTTTGGACCAATACCATGATACTCTAGCCTCCTGAGCCACCCTGACTAAGATCCCCCGAATTTGTGCAATTCAGTAGCTTCGAGCATCGAGGTACTGTTCTGAAGACTGTGGGTTCGAATCCCATCTGTGACATTGAGATTTAAGATAAAAAATTAATGTCACATGGGTTTGAACCTATGTCTTTGGACCAATACCATGATACTCTACTCTCTCGCCTCCTGAGCCACCATGACTAAGATCCCCGGCATTTGTGCAATTCAGGAGGTTAGAGCGTCAGAGTATGTTCCAAGACCATGGGTTCGAATCCCATCTGTGACATTGAGATTTGAAATAAACAAATTCAATGTCATAGATGGGATTTGAACCCACTGTCTTCAGAACAGTACTCTGATGCTCTAGCCTCCTGAGCCACCATGTCTAAAATCCCTGGCATTTGTGCAATTCAGGAGGCTAGAGCATCAGAGTATGTTCCAAAAACCATGGATTTGAATGCCATCTGTAACATTGAGTTTTTTTTTTTTTTTCTGACCTTACTTTATGCATTGGCCAAAGAAATAATTATATGAAACCCGATGAGGCGGAGACGACCAAAGGGGCCAGGAGGATTTGGCCTAAGCGGCCCAAGCCAATGCAGCGGGGACTGTAGGGCTTTATAAAAATCAAGCGTCCCGACAATGACCCCCCACTCACCCCTCGATCATAACCGCCTCACCCAACCTAGCCTAATCCTCCGATTTAAATTTCAATGCTACATGATACCAGAAAATCAAATATATGAGTATATATATCTATATCATTAGTACCAATTAATGTGTCCAAGTTGAAAGGCCGTTCGACACTTTTACACCCAACAATATTCCGTAATAAGTCAGCTCTCTGAACTTCGTACTCGTTGCAGATCAAAATTATGTGTTTGAGATCCTCAACCTCATCGCATGTAGCACAATTAGGCGTGGGTCGTAAATTTATTTTGTACAAATATGCTCCACATATACCGTGCCCTGTCCTAAGGCGAGATATAGTGGAGTAGAACGCTTTACTCTTACCCCCGACTGCAAACCAGGACTTTTGTATGTTGGAAAATATAGCTCGATAAAGTTTTCCAGCTTCCGGAGAATTGTACAAAACTTGCCATTTTTCTGAACATATTTTTTTAACGTGATTTTTAAGATCTCCTTTAGTAAAGCACATGTCAAGAGTAGCGCCACTTTCGGTAGCAGCCTTGGCCAGCTTATCCACTGTCTCGTTGTGGCAAACCCCCGAATGCCCTTTGACCCAGCATAACGTAATCTTTTTATTATATATTTGGAACAATTCCTGTAGTTTCTTAAGAACCTCGATAATGAGATATTCACATTTAGAGTTTAGACTGAAATTTTTAATTTTTTGAATGAGGCTTAGACTATCCGTAAAAATGCAGATTTTGTCTGACAAAATATCTGCGGCATATTCTAAAGCCTTGATTATAGCAACGATTTCGGCCGAATAAATAGAAAAATTTTTTGGGAGAGAGACTTGTTCATGATGCTTATTTAGGGGATCGAATAAAGCGCATCCTGTATTACCATCTATTTGGGAACCATCCGTAAAAATCAGTCGAAAATCAGGAAATAACCTAGTCACATCAGCTAAAAATTCCTTCTGCGCTTGTTGAGGAGGAAACTCGGAATAATCCCTGAGCGTGTAACAGTCGACTTCTCTTACAATTGTCTCGTATTCTAGGGTAAAAATAGGAGGTTTAATACTTTTGTATAGAGAGAATATAAGGGGAGTTAAAGAGAGAAAGGAAGAAACCAACAGAGGGGATTTCTTTTTTTGCCAAAACAGATTTGTGAGGTCTTTGACTACCAACTGATTGATTTTAGAAAATATAGGGCTAACTTCTGAATATAGCTTAATTGCAAAATTACCCGCCAACTTTTCTCTCCTGATCTCTAATGGAGGTTCACATACTTCTGCAGATAATGCTGAAATGGGTGTACTTGGTAAACAACCTAAAATTCTTCTAAGAAATTTATTGCGAACCGTATCCAATCGTTTCAGAGAGGTGTTAGAAGCCTGTGCGTACAAAATTGATCCAAAATCCAAAATAGCTCTAACAGTCGATCTATAAAACAACATACCTATATGTGGGTCCACTCCCCACTTTTTATTACTTATAGACCGCAAAATATTGTACAGCTTCTCACATTTCATTAACATATAAGAGATATGTGTATTCCACATTAATTTCCTATCAAGATGTAAACCCAAAAACTTTACCTGAGAAACTACAGGAAAGTTATACCCTCCTAGATTTTCACTACCACGGAGATCAATGTTCCTTTTCCTAGTAAAAGGGCATAAGAGAGATTTACCTTCCGAGATTGTGAGTACTCCAATGCTCTAGCCACCTAAGCTACTGTGACTTCAATCCCTGAAATATCAACTTTTCTATCTCAACATATCGCGTATTTATTCATTTTTTATTTTATTTATTTATTTTGATGTCCATACTGTACATCGTAAGTTCCATACAATACAATTATTCTACTTTGTGAATTGACGAGATTTAACTGAGTTCTTGAATATCATGCCAATTGTAGACGTGTACATACTTAATCAATTTCTGCTTATTTAACAGTTTCAGTTATACTAATTTTTGACCACAAGATTTGAGTTTAAAAAAAGTTAATGTCACAGATAGGATTCGAACCCATGGACTTTGGAACCATATTCCAATGCTCTAGCCTCTTGAATTACACAAATACCACGTGTTGAGCTAGAAATGTCGGTGCTCGGGGATTGAAGTCAGAATGGCTCAGGAGGCTAGTGTCAAGTGTCAAATCCGACATTGAATTTTTTAAATCTTAAATCTAATGTTCAAAAATTAGTATTTAAGAGGGGGAACTGAAACCAATAAATAAGCAAAATTCAAAAATTGAATATTGCATTTGTAATAGGGTGAATCATTGTGATTGTATTGTTGTAATTCCCTTAAGGCTTTATTGGTTTTTCAAATCCAATTAGATTTGATACCGCTTTAAACCGTAAACTGTATGAAATGAATGTGTAAAAAAATGTTCTCGTCTTGCCTTCAGTTTTGTCATTGAGTTTGGTTAAACATGATGGTAAAATTAATTAAGGTTTTTGTTGAGATAAAAAAGTGTCAGTGTCACAAGCGGAATTCGAACACAACCTCCGGCTTGATACGCCGCTACTCTACCACTTGAGCTATCATGACTTCAAGTTGTGGGTTCGAATCCAGCTCGTGGCACTGACTTTTTTATCTCAACAAAAACCTTAATTAATTGTAATATATTAATTGGTCAAGTGGACCACGAAATTAGTGAATTTAATGATGGTAAAATTTGAAATTTTGGTAATATACGCCATTATTGAAAATGTAAGTTTTACTCCATGGAAACAACCCATTTGGTGCACAATTTAAGAAGAGGGTGATCTCTGAATGGACAATACACAGACGGTTCCAGAAATTGGAAGCTGGTGACATCAGCCTCGAGAGGAAAGAGGGTTCTGGACAAAAATCGTCGTTTCACAAACTCTCTGAGGCAGACCCAACATTGGCAGATTGGAGTTTTCCAATCCATCATAAATTCATGGACTCCCAAATTTGTCAACATCTTTTGAAAAACCAATGACCTTCGGTTCATCAAAAGAATAGTTACTTGTGATGAAAAATGGATATTTAGGAAAAGCCCCAAGACCAAGAAACAACGGCTATACTACAATCAGCCCAAAAATCATCAAAAATATGTTTTTATCCAGCATTACGAGGATTAGTAAATAGAAATCGAGAAAATAGAGGTTTTGTTTCAACAAGATAACATCCAAACAATTGGATGTAATTGTGCTTCCCCTCACCCTGCTTACAGTCCAGACTTAGCACCTTCTGACTACCATCTGTTCCAGTCCATCTTCAAGGGAAAACTTTTGACTTTTTTAAACTTACCTTTTTTTAAACGTTTAACTTTTTAAGTTCAAAACCCAAAGAGTGTATTGTCAAGGAATCGAACATCTGACCTCAATATACACACAAACCATAGAACAACAGCATACACTTTGAGAATTAAAAAAAAAAAGATGTGTCAAAATAAAATTATTTTTTAAATTAGGAAGAAAAATGGTCATTTTTATGACTCACCCTTATTTCAAATTTGTAAATAACTAAAGAATCAAAAGTTTTTTTGTTTAAAAATAAAGAGTACTAAATTTTTTAACAGGTTGATAAAATATTATGCAAGGCGGAGGCCTGTTAATACAATTAAACCATTGTCCTTAATATTCTCATGGCCTTGGGAACGAGAAACGCTCCATGAGCAGTCCGGATAACCAATTACCTGTATTCGAATCCCTCCAGTAGTCCTTATGCTTCGAACACCAGCAAAAGAAAATGTTGAGGAGGAAAACGCCGAATCCGAATATCGTGCAGATTGTAATCGTTATGTAAAAAGCCGTGAAATCTCCAAATTCCCTGTGTGTCTTGTAAAGGGGGTTTTTCATAAAAGCGTTTCTGTCCTCATCGGAGAAGTCGCCAAAGGGTTTCGGTGGGTTGTACAGAGATTCAGTCGTCGTTCGCCCCGTAACTTCAAAACTACCTTCTGACATTCTAAGCTTACATCAAGCTGTAAACATTAAAAAAAAAAAAAACACGTTTATTTTAAATTGTTTACACAACATGCTCAGTAAATTTTGTGTTTTATAGAAAACAAATCAATTATCTCAAATTAATAAAATCTTTAAAATCAAAAAGTTTAAAAATCTTTTTTATATAAAAATGCTTTTTACGATTTTATTTATGATATAAAAATAACAGGAATATAACTATGCTGAGTGGTGAAAGTGTTTTACTTTACTTCTTAAATTGCAAAACATTTAATTGTATAAATTTGAGGAAGACTTACGTTTATTTAAGTAGATAAACTATGGGAAAAAAGAGTAGATATTTCACAGTAAATAAAAATAAAATTGACCAAAAAAGGGCGAGTGTATGAGACACACAACAAAACCGACAACAACGAAAGGAACACGCCCTCAAAGCTCAAAACGTTCGGTCTTTGTAGTGCGTGTAGTGTGTACTACACGTTTAAAAAGGAAAAAGCCTGCTTTACACGCCACCTGCCAGAAAGAATGAGAATACAATAACAACAGGTTGCTTATAACTGAAAATGTAAAATGTATTTATTTTATTTTTTAAAACATAAAAAGTACAATGCATACATACGCATATATAAGAGAAAGATAGTACAATATATATACATGAGAGAAGATAAAACTATTTTATTTTTATTTTTTGCGGGTCAAAAACCTAAAAAACGTATACAAAAGTAAGGAGAAAAAAATATATACAGTACAATGCTTATAACTAACTCAACATTAATAAAGAATAAAACACTAAACTATAAATCAATGAAAAAGACAATAAAATCTTTATAAATAAAACAACTTAAAGTTTTAATTAACCCTGCCTGTATGATTATAACAAGTAAAAATTATACAAAAAAATATGTACAAATAATATAATAACGCATTATAACTACACACAAAGGACATTTTTAGCTTTTTTGTAGCTAAATAAAATTATTATGCTTTAAGTAATTGGCGTTTTAATGAGGAAACAGAAGTATTAAATAAATCAACAGTATTGCAAATCATTCGATTAATTATGGTTTTTAGTTGAGATAAAAAAGTCAGTGTCACAAGCGGGATTCGAACCCACGATCTTTTTTATCTCAACTAAAAACCATAATTAATTGAATGATATTAATTGGTCAAGCGGACCACGAAAAATAGTGAATTTAATAAGTATTGCATATGTTGTTACATTCTATCATCATGCGATGCATCAGGGAGTAAAAATTTCTTCCTTTATATTCAATGAAAAATATTTTCTGATTTCTGAGGTGGCAAGGAGATACATAAAATTAGAGTTTACCAAGGATTTATGGGAAAGGTATACAATTATTAATTAATTCGAAAATAAAAATAATCTCAAAATCAGAAGATTCTCTAAGATCAGATATTTTGAAGTAAGATTTAATGGGAGCATGAGAGGATTTTTTTGTATTTTTTTATTTAATGGGTCAAAAACCCATTAAAAAAAAAAAAGTATACAAAAGTAAGGAAAAAAAAATATACAATACAATGCTTATAACTAACTCAACATTAATAAAGAATAAAACTCTAGACCATAAATCAATGAAAAAGACAATAAAATCCTTATAAATAAAACAACTTAAAGTTTTAATTAACCCTGCCAATATGATTATAAAGACTAAGAATTATGTATACAAAAAATATATAAAAATAATATAATAACGCATTATAACTACACACATAGTACATTTTTAGCTTTTCTGTAGCTAAATAAAATTATTATGCTTTAAGTAATTGACGTTTTAATGAGGAAACAGAAGTATTAAATAAATCAACAGTATTGCATATTTCAATTAATTAAGGTTGAGATAAAAAAGTCAGTGTCACGAGCAGGATTCGAACCCACGACCTTCGGCTAGATATGCCACTGCTCTACCACTTGACTTAAAGTTTTAATTAACCCTGCCTATATGATTATAACAACTAAGAATTATACAAAAAAATATATAAAAATAATATAATAACGCATAAATAATAAATATCTTTCAACTAAAAACCATAATTAATTGAATGATATTAATTGGTCAAATGGACTACGAAAATTAGTGAATTTAATAAGTATTGCATATGTTGTTACATTCTACAATTATTAATTAGTTTGAAAATAAAAATAATCTCAAAATACTTTCTGCTGCAGATAAGATCAGAAATTTTGAAGTAAGATTTAATGGGAGCATGAGAGGATTTTTTTGTATTTTTTGTTTAATGGGTAAAAAACCCATTTAAAAAAAAAGTGTACAAAAGTAAGGAAAAAAAAATATTTGCAATACATTGCTTATAACTAACTCAACATTAATAAATCATAAAACACTATGATATACATCAATGAAAATCTATATAATTATCTGTCTACATAATTATAACAACTAGAAATGGGGAGCGTCGGTGGCTGCAAAGGTTTAGGCTTTGACCCGGCGCTCATCACTGTAAGGTAAAGGTCCCGGGTTCGAATCCAGCGGCCCTGCATTCGAACCCAACATACAAATCCGAACCCTGAATTCAGTGTGCAAGAGTTCTTTTTTTTCAGGAATTTTTAAGACTGCTGGAGCAGAAAAATAAAATAAAATAAAATACAAATTGTGGGGTAATAAACTTCAATTTAAATAAGGAACTATAGTTCCTTCAGAAAAAAAAGAAGCTATTGTGTTTTTGTTTTATTATTATTTTGTTAATTAGAATTAGTGCATTTATAGTATTTGAATGTAAAGCCCCCCCCCTTCTTTAACCACTCTCTCATCCAGACTCTTTGTTTCCTTTTTCTTTTTTTAACACCAACATCCGACACAATAGAAATTATTACAGCTAAACATGCTGCGTTGCGAGACGCCATGTTACCATTAAAACAAGACAAAAACAACTATAGTTTGTAAAAAAAAATACGAATAGTGTATGGGGGACCTTGTTTGCACAACAGCCTGTTGTACAATGTATGTTTACACAATTTGATCGTAGGTGTATGGGGGGCTTAAGAATAAAAAAATAATGATGAGCCTATCTCTTACTGAGACTGTTGCTGGTCTGACTCCATTATTATTATTATTATTATTGGCCATACAAGCCTATGGGAAATGTTTAAGTTATGGAGTAAAAATCCGAAATTCTAATTAAAGAACAGGAAATTTTATAATTTAAAATGGGTTATTTGCATACATTTGGCCTTCCAAATTAAGAATTTGGATAATAATAAACTATATTTAATAGGGTGAGTCATAAAAATGACTGTTTTTCTTGCTAAATTAAAAATAATTTTATTTTGACATAATTTATTTTTTAATATTCAAAGTCTTGTCTTTCAAAGTCTTGTCTGTATAAGTCTTCATGTGTATAAACTTTATATATTGAACCGCACATTGTATTTTTTTCATTAAAAAAAGCCTGAAAAATGTGTACATAAGTTCATATATAGTAACATTGATGATAAACATACACCATACAAAAAAGTGTGTGATATTGGAATGCAGATAGAAGAAAATTCTTCGAAGCCTGAAATTCGAGGTGTTTCCTATTATCCGCTGTTCTCGTTAATATATCCCCCACAGATACCCATGTCTATTTTGCATAGATTTGAGGTTGTATAAATCAATAATTTCGCATAAAATATTTGAGAAAGAACACATTGGGGTTTTATGCTTGCCTCTCGGTTGAAAATGAACACTTCTCTTTGAGCAACATAACATATAAAGGATAGATGTGAGCACCAGGGTACTAATCCAAATGCCGTGGGTTCAAGTACCGTTCGTGACTAATTTTTAACCTGTAATGTTTATTCAATTGTGTTTTTCATAGGCCAACTTACGGTCAATTTTTATGTGTTTTTTCTAACTTAGTTAATCGATTAGTTTTAAACAGAATTAAATATCCGGCCACTTAACAATCAGAGGAATGGTTCAAAAGCCAGGAAAAGCTTACAATGGGGATGGACAGAATAGATGTCCCTGACTAATACTTTCTACGAAACGAACTTGAATACTGATGGCGTTGTTATTTTGGACTATTCTTAGAGACTGGATATATTTGAAGGGAACCCACTGACCCACATATGAACCCAAAGCCTCAGAAAAATTCTGTATCCAGGAGAAAACAATATGCAACATATAAGCATGTCACAAATTGAATTTATTTGAAAGCTATGCACAATGGGAAAGTTCACTAACGGATGCAACAATTTCTATTCATCCAAATCAAATGTGATCTTTTTTTAAGGAAACAAATACAATTTTATGTATAGTACCCCAGGGCAATAGCTTTATTCACCATGCAATTTATTGGCAACTTAGTCGTCATTGGTAGTCATATATACTACACTGCTTGGGGAAAAAATTAAAAAAATCCCTATACTACTATGCTATGAACCTAGTCTATGTATAATATAATAGTCTAAGTATGAGTCCCTAGTTTAAATAAATAAATAATAAATATAATTACATATAAAATAAATATAAATGCATACTTAAAACATATGCACACACATACACACATATATTTACATCAAAACTTAGAATAAATAGGTACATAAATACATGAATAAATAATATACAAAAAATAAAATAAATTAATTAAATAACTAAGTTAGGCGTTAATATATTTAAGCCTCGCATTGAGGTCCCATAGGGTGTTCCACATTTTTGTCCGATATCTTGAACTAATCTTATGGCGTTACCAGAACTTCTATCAAAAAATTTTGAAAATTGGATTCTATGAACTTGCGCAGAAATTGCACTCTGGAGTTTGTGTGTTTATCTATCTTGGTTGCTGATGGGCTGTTAGTGCATAACCGTAGGCACTTATTTTGAGTTCTTTGCTTGTTATAATTGGTGTTATAAGTTAAGCCCCAAGCAGCTGTATTGGCCTTACTATCATTTTGTACATGAGCAACTTTTGAACACTCAACTGGGACTCTCGACATAAGAGTGCGATCTTTATTTTTACATGTTTTTTTTTTCCTTTTTTGTATTAGTTTATTGATAAGGGCTGTATACGTTAATTTAGCATCTAGCCGAACACTATGGTATCTTTATTATGTGCAATCTTTATTTGCAAACATCAACAGGTTCACCGTCAAATCCAAATAGGAAAAATATAAAGATTTTATGACTAAAGACTTATTTGGATGGTTCATAGCACAATCATTGCTTAAATTCCTATTGAATATAAAATACTGAACACCACTTGCAACATGTCCGAGATGTAGTACTCCAGCAATGCAAGCTTTTTGCAGCAATTTGGGATGAATGAGGTATAAAAAATCACGGGATTTAACATTGCAAGATTCAAATAGAAACAGATTTACTCTCCAAAGACCGGGTCATGAGTGTCCGGGTACCCAGACAATTCAAGAATGAATCGATAGTGTAATTTTATCCGTTTATGACAAAAATTACAATAAAATCATGGAATATTACAAGTTTAATTAATCAGAAACAAGTAATTACATAGTAAAAATGTTACTCGTTGCTGATTTGGGTTGGAAAGGAACAAAGACAGAAACGAGGCGTCGAAAGACGAGTATAAATCGATGATGAGTCGAAATCGTTGCCAATGTTCGTTATCCCTTCCAAGGTATCGTTCCGAGATCGAGGCACAACCCTCGCTTACTTTTTACCGGCTTCGAGCGTTCGAGGTAACCTGTTAACCGTTCCGTTGGCGGTTTTTCATCCGTTGCCCCTTGATTTTTAACAATTGTAAATAATTACCAGGATACGATTACAAAGAGCCGCAGCGCAATGGATGGTGAGCTATGTTCAAACTTTCAAATTTACGATTAAAACCTTTATTTAACGATATTTTCGTTGTCGGAGGTTATAGCGTTGGGAACGTGACTTTTGTCGTAAAACGACGTGAAGCTGTAGTCAATTGAAATACATGTTCAGCCAGCAGAAATTGGACAAACATAATTTTCCATTCACATTAACGATCTGTGTTCAATTTGTTTCCAAAGATACATCTTGCCAGGAATTTAAGCAATTGATAATATGAATATATATATGTACCAGTTGTTTCTACTAAAAAGCTCTAGTCACAGAATTTAAATTTCAGTTAACTCAAAAGTTGAGCTTACAGAAATGTGTCAAATTTCATTTTCCATTCACATTAACGATCTGTTAACAATGATACATTTTGTCAGGAAATTATGCAATTGGTAATATACTAGTTGTTTCTGCTGTCATGCTCTAGTCACTGAACTTAAAGTTCAGTTAACTGAAAAGTTCAGCCTACAGAAATGTGTCAAATTTCACTTTCCGTTCACATTAACGATCTGTGTTCAATTTGTTTCCAAAGATACATCTTGCCAGGAATTTAAGCACTTGATAATATGAATATACATATACTAGTTGTTTCTACTAAAAAGTTCTAGTCACTGAACTTAAAGTTCAGTTAACTGAAAAGTTCAGCCAGCAGAAATTCGTCAAACAATTTTCCGTTCACATTAACGATCTGTGTTCAATTTGTTTCCAAAGATACATCTTGCCAGGAATTTAAGCAAGTGATAATATGAATATACATGTACTAGTTGTTTCTACTAAAAAGCTCTAGTCACTGGACTTAAATTTCAGTTAACTCAAAAGTTCAGCCTACAGAAATTTGTCAAATTTCATTTTCCATTCACATTAACGATCTGTTTCCAATGATACATTTTGTCAGGAAATTATGCAATTGGTAATATACTAGTTGTTATATACATGTACATATACTAGTTGTTTCTGCTGTCATGCTCTAGTCACTGAACTTAAAGTTCAGTTAACTAAAAAGTTTAGCCAGCAGAAATTGGACAAACATAATTTTCCATTCACATTAACGATCTGTGTTCAATTTGTTTCTAAAGATACATCTTGCCAGGAATTTATGCAATTGATAACATGAATATACATATACTAGTTGTTTCTACTAAAAAGCTCGTCACTGGACTTAGATTTCAGTTAACTCAAAAGTTCAGCCTACAGAAATGTGTCAAATTTCACTTTCCATTCACATTAACGATCTGTTTCCAATGATACACTTTGTCAGGAAATTATGCAATTGGTAATATACTAATTATTTTATACATATACTAGTTGTTTCTACTAAAAAGCTCTAGTCACTGAACTTAAATTTCAGTTAACTCAAAAGTTCAGCCTACAGAAATGTGTCAAATTTCATTTTCCATTCACATTAACGATCAGTTTCCAATGGTACATTTTGTCAGGAAATTATGTTCCAACACCAAGAAACCGGCAGATTAATTTCGACGGGGAACTGAATATTTTATTGTATATGGTCAATTATGGCCACTAAACAAATATGGATTTTACTGTATTAATTAAGGTTTTTAGTTGAGATAAAAAAGTCATTGTCACAAGCGGGATTCGAACCCACGACCTTTGGCTGGATACGCCGCTACTCTACCACTTGAGCTATCTTGACTTCAATCCACTCGGACATCAACTTTCCATCTCAACCTCACCTTTTGAATTTTCCCTCCTTTTTGCCAATTTTCAAAGGTCTTGTAATCTATTTGATTCTCGGCGACAAATGAAATGGCCACACTTTAGTGACGATGTACTTCATTTTACTTATTAAATCCATTAGATTTCGTGGTCTGATTGACCACATAAAATCTTTCAATTAATTAATCTAAAGATGGGAAGTTTGTGTCCGAGTGGATCGAAGTCACGATAGCTCAAGTGGTAGAGCAGCGGTGTATCTAGCCAAAGGTCGTGGGTTCGAATCCCGCTCGTGACACTGACTTTTTTATCTCAACTAAAAACCTTCATTAATTGAAAGATATTAATTGGTCAAGCGGACTGGCATCTTCCGGATGATGAAGAACTTCTGGACTTCTTTTTTTGAATTTCTTTTTCAATTTGAAAAATTGATCAAAAACTTGAATTTTAAAACTAGCCTTTCATTTCTCTGTTTATGCTGATTATTCATAAGCTCAGGCAGTGTAAATGGAACCTTATATCCAATAAATCCCTATGTGCCAAATTTTAAATAAATTTTATTTTTTTGGGTAATTTAGTTATTTGGTTAATTATTTCTAAGCTCCAAACCACATGTAGATTTTTAAATTTTAGTTTTCCTAATGTATTTATTTTTTCCAGCTTCTGAAGGAGATCTGTGGACTCCTTACAAGGAGCTCCAGTCTCTTGTTGAAACCGCCATCTCCAAGCCGACCGCACAAAACTTCGAAGACTTAAAGAAAGCATTGTACAAATACCGCCAGAACTTCATAACACTTTTGAAAAATCCAGTAAATTTTCGCTTGAGCAATATTTTCTTATGAGTTGTGTTGTTTTAAATGAATTGTCATTTTAGCCCAAAAATCAAAAACAAAGAGATGAATTAAATAAAGGTGTCACTGAAGGGATTGATCTGCGAGGTATCGGCCATACCGTACTCCCAAAAGATCTCGTAGCCGAGGCGATAATACTGTCAGATATGTTCGATCTCAATGAGTACCTAGCGTTGGATCTTCTTGGGACAGGCAAGTCAATTTATTAATTTGCGGAACCAAAGTATAAGCTTGTATAATAATAAATTTAAATATATTAAATTAATCTGTTTTATTTTAGCTCAAGAGCAAATGCCAAATTTCCCAGAATTACCACGTGGTGTAGTAGCAGTACTTTTGTATTATGACGGGCGAAAATCTCTCGTCATGTCTCTTAGAAATATAGTGCAAGCTCGCCAAGGCAATCTGTGGACTGTAGAAACATCTACAGAAGTTTCAAATTTTGTTACAAGGTATACAGATGAACTAATGCAGGACGGGATCATGGCAAAATTGTTATGTGAGTTAAAAAAAAAAAAAAAAAAAANGTAGGTTTCAGAAAAACATTTTCTTTATCGTGCCAACGTTTCGATCTTTTATTGAGATCATCTTCAGGGCCTGGGATTTACAAACAATGTTTACATTTAACAAATACATTTAGGATGTGGAAAAGTGAATTTATACAATGCAAATTATATTTTATATTCAAACAAAGTATTTCTACTCACTCAAAGTGTTTGTCTTCTGTGTAATTGTGCCATCTTTGCGTGTCAACACGACATACAAGTGTCAACACGACATGCAAGGATGGCACAATTACACAGAAGACAAACACTGAGTGAGTAGAAATACTTTGTTTGAATATAAAATATATTTTGCATTGTATAAATTCACTTTTCCACATCCTAAATGTAATTGTTAAATGTAAACATTGTTTGTAAATCCCAGGCCCTGAAGATGATCTCAATAAAAGATTGAAACGTTGGCACGATAAAGAAAATGTTTTTCTGAAACCTACATCACACCCGACCGCATCTCACGATATCTGAATAACGGTTACTAATTTATACACATTTATACATAAATTAATCCATATTTGTTTAGTAATCATAATTGATTTAGTGATTCCAATTATATTTTTTTAAATATGGCAAAAAGAGGGAAAATTTGATTATTTTCAGAATTAATTGGAATAATTAATATGGTCAATTATGATCACTAAGCAAATATGGATTAATTCAATAATAAGAAGTAATTACTTCACTATCAGCTCCCTGTGACGGAATCGAATCGTGATTCAAACTTATAACTATGTTCTATTAAACAACCCTGCTTCCTCCAAAAATCAAAACAGGAGACCCAGGTGGCATTCTTAGTGCTCTCTATATGGAGCAAGTTTTTTTATTATTTTTTTATTTTTATTTATTTATTTTTTTTAAGAGGAAAAAAAACATTTGTAAGTTCGAATGCAGGGCTTCAGCCACTGATGCCCTTACAGAATTACGGACTTAGATGGAAGAACAGGATACAGTTTGAACAGTTTATAAATCAAATTGATTTGGAAATGTTATTAAAATAAATATTAAATGGTAATTGTGAAAATAATACAATTTAAAAAAAAAAAAAAGTTTAACGGTAACAATAAGATCTTTAAGACTTTATTGTAGTAAAAGCCGTCAATAAGAATAATGCCTAATAAATTTAAACAATAAAATGAAGTGTTAAACAATTTTTAGTTCTTAATGAAAATTTGTAATCATGGGAACAGATAATAATACAAAACATTCCATTGACTATGGGAAAATAAAATAGGCCTTGGCTCAAAAGTAAGTGCCCATGTATCAACCTCGCATCCTTAATCTGGGTGAGGATGGTCCCATTCCTCTGAGGGCCATTTATTGACTCTGATTCGTGAAAACTTCTCTGCCGATCCACACTACCACTTTTAATGATGTTATTTATTAATTTTTAGTGTCTGTGAGAGGGCCGGGCCGGATTCGGTGGTCATATCTGGAGGTGGGGTGTCCTGGCCTAGCCAACTCGCCCATCTTTTCATTACCCCCAGACCATGGACAATGGAAAGCAATAAATAATAATAAAAATAGCAATTCACTAGTTTAAGTGGTCCGCTTGACCAATTAATATATTTCAATTAATTAAGGTTTTTAGTTGAGAAAAAAAAGTCAGTGTGACGTGCGGGATTCGAACCCATGATCTTCGGCTAGATACGCTGCTGCTCTACCACTTGAGCTATCGTGACCTCGATCCACTTGGACACTAACTTCCCATCTCAACCCCACCTTTTGAAAAATGGAAAAAAGGAGGGAAAATTCAAAAGGTGGGGTTGAGTTGGGAAGTTAGTGTCCGAGTGGATCGAGGATGCAGCGTACTCTGGCTGAAGCCAATTTGGCCGCTCCTTTTGTGATTTGATGCGATGTTGCTAAGAAAATGGCAGATTTTTAAAGCACATGATTATTGTAGATTCAATTATCTAGCATGATTAACACAAAACATCCAGGATTGGCTAATTGGAACGTAGTCTTTCACTATGACAATAGGACACTCCTCCACACATCATTAATGACTCTGAATTAATTATAAAATATAAAGATTTGCTTGGGGTTCCACATCATAATTCACTAGACATTAATACCTTCAGATTACCAATTATTCCGATCATTGCAGAACTCTGAATGAAGAAAACCTTCGTGGTCAAGATCAAAAAATTTCAGGATCAGTTTTCTACCATTAAGAAGTTTTATGAACGCATCATAATGTAATTGGTAAACAGAAGAGGTTATTAATAAAAATTATTATCATTAATAAAAATTATTATCATTAATAAAAAGGGTCAATGCAGAATTGATTATACTATGTATATTCAATAAAATGTATTCAATTGTACGCATAAAAACTGAACTTATGCTGTTTCTGACACATTTTAGAAGCATAAGTTTCACATAAAATACACAAGAAAAATCAATATTGACACTGTGATTGCCAGCTTAGCTTGACAATGTTTTTCATTTAATTTAAATTTATTTTCAGCTTGTTGAATTATTTGCGGAAAGTTAGCCCGAATGAATCTTCATCGGGTGGAATCGACAGTATCAGTCTAGCTCTTTCATTGGCTTTTTTGTATTCGATCGATTTGAGTTTACTTCACAAAGCAGACGGAGAAGGTATTTTTATTGGCTCTTTAAATATTGGGTTGTCCGGAAAATAATGCAGTTTCATGTTTTATTTCAATTACCCCTCTACATAATAAACTGTTAACTTTGATGGATTATTATTTAAACTTAGTCAGGTGGTGCCCAAACTGTCAGAAACATTAATGAAACCTGGGGCTATGGCAGTGTGAATGAAAACTATACAGAGATGGTTTAAAAAATTTTGAGAGGAAGGCGTTATCATTGAAGACAAAGAAGGTTGTGTAATGATTTTTTCCCTAAATGATCATGTTTAGCGAACTTTGTTCAAAGAAAATCCCAGAACAACTGTTTGAGAACTTCTAGAGAATTTTTAGTTAGCAAATCAACAGTCTTAAGTCAATTGCAAAAGTGAAAAAGCTCAAAAGTTTGGTTCCTCATGCATTAAACGACCACTGAAAAAATCATCGTTACGAAGTTTGCACTACACTTTGCAGAAACAGAAAAGGAATTTTTTTTTAAAGATAGAATTGTTACTTGTGATGAAAAGTGGATTCTCTACGGTAACATCAGATGTTTTGGATAGCGGCTCAAAAAAGGAGAAGCAGCCCCACACTTTCCAAACCACCCAACTTGTCAAAAAACGAAGAAGAAATCTGTGACTCTTGGTGGGCTTCGTTTGGGCCGATTTACAGCTTCTTGAAGCACTGCACCAGAAATTGGCATTATTGAGCCATCTTTGGTCAGTCGGAAAAGACCGATTCTGTTACACAATGCTCGGTAACACGTGACAACATGAAAACTGTTGGATCTTGTTTTGAGGTCCAGCCTCACCCTCCCTATTCTCTAGAATTCTCACCTACCGACTACCATTTTTTCAGATGCCTGGATGTTTTTTACAACATAAAAAATTTATTGATCAAAGTTAGAAAATGTATTTGTATAATAATTTGTTAGTAATAAAGATTCAAAATTCTGTATAGAGTATAGAGAAGTTGCCATTGCGTTGAGAAAAATGTTTTGAGAGTAATAGGAGTTTATTTTAATTAATACAAAAATGTTTAAAATCATTTTTTAATTGTCTTTATTGTATAAACATAAACCTGCATTATTTTTTGGTCAACCTAATATATTAGTACGCAAATTTGTTAATGTTTTAACTTATTTTTAAGTTGTGCAACGTTCAGTTCCACTTGTGACGGGTGGACAAGCGGGTCAGTTTTTAAAATCGATGCAAACTGAAATGTCATCGAGCGAGAAAGCGTGGGAATCTCAAGGTCTGCAGTCTCTTGCGCTTATGGCTTGGGCCATCACTCTATCCAGCTTGCGCATGGCACCTCAGCTGGTCCCAAAAGAAAGTAAGTCCTTCAAAAAACAAATATTAAGTAACATTCTGATTTAATATACTGTTTCAGTAACTTTAGAAAATCCTGATGTTGTCATGGAAGAGGCGATTCAGAAAGGAGTTTTTTCCTACCTCCACAAATCATATTTAAACAACGACGTAATTTATAAAGATGTAAGATTTTTCTATTTGTGATTCTAAATTTGATTTTGTTTGCAATTATTTACATAAAATTTATTTATTTTACAGGAATTTATGCTACGTAGAATTCACAGTTTAATCACAGATTTTATATCGCAACTGCCACATAAGGTCAAGGAAATGAGACTGAGAGCTGACGACACAGATAAAACTATTCATGCATATATGCATGTGAGTTTTATGTTTCTAAATTTGATCATAATGTTTTAAGAATAAAAATATTTTAATTTAGTGTAATAAAATATCAGTATTATTTTTCAATACTAATCAATTTTTATTTATAGGAAGGCCTAGAACCACCTACAAATTTATCCCATCATTTTGAAGATATGCTATTGGTAATCGCAAAATTATATGAAAAAGACCCTCTAGGGGTGGAATTAGAGTTGGATTTCTGGTGTTCATCCGATAGCGTCCATCTCGCTTCGTTTCCTTACCGGGCACAACCAAAAAAAGTTAGACAGAAACCGTATCTTATTAATTTTAACAAATTTTTCAACTGTTTAATTTTTTTTTAAATATTTTTTTAGGAAGCCCTTTATTCATTTCTTCTACAAACCTGTGAAGTTTTGCCTTCTACGCTTTTTGTCCCATACTTGAAAATGTTAAGCTCTCTCTCGTCTTGCCAGAGAGCGGCTATGCAATGTTTCAATCTTTTAAAAAACAACGAAAATAAAAATTTAACATGGGATCATTTCTTTAATTCTTTCAATAGGTCTGTAACATAACGTTCATCCATAGGACAACTAATTATTAAGTTAAAAATTTCATTTTTAGATATTTTAATAATTTACGCCAAGAAGCTTTACCCACGCCTGACACTGTATACAGAGCTAGAAGTTTCAACAAAGGGATAACCCCTCATGAACAGCTGGCGCTTCAAGCCGTACTCGACCTTATAAGAACAGTGGCTGGTAAATTATATCAACTAAATATTTTGTTTATTAGTTAATTAATTTTTGCGTGTTTAGAAAATGATCCTTGCTCTGGTGAACAGTTTTGCATGAACCAACAGTGGTCAGCCATCACGGTCTTGCTCGGCTTGGTGACTTGTTCAGTTCCGATTCCGTTGAAAGCTAATCTTTTAAACACACTTGCTGCATTTTCCAAATCGCCTAAAACAGCTGCAAGTCTTTGGCATAATATCGAAGCATCTCAAATAATCAGCACAGTGCCTTCAACGAGCAACTTTCAACCGCGTGGTATTCAGGTCGGTTGATGGTTTTTTTTATGCTCTTTCCTCTTTTATTTCTCGTTTTGTTTAAAGTTTAATATTCTGTAATGAAACTGTAATGGATTTTTTTAAATTACAGACTGAGCTGGAAGAAGTGGAGTGTAGGAATGAAGAATATCCTTTGACGAGAGCAGTTCTCAAGTTGTTCAACGGACTTTCTGATAAACCGATACCAAAATTGCTCGGGGTGTCACAAAGAACTCCCGGCTACGACCCTTACCTGAATTTCATTCTCAACTCCGTACTTTTGAAATTTGTAGGCCGATGTTATAAAAATCCCAAAGAAAAGGTCAGTAAAATTTACCGTGTACAAATTTTATATATTATTTAAACTGTTTGGTTGTATCTAGTGGGAAGTTTGTGAAGACGCCATGTCTCTCATTTGCAAACTCTTGCTCCAATACGACCCAGCGAAAGATGAATTTTTGTCCAAACACGTCCAAGCGTACACCATAGGAAATGCTCAAGTCAATCCTCTACCGGGTTATCACATAATGATAAGCCTCTGTTCAAAGTCTGAATTGCTGCGACTTGTAAGTTTCTGAAATTGAATACAATCAATCGATGAACATTTGTAGAATTTTTTAAAATTTTATTTCTAGCTTTTACTCTTAATCGATGAAGGATGCAGGGTTTTCGATGCTTTCGAGAGTATTCCCGGTAAAACCGAATTTGAAAACAGCGTCTTGTACGCTTTGAAAATGTTAGAGCACGGATTAGCGATACAAAATCAATTTTTGAATCTTCTTCATGCTGAAAATAGCAACATTCTTCTTGTGGGTCTAAATCGTTTAATTTTAGGGGTTAATGAAGTGACTTGCAAGCCTGATCATCTGTTGAATATATCAAAGTAGGTATTTAATTAAATTTATTAATTTTTTATGCTGAATTAAGTAAAATCGCAAAATTTGCGTGCTATAATTACAATTAATTAATAATTAATAAGTGGTTTATATTTTTAGATATGTGACTTATCAATCGTGGTTGCCACAGCACGCTTTGCCCGCAGTAAACATTTTATTAAGTGTCACTTCCTACCCAGCTCCACAGGGTCACCTTTTGTCCCTGTATTTGACCTCGCCGAACACAAAGGCTAGCATTAGGCATGGGTTTGTATCATGTCTCGAAGCCGAAGAAGAACTGGTCGATACGGGGATGTCGATGGAATTGGACCGAGAAGATGTCTACGCCGATGAAGACGACCTGAGAAAAATTGTCACCAAAACAAAAAAAGCGATATGTCAGTTTTTATTGCAGACTTTGACCCAAGGAGCGCCCAATGTCGCTCATTACCTTTTTGGATTTGATTTGAATACGGAGATTAAAAAATCGATCTTGAAACAGCCCGGCCTTTACGGTACACCTCGCTCTTGCCTACATTCTGTTATCTGCCTTCTCAATTCCCACCTAGTCAATCCGTATCAAAGCTCAGGGCATTTAATAGAACTGTATTATAAAATTATTTACGCCCTCGCCTACAACACGAGGACTTCAGAGCCCACGCTTCGTTTTCTAAGATCGTCTGGAAATTTCTTAAAGCGGCATCTTTCTGCCCTTCCGTTTACAACTGAAAGAATCGGTAATTTGTTATTTATATCAAATCGTCGGCATTTTTCTAATTGACACTTTTTATTTAAGACATCTCGACAGAAATCCAACTTCATCAGATGAGTTGGCTTTTAAAAACAGTGGCGATTGAGATGAAAGTGAGTAAATGAATTCAGCCCATGTTTATATTTTAAATCATATTCAATAATTACTTTAGGTGACTGCCCTGAATCAACAATATTCCCAACTTACTTCTATGATCGAAGCATTTACAGGAAATTCAAAAGGCGATTTAGACGATGATTCTCAACAAATGGGTCAATCACTGTTGTCAAGTACAAGAAGTGAGTTTCTATTACGTTTTTGTATTTTTACTTGTAAATGCTACAATGTTTTGATTTTGTTTTTAAGTTGACAAGAAAGCTGGTGAGCAGTTAGTCCTCCGTCTTATTAAATACATGAGATTTTCAGTGGATACTGTTCCAGTGCCTCAATTTGAATATCTTGACTTTAATCACGTTATGAAGGTATTTAAAAAAAAAATAAATATTAAGTATTTTTTGCCGAGGTATCGGGAAAAGTATAGTTAGATCAATTAAGGGGTATGACATAGCTTGGAGCTTTTAATGCACCATTTTTTGCACAGCTGACCACGGTTTCACTAGCGATTATCGTGTTGGTTTCATCATTCTACCAGTCAGAGCTGACTGATCTCATTCGTGTCATTTTCCAATATTATCGATTATAAGGGCAATATTTTTTTATATATAACTTTATTTAAACTTTTGTACATAGTACCTTATAGTTGTGGCATAATGTTTAACGTCATCAAACAGTTCTTGGATCTTTAAGCTCAGCAGCTCCCTCCATTAATTATTTATACATGATTTAATATAATTTAATCACATTTTATCACAGTTAATTATAGTTATCATATTGGTGTGTCGCTTGTGCTTGAGTCTGCGGTGTGGACGTGCAGGAGGTAGGTGGTCCGGTATTCCTTGGATTTCTGTGTTTGGGTGGGACTGGAACTTGCTAAACATCTTCCGGTAGCTGTCTCTCAGTGCATGGTCCACTAGAGGAATGTCCAAGTCTCGGTGCAGTGTGGTATTTCGCACATACCAGGGGGCTCCAGTTAAAATCCGTAAGGCCCTGTTTTGAAATGTCTGGATTCTCTTAATTTGGCTGTTCGACGACAAGGCCCAAACACCAGAGCCATATTGGTCAAATGAGGGACTATTAGTCTTTTGTTGCTCAGACTGATAGTTGGGCTCTTAAGTAGTGGTTTGAGGTCAATTAGTCTGCATCGTGATCTCTAGCACATCGCTTATGTGTTGATGCCAAGTCAGCCTCCGGTCAAGTGTAACACCCAGATATTTTGTTGTTCACTGATATTCTTATTATTTAGTAACAGTTGTTGTTCATTGGCTTTTTTCAGATAAGTGAACTGGACTAATTTTGATTTATCTGGGTTTAGCTTGACTTTCCACTTGTCCGCCCATTCAGAGACTTGTTACAGGGTCTGTTGTACCTCTGCGATGGTTTCCCCTGTGCTCAATATAGCCACATCATCAGCAAAAAGTGCTGTCTTGACTGTTCCTGGGATTTGGGATGAGAGATCACTCACGCTCACCAAATAGTATTTTCTATGTTTATTAGTGCAATGGATGAAGAACAAGTTTTCCGAATACAGAAAACATTTCAATTAATTATTCTTTTTATGTAAGGTCTTGGTTGAGATGAAAAAGTCAAGTGTCATGAGCTGGATTCGAACCCACGACCTTCGGCTCAATAGCCGCTGCTCTAACCACTTGAGCTATTCTGACTCCAATCACCTCGGACACCAACTCCCCATCTCAACCTAAAACTTTTCGCATTTTACAAAAATGGATTAACAGAAAACATTGTTCAACATTTCCTTATATAATTAGTGCAATATAAAATTGGATCGAGGGATGTTCATGGTGGCTCCAGACATGCAGGATTCGCCGAATTCTGTCTAGTGGGGACAAGTGCTCGGTTATTCACCGAGCAAAAATATCCATTGCTCGGCTAATTGTCAATTTTCTTGCTTCAAAGTGGATATTCGTGAAGTAGCTGAATTCAAAGCATCCACACCAGGAATCAACTGTATTGTACATAAATCAACTGTAATCCAATGAACAATTAGTATTTGATTCTTTTTACTGTTATTTATTTTTTAATAAATATGATTCCTAACTAGTATTAGATTAATGAAAGAACAACATAGTGTTGTTTCTGTTGGCCCACTTAACAGTCTTGTCTGTACCAAGCTGAACAAAAATTTGGTTCGCTTCTCTTCCGAATCACAAAAATTGAAATTAGGTTTTCGATGCATGGAAACAGATTGAAATAAGATGGGGCAACAATACTGTGTCTACTTATACACAAAACAATAACCACAGCTGCAGTAATGACAGTTTCACGATTGGTAGTGAGTTGAAGACTTGCATGGCACTTGGCAAATATTTGCTGTTTACGCAAGAGTTGGGCAAAATCTAACTAATTCAATCATGATTAAGAATTTTGATTGAAGTTTAATCATGATTGAATTAGTCATGAGTAAATTAATCATTATATGATTTAATCATAATTAATTCAATCATGAGGTATGACTAAATCATATAATGATTATTTACTCATGACTAATTCAATCATGATTAAACTTCAATCGAAATTCTTAATCATGATTGAATTAGTTTGATTTTGCCCAACTCTGGCTACAATGACCAACTTACCAAAATCCAACCGACTCCGGATAAAAATTTTGAGATGAGAGTCGTGCTCAAGGCCAACCTTCAAAAATTGTTATCATAAACGAAAACCAAAGTTACATAATTATTCTACATGTCTATTTTATTACAATCAAGACCCCTAGATGGTGTATTTTCCAAATAATGTAGAAATCTCTCCTTTTAAGTGGAATAAATTTTAATTCAAAGAAATATTTTTTCCATTGATCGGTTATGTAAACATATTTACTTTTCAAAGCGTAGCTTGTTCTAGGATTTTTTTATTTTATTTTATTATTATTATTATCATTATCATTATTTTTTGGCTTTTCATAACGACGGAGTTTTACTTATAATTGGAAGATTGATTTTTGTTAAATAAGGTGTTGAAGGATTTTCGTTTTGATGAAATAAATTTCTGTTAGAAAATTTTTTAAAAGTGATGAAGTGTATTTTTCATTTTTTGAGCACCCATTTGAACATGATTTATCGAAATTTAGTCATGACTAACTATATTGTGACTAAATTAGTCATGCCTCGTATTTAATTACTAGTCATGACTAATTTAGCCATCAATCACATATGGCGACTAATGACTAAATTAGTCACTTACTACCAATCATGACTAATTTTTGCCCAACACTGGTTTACGCACAAGCTATGTGTCATGTCTGTTCATGCAAATCTTTTGTCAGACCGTTTAGAACAAGGGTTGGTGGGTACTCACTGTTTGCAGTCAATCCGCTGTGTACCGCAGCACTGTATTTTAGGGGATTTAGTGAACTTTTTAAATTCTTTTCAGGATCGCCCACCTCTTTTGTCTATCACAGTGATCGGCAAACTCGTCATCCAAAAGAGCCAAATGTAAACAAAAATACAAAATTGAAGTTTATTCAAAGGGCCATTTTTTAAACTTAAGCTTTGCTTTAGTAGACATTTTTGTAGAAATAATTAGAATTAAAAGTACACTCTCGAGCTAGCCTTTGCTGAATGTCTTAGTTTAACTAACAGTACATTAAATAAAACTTGGTATCATTCTTATATAAAGATAATATTTATTTAAAAATATAACAAGTTAAATAATATAAAAGGTATCCTTAAAAAAAACTTACAAATACTCCACTAATGTGAACAATGGCCTCACATTTCCCACAATTCAGTAGGGGTAAGTCAGGTTTGTAGGTTGTTTTTAATTTTAGGAACAATTCCAAGTTCTCAGCCCGATTTCTTAATCTACCCTTGATAAAGTTCATGCTTGAAAATGATTGTTCGCATAAATATGTAAACCCAAATAAGGAAAGAACAGCAAACGCTAGTTTCTTCAGTTGATCATCATCCAGGTGCTAAAAATCAACCTATCTTCCCTCGCCAGATCTTTCAAAGCAGACAATTTGTGCTTAAATTTAATTCACATTTATTTTTCTCCAATAAAAATCTGTTGTAAATCGGTTTAAAGATGCTTGAATTTTGAGCTCCAAACTTCTTTGTTTTTTAAATCCAGCAACTGCCTTTCAAAGGTCAGGTTTTCTTCAGGAAATGTCAGAGCACATAGTGCTTCTTGATGAATAATACAATGGTATCTCGTGATTATTTTCGCTCCGTGTCTGCACTAAACATTTAGTGAAAGAGCCTCAACCAAGAAGTCAAAGCATGTGGCTCGTGAGCCGCGGTTTGCCGACCACTGGTCTTATCATCTACACGGAATGAACTTGTTAACTTCTAAACTCGACTGTCTCTCCCTTCATTCTCCCGAACCTCTCTTATTTTTTACTCTAGGCCTAATCATGAAATCTAAATCACAACATTGTTACTTTGAAATAAATTGAAATGCAACGAAATTTCTCACCCTTAAAGGCCTGGAAAAAACGAGTTTGTTTTTGCAAACTTAAAACTATTTAAAATATTATCCCCACTGTACATTTGACCCCCTACAAATAGCTAATGATGATGTCTTGCTGTTCGCTGCATCTAAATGCTGAATGGGCTCCATTGAAGTCATGTATGCTCATACATGTGTGGATGGCCGATGTATATACGTGCATTTCAGAAGATGAGACCTCATAATCTTGTGACCGTAAAACCATTAAGGTCCGGTCATAAAAATTCCGCACGAGGTTTTTTCTTCATTCTTGATTAATACTTAAAACCATTTTCTGCGATGGTGTGAGGTAGTTTGAGGCTATGCATCTTTCCTGGTTGATCAAAGGATTTAGCCATAAAGTTCAATTTCATTCAAACGTAGCAAAGTCCATTCCTTGTAGATGAGAGACAAAAAGAAGTGTGTGATCCTCAATGAAGTGTTTTATTCCCTAAAATAGAATGCTTTGGTCCACTGCGGATTGACTGTAAACAGTCCCATGCAATGGTTTGTACAAAATTACGGTTTATTTAAATTTGAAAAGTTTTACTTGTTTGTTTAAAGTTCAAAAGGAAATTAGTTGATTTAAATTGTTATTTTTTTGTGTAATTAATAGATTGTTTTCAAACTTGTATTAAATTTTATTATAAAAAGGCACCTGATCGGTTGTATTCAGGTTCAATCAAGACCTCTGGGGCTCTGTTTCTAATAAAAAGGATTCAGAATTGGGCCCGTTTTGTTGAATCGAGGACAGACCGTGACACATAGGCACACTGTTTGGCGAATTCCGAGACGAGCATATTGGGACTTGGCAATATTTCGGCGGCAATTGGAATTCACCAAAAGATGCCACCTTTATGCTAAATAACGTCTGAGAAACATGAGAAAGGAAGGTTAAAGCGTTCAAGGAATATTCGTTTATTGCTTGCGGATCGTTCATTCTAGCATTGATCAAGGGAGTCGGTTTTTCATGTAACATTTTTGTGATGTTTTTGGGTGATTAGGTCAATTACTAAAGCATGTCATGCTTTAAAAGAAAGAAAAAAAAAGGATGGCTGCTGTAATATTAAACAACCATTCCATGAAAAACACTTTCAAAACTGACTTCGAAGGGTCGTGTCTTCAACTTTCCTACTCAGTTGCAAAAGCGGACTGTTTTCCTCTTGGTCAATGCTTTGTTCAAAAGAGCTACCTGGTTCATAGGCTAAATTTTGTGAAGTTAAAATTTCAAAAATGCAGATCCAAATATGTATAAAGGTCACAGAGACGTCATCAGTGAGTTGTTTCATCATGCAATGCTACCATTGAGTCGAACTCTCAAAAATATTATCCTCTCTATAATATTAATAAATTTTTTGGTGAATTAAGAGAGAGAGAGAGAGAGAGAAGGGCCTATACAATTTTAACGGTGTAGAAAGAAAAAAAAGATAGGGAGAGGGTAAACTGTTTTAATAGAAATTTTCACTTCTTCCATTATTTTCTCATTTTAAACTTTAAGAAACGAACCAGCTTTAATTGAATCCTTGGAGAATTGCACTATTGGAGGTTCTACTGTAGATCTAAATAATTTATTTATCGATAATTTTAGTTGGTAAAGACGTGTGAAGTCGAAGATGGCAAAATGAAAGTAATCGACGTTAGAGCAGTCCACCATTTGCTTGAACAAGAATTGGCGATTGTCCACGAAAAGAGGAGAATCGGTCTGGTCACGCATAACTCCTCGCCTCAACCTCCGAATGAGACTCTACTTCAAAGGAATCATCGTAAAGAAATGGAGGTTTGTTCTATAATTTCCCAGATAATATGAGACAATTAATAAAAACTTACCGTAGAGAGTACTCAATTATGTGGTTCAATTAAATGCTTCGATTTTGATGAATCAAGCGACAGTACGGTTCTTAGACGCCTGGAGACATGCGACAGAAGTTATGTTTGCAGTAGCAGCCCCAATCAATGAAAAAGAACAACACGCTCTCAATTTGGAGAAAAGGTTCAATCTCCTTGTAGATATAATCCACGAACTGCTAACTAAGGTATTTTGTCTTTTTTTTTTCCTAAATAAAAAAAGTGTTATTTTATTATTATTATTATTATTATTGAAACAGGCTGTTCAATCTGGAAGTCAGGCCGAGGTAGCAAATCTTGTGTCAGGTTCCATTCTTTTACTTTGTGTCGATTTGCGACAAACTTATATATCGGAAATGGGAAAAGGCGATGAAACGGATTCAAAACTTTGTAACTTTATGGATTCCAATCATTATAAATTGACAACGATTATAACTAACCTAGTAAAATGGATATTAAGCTCGGGTAAGTTTTAAAAAAAAAGCACACAAGCATATATTTTTTTTTTTTTTTTTAATTTAAATTTCCGCAGGAGTAACGTCTCAGAAGTTGAGAGCCAACCTGTACTCTGCCCTTCTTAACTTTCTACACTTGAATCGGGACAAATCTGCATTGAGACAAGGTGCGAAAGTCGGCCTTAGAGGAAACGATTCTCAATATGTCACAATGCTTGATAAATCCATCGGCGGTGACAGGGCTGATATCGATATTATTCTTGCTCATGGAGAAAGGCTTGTCGATATGCTTTGCCACGATTGTTCTACAGGCCATGATATCTGCAAAGTAATGCACTATTTATGGAAAATCATGTTTATGATTTTAATTTTTTTTTTTAATTTAGATGCTTGCGCTTTCCTGTTTGGACATGGTTGTCGAACTTGATGCACAAACGACATGGACGTCTGTATTATCATCCCGAGGGTACCTGAAATATATAATAGACTCATTATTAGACATGGACAAGTATCTTATCGCACTCCTTTCGAATAATATCAAATCTTTACGAGCCCTTTATGTATACGAATCAAAAATGGTAATATTAATTGGTATGTTGTCATTTTGACACCTTTTATACTAATTAAATATTTTTAGGCTCTTCTGTGTAGAGTAGCTTCATCGAGAATCGGAGCAGAAATTCTTTTAGAACAAAACGTTCTTCCTTGTCTGTCTTCGCTTCATGTTTTCAATAAACATCCTGACATCATGGCAAATGTTCCGAAGTATGTCCTGGTTAATTAATTTTTTGTTTGTTTTACTAATACTCTTTTGATTCAGGATTGGAGTAACGATGATGGAAGTAGATTTTGTTCCAAATGTAAGCAGCCGTTATCTTCAAATCCTTTCTCCCGCGTTGCAGCTATGCGATGCTATTATTTCTTCAATGGGAGTCGAAAATCAATTGGCCATCATGCAAGTGAGTTTTTGTTTTAATGAGAATTTTTCTAGAAAATTATAATTAAAATTGATTTTTAGGTATTAAAGTTTTTATTGTGCCATGGTGAAATGGTAACTCAAGTTCTTCGATCCGGGAGCCCTTTTCATCCACTTTGTTACTTAAAAGAGCTTTCATTGCTTACTGGTGTAATAGCAAGGGCCACAAATGAAGGTAAAATTTTTTGCCTTTTTGTTCAATTCCAAACAAAACATTTATATTTTTTGGGTCATAGACGTTCTTAGAATATTGAGTGAAGAAGGGATGGATCCTGGTGGTGTGTTGGAGAGCACATCGCTGTTCAACAGAGTCCAAAGACTGATGCTTTCCTTGATTTCTCGATTTATCATCAGTGAAAGCCTGCTCAAAGAATTGGTAAAAGAAGCGGAAACTTCGTCCGACAGCCCAAAATCCAAGTCCGAAGTAGTTATAACATTCCTTGAGGTAAGTTTTTTTAAATATTTTAAATTCTGTATGGTAAATGTATTTAAGAGACCACGGTGGCCAGGTGGTGGATGTAAATTAGGTGCAGAGTTGTGGAGGAGGCAGCATTAATTCGAATCAGGTATCTTCATCTGAGAAAAAAGGTGCTTTAAATAAATGTAATCTGGGTGCAGAAGTTTAAAACTCAAATAAGTACATTGGGCACAGTATTGCATTTCATAATAAAAAAAAAGGTAAACATAAGGAAAATATCAATATACAGTATTCCCTTAACACTCGCGGTTTAGACATTTGTGGTTTTCACTATTCACTTAGGAAAAAATGAGGAAAGTTTAGACATTTGCGGAAGTCCGATTTCTTTATTCGCGAAAAAAAAACTAGTTGCATAAACAATTTTATTTTCGTAAATAATCGTAAATCGTAAAAATAATTCTGTAAAAAAATGTATCGGAGGCTTTAATTGATTCTCAGAAAACTTTTGCCTGCTTTCAACATACTGTTCCTTCTTTCTTCTCAGTTTGTGGAAGTTGTATCGCAAAATGCCTCCCACAACGGAAAAAGCCATCCTGATCCTTGGCAAAAGAATAAAAATAATGGACATGTTACATTTTTTACAGTTTTTATGCAGGCAAAAACATTNGGTATATGTTACGCCCAATGTGTATACTGCCGTCTGTCTCGTATTTGTCCCACTAGGGTCCTGAGTTTGAACTGCACCACCAATCATGTTGCCCGGGCCATCCATTTAAATACTGGGGGAACTAGCTGTATGATCCACATCCCGACTTGTCCCGTTTAAACACAACACTTCATCTGAACATTGTGTCCCGGCCTAACTATATATCGTCCGTTTCCCTTGTCCGAACCACTGCCGTGAATTTCTACACTCAGTGTTCTGTAATACAGAAATCTACCTACAAAGCTTCAAAAAAGAGGTTTTTTTTCATATTTACATTGATGGATATGAGAGATGTGGTTTATCTAATCATTTTTACTCGTTTAGATCGTTTCACATCTCTTAATATATGCAAGAAACATAGTATCAAGCGGAAGTATGGATAGAAGGATATCTACAGTTATATTTCAACCTGCTCTAATTGATAATGCAATGCCTGATAAAAGAGGTATGAAATTGTGTACTTGCAAGCAGAATTGATTTACTTATTTTAAATTGTAATTAGACTTGCTGACGATGCAAGAGGCCACTCTAGGAGTCGTTGTACAACAGCTTGTCCAGGCTGAATCGCACCATAGGAGGGAGAAGAGCAATTTGGATTTGCTAGTTCGAAAACTTCAGTCCGTACCTGAAATGAATACAGCCACTCTGAAACAGGTAAACGACGAATAAATTACAAATTAAACAGTTATAAATTGCTTGTATCGTCTTGCAGCACCTTCCAGAAAGCTATGCCAACCTGAACGAGGTCGAAGAGTGCCGCCGCCAGGTCACAAGGATCGTAACTAGAGAATTAGATGATAAAAAGAGAGAGTTGGATCTCTGCTTTTTCATAATTGAACATTGCATGTACATCGTTTGGACTCATCTTGACTATTACATGCTACGCGGGATTTCAAACAAAGTACTTGGAACAACAAAACAGACAAGTAATTAACAATATCATTTATTAAAGTTGGAAAATTATTATTTATTTTTTATTTTTTTAGATAAATCATTTAATCAAACAATGCATTTTGATGTTACGTGGAATGTAACAACTGATGATTTGAACCATCTCAAACAAGGTCTTTTATCAGTGTTCAATGACACATTCACAAATTCCCTCCGTTCTACAGTGCAGGTGTTTTTTTTTCCTTGCAAATTCTAAAAATACTTTTGTTAATTTAAATTATTAATCTGTGTTTGTTTTAGGACATGCATGCGAAAGATAAAGGATTTTTAGAAGCGCTCTTAAGGAGAATTAAAAAGCTAATTCAGTTCGCACCAAACTAAGAGGCAAAACATTTTACAATGCCGGTCTTACATTTTCTTTTTTATTTGTAATATTTAAGAAGTGTAAACAATGTAAAAAACAAAATTACGATTTGGTTAGTAAATGGTTGTCAAATAAAATAAAAAAAATTAACAAAATTTCATGTAAATATAATTTGATAAGAAATATCACCAAAAATACTGCCAGCCTTGATGTTGTTAAATCTGTAAATATAATGTTTTCTTTATTTAGCAATAATTTTTTTTTTTAATACATATTTCTTAGTTATTGTAATAAAATAATTCATTTTGAATTTACATTAAAAAATGTATTGGATTTTTTCAATCGTGTCCTGCCATTTTAAAGTAGGTAAAAAGAAACGAACCCATGCTAACTATGCCATTCAAAAACCTATCTTTGATGATGTTGAGAAAGTGAAACACATCTGAAAGCAAGAAGATAGACAAAAAGAATGTAATCAGCCAAACTAATTTTTTTTTATAGACTGGAACAAAAATGATATTTGTGTTCTGTCCCCTAAAAATTTGTTGCCTCTTGATTTTTTTTATTATAAAATCATAAAAATTGTGATAGTTTTGAAACAACTGCACCAGAATACAAGAAACTTTGCATGAATTTTTTTTACAACTCTCCAAACTACACGCATAAAGTTTGCCTCAGACCAAATGATAATAATAGATATAAAATAAAATGTTTTTATTATTTTTCTCATTTTAGGTTAAAATCTCAGTTAAGTTATGAATTTTTATGTAGAACACTGGATGTAGGAAAAAAATCCAACCAGTTTTTTTTTTTTTTTTTTTTGGGATAAAAATTTATATTTTTAAGTGTTTTAAAGGTTGATTAAAACAAATCCAAATTTTTAACCAATATTTTTGTTTCACTATATGGAAGCATATTCTGTTTTTGTAAACTTTTTATACATCTCATTTAATATAACCCTAAATATTTTCTTATTATACCTGAAAAAACAACAACCAATTAATAGATAATAACTTTGAAATACATACCCAACACAGGCTGAAAACTTCATTAAAAAAAAAAAAAGTAAATTACATAAAATACATATTTTTGTTGTTTGAGTTTTTGTTATTTTTCTCATTTTAAGTTAAAATCCAGTCAAGTTATGAATTTTTAAGTTTATATGTAGAACACTGGACGTAGGAAAAAAATCCAACCAAATTTTTTTTGGGGGGTGGGGATAAAAATTTATATTTTTAAGTGTTTTAAAGGTTGATTAAAACAAATCCAAATTGTCAAATTTTTAACCAATATTTTTGTTTCACTATATGGAAGCATATTCAGTTTTTGTAAACTTTTTATACATCTCAATACAACCCTAAATATTTTCTTATTCTACCTAAAAAACAACAACCGATTAATAGATAACTGAAATACATACCCAACAAAGGCTGAAAACTTCATTAAAAAAAAAAAGAGAGAAGTAAATTACATAAAATACATATTTTTGTTGTTTGAGTTTTTGTTATTTTTCTCATTTTAAGTTAAAATTCAGTTGTTATGAATTTTTATGTAGAACACTGGACGCAGGAAAAAAAATGTTTTCTTTTTGTTGGGATAAAAATTTATATTTTTATGTGTTTTAAAGGTTGATTAAAACAAATCCAAATTGTCAAATTTTTAACTAATATTTTTGTTTCACTATATGGAAGCATCTTCGGTGTTTGTAAACTTTTTATACGTCTCATTTAATACAACCCTAAATATTTTCTTGTTACCTAAAAAAAAAAAAAACCGATTAATAGATAATAACTGAAATACATACCCAACAAAGGCAGAAAACTTCATTAAAAAAAGAAGTAAATTACATAAAATACATATTTTTTGTCAGCTCTGAGGATCATTGACGAAAACACTCACATGTATCTAATAGCTTAATCTAGTACTACAAAAAAACAGTTTAATTAAAATTGATAATCACATGTCCATATCCTCCCCTTTTTTGTGTATAAAAATATAAATAAACAATGGGAGGAAGGGGAAAATATGATGAGGACGAGCTTTGTATTTTTTCTGACCATGCAATTTCAATACTTCAGAAGAGCTTGTTTTTCTTCCTTTTTGATAGTTAAAGAGGACATTATTTTTTTATTACCCTGAGGGTTCATTGTTTCCCGGGAAAAACAGTTGTCGCTGGATGTTTGAATGAGCCAAAGCCGCCACGGGAAAATCTCCATTGAGCCTCATGCACCCGGAGACCGGGTTGATTGTGACAGTCCGAGGAGTAACTGTGATAATTGAGTTGCTCACAAGCCTATAAAGACGGCTGTAAATATTACCTGACAGAAATGAAAGTGAAATGCGAAGTATTTTATGCTGCCCGCATATTGTGTTTTACCGCCAAATTCGATAAATTGATATTTTGTCCAGAAAATCTTTACTTTGCCTTCAACTAATTATCTATGTGGAAACGCTCAAATTGATTTTCTTTTGTTTAAAAAACTTCTTTCTACTGTTACACACACAAATCTGGTGCATGGTAATTATCAAGAGTAAGGCATCTTAGTTTTCTCAGTGGCATGGCTCCTTCTTGAAAAAATAGTTCTAAATGAAAAGTAAACTTGGCTAATTTTATCTTAACATCAAAACTGCCTTCTTCAAAATCAATCCTCCAATAGCTTAATTCTGTTTAAAAAAAACTAATTAGTTGTCTACATTATTTGATTTTACAAATTAAGAGACCTCTGTTGAATGGTCATAACTCCCCAGCTCTGTTGAGTCTGTTTTACACTTTCTCACAGAATTCTCCCTTCTAGGGTAGAAATGAAATTTACACACTTTAATGCTAACATATTTATTTTAAAAAAACGCCAATTGGCGAGGTCATTTATTTACACAATTTTAAGAATTAAATGTAAAGTTAAGTTCTGCACAAAAGGTAACAGGTATATAATTTTTGTAGCCTTTTTTATTTCCTTACCCATTGCTGTTCAACATTAAGAACATGATACAATCGTACATGAATAACAACTTTAAAATAAATAAAAAATAGGTCTAAGATCAATGCACAATTAAAGGACAAGAACTTTACGTTATTATTTAAAATTGATTAAATGTTCAACTATAAAATATACAAAAAGAATAATTTAATAATTTTTAATTTTAACAATTAAAGGTAAAGTTAAGTTCTGCACAAAAGGTAACGGGTATATAATTTTTGTAACCTTTTTTTATTTTTTTACCCATTGCTGTTCAATATTAAGAAAATGATACAATCGTACATGAGTAACAACTTTAAAATAAATACAAAATAGGTCTAAAATCAATGTACAATTAAAGGACAAGAACTTTAGATTATATAAAATTGATTATAATCTTCAACTGTAAAATATACAAAAAGAATAATTAGTCAAACCATAGAACATGCAATTCCAACAAATAATGGGGGGGGGGCTAAAGGTCTTGGTTTTTTCTAGAATGTAAAAACAGAAGAAACTATTTAAAAATAATCATATGAGACTATAAGCATCATAGGTCTATAAAAAGTAGTCGTCCCTTCTCGCCCTTATGCTCGCTAAAGGTTCCATTAACCTAGAAAAAAAAAAAAAAGTTGAAACTTGATTTTAGATGACAAATGGGCTTTTAACCATACTTCTGTTTTTTTGTTGGGCTGGCTTCTAAATTTGACTTATCCTGTAAAACAGAGAACAAATTTTAATAAATTCAGAACTGACAAGCAAAGAACAGTGGTGTCTGCCTAATATAAATTGAAACTAACCCCTGTTTAGATATACATTTATTTTAATCTAGTGGGTTTCTATATATTATTTTCCCCACATATTTATGTATTCATCTGTTTATTAGTGTTTACATTTATTTTCAGTGTGAAACCAGCTTTTAAATGGTGTGTGCCATTCATTTTTTTTTCTTTTTAACGGTAAGATTGATTAATTACAGAACTGATGGATAGGCTGGCTGTTAAGTGCTAAAACATTTGTCATTTTCAAGGTTTTGTAAAGAAAAAAACTACAAAAAGTTTTACAATTTTGTGTTTTCTTCATTTATTTATTATAACAATAAAGGATGGTAAATATACAAAAGTGTATTTCTATTTTTCAGATTTTTTTATTTAAATTAGTTTTTGCTAATTGTTGAAAATGTAGTCTCTACAATCTACAAAGGAGAGCTGTAAAATGGAGGAGGAAAAAATTGTTATTTGGAGCATATCGCAAATAGCTGAAATTGTACAAAAAGTTGGCCTTTCTTCTTCCAGACGTTATTTACAATTTTTTTCCCTTTTTTAATAAAGGCTGTGACCTTCGGGTCATTTCTGCCGAGTCTATTTAAAGAATGGAGTAGAGAGGCGGCGAATAGAAGTGCCTGCTGACCCCAGGGACAAGCCCAGCCAGGCGCCAGGAGAACAAAACCATTCCTATTTTATTTTTTTTTTTTTTTGCGCAGGGCTTGAGAGAGGAAGAGTCAAATGTCCAGGCACCAGTGACTCACTCCCAGAGTCAGACCAATCCGCCACCCTGCCCCCGGATGGGCCAGCACCTGCTGTACAAAGCAAGGGACCACAAGCGCCGATCTCCTCCATCCTTCACGAGGTTATGAATGGTTAACGTTACATTATGAAGAGGGGGAATAAATTAAATTTTGTGAATTAAACACTGGGTGACAGAAAAATTGGACTGTTACTGTCTATAATCATTTTTTTAATGAAAATATTTCAAATTATTTATTGCAAATTATTATATTTATTTTAAATATAATTTCAGTCGTACTGACTCAAATAATGACAAAACAAATAATTTTCGAAGTTGCTGCATTAAAAAAAGAGAATTAGAAGCGAAATAATGGTAACAATTAAAAACCCAAAAGGGTAGTTATGAAAATTTGAAACTAAGCACTTGTACGGGTTGCACCAAATTTGGCTATCGCCTATAGCAGCGGATCTCGTAAGAGACCCACCCAAAAACGTTAAGACAACGTTAGACAACAGATACAGCGAAAAAAATGATTGTTTTACAATTATTTATTTAACAGGTTATTTAACAATGAAATAAATAAATAAAAGCTGCCCCAGAGGGTTGACAGCCCTCAGCTTCCTCGTATTCAAAATGTTAAGGGGCCACCTTTTTTTTTTTTTAATATATTAAACTAGAATTTTTTCTGCAAGCTTTGGTGTAAATGATATGCAATTTTGAGCTCTGCACAAGTGCTAATTTTTTTTTAAATTTTCAACAAAAATTTTTAATTGTTTCAAAATGACTTTATTAAACTAGATTATTCTGTGCGTTCTTTGCTATAAATAATTTGCTATTTTGAGTTCTGCAAGTACCATTTTTTTTTTAAATTTCTTTAATAATTAAATTATTTTGAGTATGATTACATAGATCAGAATCGCATCTACAAATCACAGTATGGCTTCAACGAAATGATGCATCACAAGAAGCACGATCAAAATGTTGAAAATCAAAAGTGAAAAGTGACTTTTATGTTCCATTTTCTCAGTTTTTGTTGAATATTTTGAATTGCTTTTTATTTATTTATTTAATTAACAAAAACAAAAAATTTTGTCAAGCACTTTTTTTATTAGGGCCCTGAGGAAAAAAATGATGATAATTAGAGGGCAGAATTTTCAACAGCATGCAAAACAAAATCCCCTCCCCCCAAAATTAAAAAATTAATTAATTACATAATAATAATTAACACATCATTCTGGAACGATGAAGATCACAGACCTTTAGTATCGCTTTGTCATTACGAAACTACTGTGAAGACGGTTTGTGAATTTTGACCTTTTGGAAATTTTTTATAATTTTTGAGAAAAAAATTCTATATCTTGGCAGTCATTACAAATCAGTGCCACAACAAATGGATTAAACTTTATATCAAAATGTTTACAAGAAAGCCGTGGATAAAATAAGTCCCATTATGTTGGGATTGGACCATTAAGCGAGGAACCACCAACACAACACGACGTGACGTGACCCAAGCTAGCCTTGTCTTGTTTTACTAGGGTGTGCACATCTATTCGATGTCAAACACACGCCACAGACAACACAGGGTGCATCACAAACCAGTGTCATAATCGCAACAACTCTTTTGCTAAATAAATTGTTAGTTAAATTCATTCTACCAACAAAAGTTCTGGTGTGTTCATAAATTTTGTGCAAACCATCATTAAATAATTTTTATAAAAACTCGTGAATTTTTCATCTAGTTAAATTTGGTTTATAGTAAGATAAGCTGTAATTAATATAACGCACATTGTTACATATACAGAGTTTGAAATAAACTACAAAAAAATATTAGTGTCTGGTTCTTTTGTCTTTTACTGTGCTCGATGAAAATCTGGACATTGGGAAATTTGGTTGTACCGCGTAACGTAGAATAGGGTAGTGTTAAGTTGCATCAAGTAGATGTGAAAGAGGGTAATGCTATCTTATGGAAAATTGGACATTGGACGTGTCGGGTCACGTCGCGGTCATTGCTTCGGGTAAATGTGTTTCCTGTTTTAGTTCTCGATCTTAAAGAAAGAATGACAGTATTAGAAAAATAAATCTGAGAATTAGTTGAACCCTCACTTAAAGAATGAAACACTAAAGAAAAAAATTAAGCTGTAAGTTTTTATTAATAAGCTGGACAAGCAGGAAAATGCAGTTTGGTCTTTTTTTTTTTTTAAATCATTTTTGCCAGTCAATAACATTTATTTTAGAAACTTCAAAATTCCGACTGCTGAACATGTTTAGATAATTGGGATAATACTGTTAGTACAATAAAACATGAACATAAAATTAAAATGAGATTTAATGTGTAATTGGTTAAATAAAATGTCAACCCTTACTTTTAATTTACAGGCAGAATCGCATGAACAGTTTTCATTGCAGTCTAGGTCATCCTTTTTACAAGGACAGGATTTAGGAGAGCATTCTTCTTGGCAAGAGCATTGCGGGTTTGTCTTGTTTTTGCTGTTACATCTTCTTTTCGATGCCTATTGTAAAAAAAGCAAAAAAAAAAATTTAATTTAAAACAAACACGGACATCTCAACACGAAACAATACATTCTACTGTTTAAATGTTCTTGATTTCAGAAGGGTTTTTCATAAGATGCATTTTTCTTAGAATGTAAGTCACCCAACGGTTTTGCAGGCGCTTCTAAACGGAACCCCGGTTAATCGGTTCTAACGCATTTCGAACGGAGGAACTGGTTTATATAAAAACGATTTACCTTAAGGGACTGCAGCCTCTTGTAGAGGGGCGTGCGCACCCAGTCTGGATCGTTGTTGGGGTCGTCATTCTCTATCTCAACCGAATCGTCAAATGCCCTCAACCTCTCTTCATCGGCCAATTCGTAGGTGAACGTCTGTGTTTTCTTTTTGCTCTTTCTTGTGCCCTGACCAGCCAACAAATGATTGAGTTAAAATAAATGCAACAAATGAAATTATTCTTGTTTAGGGCAACATTAATTGCCTTAGTTTAACCAATAAGCGTTATTTTCAGACCAGATATGCATTACAACTGACTGAATCAATTATCAATCATAAATTTTATACTTTCCTTGTCTGAAAGAATTAAATCTATCAGCCACTTGATGTAACAGGATTGAATCCTTTATTGGAAAACCTTCAAAACTGAAGTTAAACAAAAATCACCGATCGTCAACTTGGAAATGAAGATAGGTGCAGTTGATATTCATACAAATAACAATGAATAAGTAAAAATTTATTTTACTCGATAAGAAGTGTATTTTTAGTTATGTTTTGCTTTGTTAACTTAAAACAAATACAGAAGAAATGAATTTACTAATGGACTTTTCAAATCATGTGAGTTTCCTCCGTTTGCGGGGTGATAAACTTAACATATATCCTGGCCTATCATAACCGATTTTTGTTAATTCAGTCGCGTTTTAGCATTCTGTCATCTTCGGCACCGCCACGGCGATTTGCCAAAACACATCTGAATTAATAAGCGAGGGGATAGGCAGACCAGTATGATAGATAACTATCAAAAAAAAAAAAAAAAAAAATTCCAAACTAATTTGGATTGACATTCAAAATCAACCAAAATATTTGCCATGAAGAAACTGATTTAAATGTTTACTTCTTCAATCCAAAACATGAAATTGATCCAATTTGTTCTTTATATTACTATATATTATATACTTACATAAAACACCCTACTTAGTTAACCATTTCAGGTCGGTCAGCACCAAGGTACTAAGTGAGCGTGATATTGCGCTATAGTCCCTTTGCTTTTAGACTGAAGCTCAAAGAAACAGTGTACTGTAAGTTATTTTTAGCAATGTTGTTTGCCGTTTTAAGTAACACACTGCTTCTTTGAATTTCAGTCTAATAGTGAAGGGAGAAGAGTGTGATGTCACGCTCACAGTACCTGGGTAGAGGGACAGGTGAGCATGACTGAAGACTCTCAGCTCCTCACAGGAGGAAGCAAGAGAGGGATATCACTCTACCTGTCTTGAAAGGGTTAACTTGCTACGTTTTTATCAAAACGCCCCATATCAATGGAATGCTATCAAAAAAATGGGATTTTATAATTTTAGAATATTTTTTGTGTATTTTACTGTGATAAACAAAATTTAGTGAAAATTTATATTTTTATCAATTAATAATCGATTATGGTCCACAGATAACGGATGCCACAATGTAATTTCAAATGAGGTTTTGAGTTCAACGTAGCAGACAAAAAAATTCCCTTTAAACAGAATGAAATTTTTGGACGGAAACTTCTTTAGAATACTCATAACACAAATTTATTACCAAGCCTCCTGTTCTGCATCATCAGTGACCAGTCTGTTAAACCAATCTCCTGGTGCAAAAAAGGAAGCCGGTCAGAGCTTTAAAAACGTTGCAATGAAATTTTTTTATTTTTAATAAATTAAAAATAAATTTCCACATTTTTTTGGTCTACATGCAGTTTTTAGATCGTGCACATGCAATAATTGATCTTAAGAAAAAGTACCTTCGATGTAGTGAAGGTTGTATCTTTTTGCTCCAAAAAGTTTTCAAAAGCTTCCATATGCGTAGATGGCTAAATAAACAAAAAAAATTGATAGTTTTCAATCATTAAACAATCCTAATAATTAATAATAATAATAATAAAAAGCAAATTGCCTTATGCATTTATTAAAACTAAGCAAAAGAAGAAACGCTACATTTAAAATTTAGTTTAATTATGTAAAAACCATATCTACAAATATCTATTTATGATATCCATTTATTAATTGCTTTTGATTCGGAGAAAATGATATTTTTAAAAAATAATATACACGTACAGGTTTGCGCACGACAAGTGCTTTGTTCAAGGTGTCTACTTCTTCCTCCAGTTCCTTGACTCTGTTCCTGAGCATCCCGATTTTCTCGAGCTCTTCATACTTGATATTCTTGTATTGAACTATCTCTTCAGACTCGTTCAGATTTGGCTCTTGAATGCGCTTCAACAAGATGTAGACCTACAAGAAAGAAAAAAAATGTTAGAACATTTTTTTTTAATATTTAAAAAAATTTGACTTACTTTTTCCTCACATTCTTTTTCCAAATTTTCCAATTCCTCTTTGTGATTGGCAGCCATTATTTCCATCTTTTGAGAGTAGAGATCAAGCTGGTTGACATATTCATGTTGTTGTTCCTATTAGAAAAAAAAAAAATAATATAAAAAATAAAGTATAATAAAATGTGAAAAGCTGCCAAAAGACCTTGAGCTCTGAAACGGACTGTGCAGTATTTAAATTTTCTTTTATTTTTTCAGACACAAGGCTGAACAGGTACGAAACAGCAAACTTTGCATCGCCCATGGATTGCAGCATATCCCAGTTTCCTTTAGGCCGATCTCCTAAAGAAAAAAAAAAAATAGTAACAATAATATGACAAGTTAAAATAAAAGTATTAACAATATATTACCATGATGGATATCAAGAAGCTTTTGCTGAAGGTCAGAAATTTCGGCACTCCTGTTGGCGATGCCTTCTTCAATTTGCTTCATGTCCATTGCTAGTTTTTCTTTTTCTTCCTGGGATATAGAATTATCCTGCAGGCTTTCCTTTACAAAAATGATAATAAACAGGTTTACTTTTATCAATTTAAAAAAAAAAATATTTTAAGTACTTTGACTATGGTTAATTCTTTTGTGAGAGAGGCTCGATCTTGAATTAATGAATCGAGCGACCTCTGGGCTTGATATTCAGATTCGAGCAGCTCGAGCTCCTCCTGCATCTTTTCTTTTATCCTCTCTGAGGCTGGGCCCTTCAGCCTTCTCATCTTGGCCTGCTTCTGCCTGTCCAGGACAGCCATGATTCTCTTGTTTGCGGCTGCGGCAGCTTCGAGTTTACGCTTCAGTACGTTCTGCTGTAGCGAGTGCTGTTGTTCCAGTTTTTTCAGCTGGTTCTGCCGTTTAACGTTCTGGGAACGAAGCACGCACATTTCCCGATCTTTCTCTACCTTCCACGTTCTGAACTTTTCATTTTCACTCTTCATCTGATGTATCAGTTTTACCTTGAGTTGTTTCATCGACTGCAAGCAAATTGAAGAAAAATTAGTTAAATGAGCTTATCGAATATTACAACTTGAAAATTAATATTTTACCATGATATCAGCCTGTAAAGCTTTCATTTTTTCATCAGAATTCTGCTTCATTTTAATTATCTTTTCTTGTTCTGCAATCTTTTTAAGAAGCGTTGTCTTCTGTTGCTCAAGTTCATGGAGCCTTTTCCTTCTCTGTTCAGCAACTCTATAAAATTATCAACTCATATAAAGTCAAAGTCCAAATAAGCCTGAAATCGTATAATTTTAATCGACAAATTTCTTACTTGCTGGCATTGTTCGCTGAATTTACTGCAGCGTTGTTGATCTGGCTAAGCAGCTCGTCCTTTTCAGCCTGCAAGGATTCGACTTGCTTTTTGAGATCATCGACCTCCTTTTGAGAAACGCCCTCAATGACACCAAGTCCATTTACATTTTCGGACAATTTTGCCATTAGCTCTTCTTTCCAGACAAGATTCTTTGTGATTTGCTGAGAGAAAAGAAAAAACTTGTTGAACTAAGAGCTGTTTAAAAATTACTTTAAATAAATTAATTCACACTTACATAAATTTCTTTGTTGATCTTTGCCTGGGATAGAATGTGTTCGTGCCTTATTGGTGTACTGAGTACATCCTCTTCGAATGGGCTCTTATTATTTCCTGACAGCTTTTCATGACTGAGCATCTCCTTCTCGCACTGGAGTCTCTGCACCTAGGGAAAAAGTAAAAAAAAGATGAAGGTATAAAGAAAATAAAAAAGGACTTTGGGAAAAGGATTACGTCTTTCATGCAATCAGCGAGGATTTTTGAGGAAACATGCAGGGTTCTTAGGACTTCTTCAGGGACTGAATATACTTCAAAAAAACCAAGGACTTCTACCTGAACCTCAAGAATTTTTGTTTTGATGTCTTGCAGAATCTTGTTCTTGTCGATATCACCTGAGTCTGCGTTGATTGATTCAGACAGGTGAGTTAATTCAGAGAACTTCTCTTTCATTGTCTCTTCTAATTTCTCTGCCTGTAAATTTTATTTTTGATTAAAAAATAAAATTGAAAGCCTTGTGTTGAAATAATCCAACTTTGGTGAAAAACATACCATAACAGCTCGCTCCAATAAATTGGAGCTTTGAGACATATACTCGGTTAAAGTTTTAAGAAGCTCTTTGATACGAGTCTGAGCATCCTCCAACTCCTGTTCCAACTGTTTGTGACTCGGAGGACACTCATAACTGACACCACCTCCTTCAATAAATTTCAGCCTCATGTCTTCCAACTACAAACAAACGGTTAAAAACTCATTGCCTTTTATAGAGAGAGAGAGAAAAAGTTTACTTCTTTCTTGAGCTTGGATATTTCTGCACTTTGCGAGTCCTGGTTCACTACCGGCTTGTTCTTGATCTTCTTTGCCCTGTCTGCATACCGAAGGGTGCTGACTGACTCGTCTTGGTTGTAATCAGCTGGACTCACACATGCAATCATAAGCGTGACAGAGTTTCCACCAAGTGAATCTAAAAAAAAAAGAATTTGTTAACAAAAAGAGTATTTATGAAATTTTTATGATTTATTAATCAAGATTTTTTAAGAACCTTGAAGGAGACGAGTGAGCTTGCTGTCTCTATAATTGATGAAGCTATTCGTTCCATCACAGAGTTGCGATATGACATTGCCGAGTACCATGAGCCCTTTGTTAATGTTGACCCCTTCTTTGAACCTATCGCCTGTGGCACCAGTTTTTTTCGACCTTTCTGATCCGGCCAAATCCACTAAATGGAATTTAGATGTCATCACTTCCTTCCTGTAAAAACCGTCATGTAAAATAATACTGGGAAACTTTGAAATATGAAATAGATCTTACGGGTTTTGCTTATTGGTTATTCTAATATTAAATGTGAATATGGCATGAGATCGTGATGACTGGGCGTTCATGGCTGTTGCTCCTACCACCCTACCTTGAGAACCCTTTACAAAGCTTAAAATTAATAAAAGATTTGGGAGTATTTTTTTATCGCATTAAAATAAAATTACTTCTTGAAGCTGGCTGAGGGCTTCAGCGGGCGAATGGACCTCCACTTCAGTCAGACCGGGAATGCAAACGCCGTTATGCTGCTCTCTCATATCGACCACGCTTTGCTCACGCGGTTTGTTAGTCAGCAAATCATAGAGGCTTTCATTATACAACTAGGCAAATAAAAATTTTTTTACATCATAAAAATAAAACACCTGAAAAATCCGTCTACTTACTTCTAAAAATGAGCAAGTCACTCTATACGAATAATCAGTCTTTGTTTCAATTGTATCAAATATATCATAAACCGCTCTAGGAATTACGCCTAGTTCGATGTCTCCGGAATAATTTGTACCCATAGTGTATGTTTTGCCAGAACCTGTTTGACCGTATGCGAGTATAGTCAAATTATAACCTAATAAATCAAATATCAATTAGAACCTAGTTAACAGCTGGATATTAAAAATATTTTTAAAAAAGTAAATACCTTTGAATAGATTTTCAATAAGATGCTTCACTGCGCAATTGTAGACCTTGCTTTGTCCCTCGAACTCATCGAAGACATAATTAAACGTGAACATCTGACTAGCTTTTCCGATTGAGATCTAATATTTTGGATTTACTATGCATTAATATACAATTGCTGAATTATCAGATTAAAAATATTTACCTGAGGTTCATTGGGTATCCTCTCAATGCAAGAGCGACAGCCACTTTCAGTTTCCGATTTTACAAGTGGCCTGATTCGTACAGCAACCTTTACTGAATCCATCTAAATATTTAAAAACAAATTTTTTAGTGAAAAAAAAAAAAAAATTCCTGTCATCACAGGAGTGTTTAACATCCAACTGGTTTTGAATTCTGTTGTGGAGGAGTCAAACCCCTGTACAATATTTATGTATTGTTACGTTTATGTTAGCGCGTCGGTTTTAGCATATTTTATTGAAATGAAAACGAAGCATTGAGTACTAAAGTTTATTATAACATAAAGCAGACCAAGATTTATGAATGGCACATAATATTTATTTATTATTCAATTACGAGTAATAATAGTTTTGTCAAGTTTGCTGAATTTGGCAGGAATTTCAACAAGTGGCAGATTGTCGATAAAACTCGCTCTTTTATTAAAATAGGAAATTGTCAAATCGGTTTTTGTGTGTTGTACGACAGGGTTCTTCAACAAAGATCGACCTATTCGCCTGATGGTTCAATCCAAAACAGTCAGAGTTAAGCTTCTCCCATAATTGAAATTTTGAACTTTTGGACAAATGTATTGTAAGATAGAACTTAAAAATCATACATGATGTGCCATGAACTCTCCCAATGTCAACGAATATTCAACAAGTGGCAGATTACTCAATAAAACTCGCTCTTTTATTAAAATAGGAAATTGTCAAATCGGTTTTTGTGTGTTGTACGACCGGGTTCTTCAACAAAGATCGACCGATTCGCCTGATGGTTCAATCCAAAAGAGTCAGAGTTAAGCTTCTCCCATAATTGAAATTTTGAACTTTTAGACAAATGTATTGTAAGATAGAACTTAAAAATCATACGTGGTGAATCAAAATCTTTCACAATGCCAAAAAGTGGCAGATTGCTCGTCAAACAAGCTCTTTTATTAAAACAGTCGTTAGTAGAATCAGTGTGTTATAATCAGGATCATAAAGAATTCAGTGTATACAGGTTAATCCACGAACGGGAGTTAAATGGCAAATAATAAACGATAAAAAGACAAAATTACCTTAAAAATAGGGTGAATTATATACGAAATTCAACGAAACTTGCTGAAAGCCCAAAAACCGTTGGCCGAAGGCTGGTTGACTGGTTCTGTTCCTGATTTCCTGCTTGCTCTGGCGGGTTCCAGCTTGCAACCGATTGAGCCGTCCTTTTTGATAAAATTCAATACAATCTCGTTTTTCCAGGATATATAAAACAACTTTTAAAAACCCAATAACTGTTTTTCTTGCATAAAAACTAATTTTTGAGAGGTTTTTTTAAGTTTGGGAGAAAGAATTTGAGGACAAGAATCTCTGTCAACGGTCAAGGTAGTCATGATAATAGCGAGTTATTTCGAATTATTTCTTTTTATTCTAATTTCCCCTGTGCTTAAAACAACCTTAGAATATACTGAACAACGGTGGAAAATTAATATAAAGGGCTATTTGGATAAAATTCAATTTCAAATTGGACTTACAATATCTCAAATGAATTATGAAAAGCTCAAAGATTTGAAAATCTCGGGTTGCGCGGGTTCTCTCCTCTCACTTCACTCAAACGAGAACTTTAAAAAAAAAAAAATAAATACTTTTATTAAACAACAACAAAAAATGCAACTTTGCAATGATAGAAAAAAATTGGAACAAAACGTAAATAACATGTGATGGTAAATATAAAAATCCGTTTGTTTAAAAAAAAAAAATTAAAGGTAACTCGGGAAAGCTTACTTTTATTTTCAACCCCGGTCTTTCGTTTAAATTGTCAATTAATGGAGATAGATAACGTTCCCCAACCCTATGCTAAATGTTTTACATTTTAATATTCAGTATGGAACTTTGTCGGTCAGTCTGTGATATTTTTGCATTCTGTTGCCTGTTTAAAACGCCTAAATTGGACCTGGTCCGCTTAGTCTCGCTACGCTTTTCGCTATTAACGATACAGTACAGCCATGAATTGACCGAGAACGGCTGGTCGAGTCCGTTAAATCCCTCAAACCTCAGGAAGGAATATCACAATTAACCAGTTTATAATATCATAAATCAGATTCAAATGATCTCCCGTTATATGAAGTTTTATAATAGAATCTTTTAACTATTGTAAACTAAAGTTTTTCATTTTACTGTTTGTCAGTTCATAGTGGTGATGGGGAAGCATGCTGAAACTAATTGTTTTATTTTTTGTTTTACCTACAAATCAGACCACTTCGAATTGACTGACTAAACGTTAACGCTCTGTTAATTTTAACAATTTTTAAACCGTTTTCAACGGCTTGTTTTAGCGCCGTGTAATGAACAACATAGTTTATTCTGTTGTCTAAATGGGTGACCAGTTTTCTATGTTTATTTATTATTTTGTTTTCTGTCAAAAATGGTAAGTCGTTGTGGTTATCATGAAGATGAATTGGGTAATCTACATCAACGTCTAAAATGTAGCCAACCTCTTCGTCTTCCATCATGACTGAAATATCTAGTAAAGGCATTGTCATTGCGTAACCGTAGAGGTTTACACAATCTTGATAATTAATAAAAATTGATTCTTCTTCAGAGTCGAAATTGTCATCAGGCCTCGAGAATCACCTACCCCGTGATGTTGGCAGACCGAGGTCAGACCTTTATCTCATCCGTCTAGATAGCGAGGTTGTGCTCCAGGAGTTATCAAACTGCTAGATCATTTCAGCCCTTTACATAATCAGTCTTCCATTCACACTCTCACTCATTCATAAATACATTTATACCCCTTTACCATTCTCAACTGAGGTGGAGTATATTGCTCAATCATCCTCTTGCTACACATTCATGCTAATAAATATATTCACTCTGAACACATGCTGGGGCCGCAAAACTATCAGTACAGTAAAACCTTGATTTTCCGGGCCCTGGGTCTCTGTGAACTTACACTACAGTATACAGGTCCTATATATTTTATGTAACAAGTTTCTTCTGAGGAAGACAGTCCTTTTTATGAAAATCCCACTGGTCTGTTTACGTCTGTTGCGGCCTTCGTTCCCTTCCCCATTTATGGACATCGTTTCAGAACGAGCACCTCGTCTAGAAAATCCCTGCTTTCAAAGCTAATGATAAGTAGTAAGGTTTGGGTGTAACATAATTGAGGGTCAGTGGGGTACTCAATATACTGCCGTTGTCCCTCTCGTACTATACATTCACTCTCGACATACTGAGACAAAACTATCACTGCTATAGGCAATAAAACAACTATTTCCTCCAAGAATCGGATCAGGGATGAGGCCTCAAATTGAGCTTTCTCTCCACGCCAGACACATACGTGTCGACCTAACACAGACCATTCTTAATTGGATGAGAATGATCCTTCTGTGAGTCCGGCTCTCAGAATAAAGGAAAAATTAATGTTAATTGGAGGATTAAGAGGGTCGGGCATTAGGAAAGGTGTCTGAAGGATCAAGATCAGCTGCTTGATTCCATCCATTTCTGAAAAAGTTCGCTTTCTGGCTTAGCACTAAATTAACAACAAAAATATTAAGTAAGTATTTTATTTCGGCACAACATTGATAATGATAATTATTTGTTCATAATATAAATATAACAACATTGTAAAACTATTGTTAATACATTTCTTGAAAAAGGATGGGATATATGTTTTTTTTTATTATTTCGTAAGTTTTCAGTTTGCCTCAGTACGAAGGTGAGCAAACTAAAAAAGAAAGAAAAGGTAACTTTGATAGTTTTATTAATGCTACGCCACTGATGTTTTTAGGTGGGTTCTACTAATGGCATAACTTTTGATATCTTTTATCCAGCCTAGAAAAACATGAGCATTGCAAATAATGTCAAAAGCACTGAAAGTTTTAAAATTTATCCATCTGTTTTGTACAATCTTTCGTGTTTCAATCGTAATGCACGTAATTTTATAAATAAATCCGTGTAAATATACTTTTATTATAGTCACTGTAAGCAATAAAACAAAAATAAACCATAGAAAGGATAAAGCATATTTACATTAACAAAACAATATAACTATTAATTAAAATACCACCAGTAAAATAAATAAATTCAGTCTCAATGCTTTTTCAATTTTTATTGTATTGGTTGAAACTTGTATCCAAATTATATTTGAAAATGATTATGATACAACCTAATACAATAATATAAATACTGTTTCAAGCGTATTTTTGGAATATTCAGTTTAATATAGAAAAGTCTTTGGTGAATTGTTTTATCAACTGAATTGTCAAAAATAAATTTGGTCGATTTGGCGCCATTGTAAAATCACATCAAGTCAACTTATTTCACTGCTTGAACTGACCAAATTCTCTTCACCTTTTTGATAATTTCTTTATATTAAATGACAATTATTGAAATTTCCTTTTATGGTGGGATGGTATTTTAATTGTATAAACAAAAACGCTTGGAAAATATGAAGTTTGCTTTGCAATAAAAAATATAGATAAAAAAGCTAAATATATAAATCACAGAAAAATCACAAAAGTAAACAAAATACAAAAGAAATGCAAGTAATTTTTAAGTATAAAAGGAATGTAAAAAAATATAATAATAATTGACTAGTAATACATAATATTCCTTTGCATATCTGTGAATTTACCCAAATATGATTTTTTTTAAAACAAAATAAGCGGATTTGTAATCTTTAATATCATTTTTTAAAACTACTTTGCCCTGTTATTAACATGAAAATGTAAGCACTAATAATAATAAATAGTCTAAAAAGACTAATGTAAAACTACTCTAAAAACATTAGTGAGTTGTTTAAAAAAAAAAAAAAAAAAAAAAAAAAAAAGACGGAGAAAATAACATCTAAACAAACTGCACTGTTAAGCAGTAGGGGGTCTGTAAATTAAGAAATATCATTCATAAGAAAATGGACATATACATAAAAAAGGGAGACACTAGCTTAAATTGATAATTTAGTTCAAAATACTGACAGCTCAATTTTTGTGTTGTAAAAAATATAAAAAATTTGAAATCGTGTTTTGACTCCTTTAAAAATAATTAATTCTGTTATTAACAAATCTCTATTCATACGCAAAATATAAAAACAAGAAAAAACATGAACAAGATTGCACGCGTTACAAAAATGAAAGATGTTTACTCTCTTTTTAACCTTAACACTTAGGTAGAAAAAAGCTTTAGGATGGCAACTTTGACTAGTTTGAATTGTTTTGCTTTTGTAAGCTGCTTTTACTAAGCTTTTTTCATTAAATCTACTGCTGCCTATTCAACTGAATTCGTTTAGTTACAGTTGGTGAATCTTTGAGAAATGTACCAGACCTGCAACAAAGGAAATTTTTTATTAGTCTTTTGCCGATGGTTTCTATTAAATTGGTCAATCACCTTCCTGGTTGTGTGATTTGCCTTTGGCTGTTATTGACAGAATTTTGGTTGACATTCCTTGGTTGAGCAGCTTTTGCCGCAGATGATTTTGTTGCTACTCTGAAGGTAGAGGTCCTTTTCACCTGGTTTGTCGCTAAAGAAGGAGAAGGATTACCACCAGAGCCATCGGAACTTTCCCTTTTACTACTGTCACCTCCACCTTTTGAAACGCAATTATCTAAATCATACAAAAACTTCACACCTTCGTGTGAATTACCTGGGTTGCTTTTGGCTATTCTAGAGCCAGTACCTAAAACGGGCGTTTTGGGTTTTGTCGGAGGCCGAGAAACTCTACTCGTTGCCGGGGAAGATGTTCTTGAAGAGTCGCTAGAAGAAATCACTTTTCCGCCCCCGCTCAATCGCCGTACTCCACTTACAGGCCTTGCAATTTGACTGACAGGGGTTTCAGTAGTTTCTTTTTTATTACTTTTTGGCTCTAAGTATCGTGATTTGACCTGAGGAATATTTAAACTTTTAGATAAACTAGATAAATATTTAAATTAACGTTTAAAAGAGATGTTTCATTTTTGACACCGTTTTATAAAAAATGGGTTGCCTCCTGGAGTAGGACAAGTCTCAGGTTTGGTGACCATGACTATTAAACACTGTTCCAAGGAGATTAAAAAGCTAGATATTGCTAACAAAAGAATAGTCATCTTCTCAGATAGCCAGGTAGCAGTGAGGGCAATTACCACATTGGCACTAAAGTCCAGAGTTGTTTGGCGTTGTCGGACAAAAAAATTACTCTTGTTAAACCGTTATAGGGTATGGTACGGTATGGTATGGTAGAAAAGGATACTAGGAAGCTGGGTTTGCACTCCCCGGGCACTGCAGCCTTCTGGCTTATTGTACCTTCCTAGTTCCTTAGTTCAGTGCAATAGACTCAATCCTTCTTCTTAGAAGTATTAGGTCATTGACTGCCACTGCTGCAATTTGATTCCCTAAGTTTTTTCCGTATGTTAGGTTAAACCTCCATTGAGCTGTTGCTTCGCATTCGAAGATGATATGAGTGGCTGTTTCCTCCTCCTCATTACATAATCTGCAGAGAGGATCATCGCTGTATGTACCCATGTTGTGTAGATGTTTTCTCAGATGCCAGTGACCGGTTAGTAGTCCTACCACTCCTCTGAGTTTGGACTGTTATAGGGTACTTACTGTTTCACCCATTGGTCAAACCGACTTTGCCAATTCAGCATGAGTCCACCGACTCGCAGACCCACATCTTTCTAGGTATGAGAGCACACAGGGCAGAAGAGGTCGATAAATTTGCCAAGTAAAGTTCAATGAGGACACCTACTGGCCCTGAACTCTTTTGTGGCATACCAAACAGACAAAACTATCAGACAATTACTTAAAAGTTAAGTACAAAGTTTTACTTAAAGTTAAAAAATCTAGGACGAGTAAGGATTAGAATAATTGAAGGACTGGTAACTGGACCCTGCAGACAGTGCATATATATAGACTCTGAATGGTAGAAACAAACCTGTGAAGATATTGTCAGGAAGAAAAAAAAGACAGCAGAACATATCTTTTGAACAGAAATGATAAATGATGGAGTGAGTGCGGTGTTCAATCCTTTTTAAAAAGATAGTTCCTACTCACAGTAAGCGCTTACTGTGAGTAGGAACTATCTTTTTAAAAAGGATTGTCTTTTGAACATGACTTAAGTGGGGTACACACTTACAAGACACAATGCTACCCGACGCAAATTAGTGACCAATTTTCCATAAGATTATATTACCCCTGTGCATCTGCCCAATGCCACGTAATGCTACCCTATACTACGTGATGCAGCCAAGTTCACTATTGTCCAGATTTTCGTCAAGTACAGTTAAAGCAAAAGAACCGGACACTCGTATTTTTATTTTAAACTATGTATTATTTTTGTTTTATTAATTACAGCATACTTATTTTAACTTAAACTAAATTAAGCGAGATCGAAAATTCGTTAGTTTTTATTTACCAAAACACCGGAATACCAATTATTGATAGAATGAATTTAACTGACAATGTATTACATGGTTTTGATTGATTGAAAATTTAAAATTTATTACACATTTTTTCTCATAAAATTTATCTAACATTTTATTTCAAGGTTTTGTTCAAAATAGTGCATTAAGAACAAAAGAAGCGTTGCAATTGTGATAGCGATTATTGTGAATCATGCTGTGTTACTGTACTGGCATGTGCTCGACGTCGCATAGAGGTGCACACCCTACCAAAACGTGACAAGGCGTCGGGTAGCATCGCTTAACCATCGTATTTAAATAATTTTTAAAGGTTAATTAATTTTTGATCTCGTTTAAATATGAGTGTCCTGCTACTCGACGAAAATGGTGTAATTTTATGAGCAAAACCATGAAATAAATTGTTAGTTAAATTTTATGAGCAAAACTGTGTAATAAATAGTTAAATTCATTATATCAAAAAATGGTATTCCGCTGTTTTGATCAAATTTCTACCAAACCATTAAAATTATTTTTTTTAAATAAAAACTAATCAATTTTTTATCTCGGTTAATTGGTTTATATTAAAAAAGTATGTTGTAATTAATATAACAACATTAATACCTGTAGTTTGAATAAAAACATGAGTGTCCGATTCTTTTGCCTTTGACTGTACTTGATGTGACCCGACGAAAATCTGGACAGTGGGGATCATAGAGCGTAGAGTAGGGTAGCGTTGCATTTCATCGGGCAGATGTGCACGGGGTTTTGTGGAAAATTGTACTTTGGATTTGTGTCGGGTAGCGTCACATAGCGTTCCATCGGGTGTGTTCCTGGCCTTAGGCAGAAAATTTATCAAAACACGACAATATCATTTATTGATAGAACAAATTTAACTAACAATTTATTACATGGTTTTGCTCGTGATAATGCATTGAGAGCAAAAGAGGCATTGCAATTGTGATACACGCTGTGTGTCTGTGCGTGGCATGCGCTTGACATCGAATAGATGTGCAAACCCTAACAAAACGAGACAAGGCGTCGGGAGGAAAATATTGCAGGAGGGCCTGAAATATTGAAGGACCAGATGGGAGTTGTTGAAAAACCTTTGCGATCTGGTGGAAAGGGTTAAGCTTAATGAGGACTTCTACACAATGAAGGTACACAATAGACCACTACTGGATGCGCATATCATAAAGAGGGCGGCTCCTATTCTAATCTTAATCGTAACTACCCATCAACATATATTTTGACAATTTTATAAAAAGATAATAAAATCATTGGCTCTGAATGAACTGTTGAAAGCGTTGAAAAATCGATTGCGATAAGGGTCAATTTTTTTCAGGTGTGAGGTTGATGATCACAGTGTGTAGTCTGTTCATATCTAATTCAAGAATGATTAGTACACAAATCTCCTATCTTGAATATCTAGACTGATTAACAGACTCTTTTCCAACCTTACTCACCTGGAAGATTTAAAATGAGGCTGAAAGACAAGGAGAAAGATAACCTGATTGAAGGACAGCAGTCAGCCGGCTTAGCTCAGCTCTTGTCAAATCGAGAAGGAATCAGCACTATGGAATTGAGCAGAGATGACCATTTCTGGATCTTCGACTGATGACTATTCTTAAGTTGCATTAATTAAGTTTACAAGCATATAAATTATACTCAATTGTCAATAGTACTGTTTCAACATTGATTCTTTCTTGTCACAAACCCTTACAAGTTACATTATTTTTAGTTAAAATATACCAACAATTACATGTGAGAGTTTTGAAGAAATCTTCGGCCTTGGAACTCCCGATGTTTTGTTTTGTTGCAAACTAGCTGCCGAGGCGTTCGTGACCGAGGCGGATCTCTGCGGGCCTCGCACAGTCGGACCTTTGGGCTGACCGGCCAGCTGAGCAGTTTTGGTCACACTCGTTGTCGGCCTTTTTGTATTTGTGGAGGACGGAGGAGGGACCTTACTCCGGCCCAATATCGGAGTGTTGCCTAAAGACCTCTGGCCTCTTTCTGAAGAAGGCCTTGAAGCAGTATTCCTCTCGCCCAACCGAGGACTCCGCCCTTCCAAACACTAAACAGAACAAAAATCAAGGAACATCAATTTTTAAAGTTAAAAACTAAAATAAAATAACCTTTGTAGCTGAAGAAGAACGTGGTCCAGGAGTAAAAACAAGGCAAGCCATTTCTTGTATCTTCTTTCTTAAAGCTAAATCCATTTGAGCCCAAGAAGCCGTTCTTGCAGCACGTCCAGCTTGCCTTACTAGACAATCTTCTACTGAGCTTTCTAATTGGGTCAATAGATCCAAAAATTCCTATAAGTTGACAATTTTTTAAAATATTTGTGTTTTCATTTGTCAAAATAAAATTATGATGTATAAAAAAAATTGTGAACCAACTTATCTACTACAAACATCCCCAAATGATTACCAACCCATATCAATCCAACCTGTCCAAACCCCTTGAAAAGTTAGTTCATGTCGTATCATCAATTATCTAGAAAATGTCAATTTTCTTAAACGACATTTTTCCTCCACCCAAGCTGCCTAATTAAAATTATTAGTGACCTACTGACTTACAAAAAATTACCATGACTTCCTTGACTTTACCAAAACCTTTCATTACATCGATCATTCATCATTCCTATCCAAACTTGAATTTTCCTTTTCCATCAGTACCATCCAATGGTTATCTACAGAATTCAGTAAGATCTGAATTCCATAAACAAATGAGCATAAAAAAAACAACCTAGAATTAAATACTAGGAAATCCAAAGCCATTGTTATAGGAGCCAGTCAACTCCTCAAATCTCACTCCATTTCTTTCCACTCACCACCCTATTTCTTTTTACTGTTAAAAACCTCAGTGTTACTTTCAATCAAAACCTTTCCTGGAAACCACACATTCCCAAATTTCCCGATTGCATCCCTCATTCAATTTCGATGGTCCTGGCTCCTTCTACCTTTCACCACTTATAAACTGTCTCCTCCCTTGTATTTCCTCTCTTTGGCTACATCTATGGATGCTTATAGTGTTCTTTCGGAGGAATAAGAAAAGTGTATGAAAAGACTGATGACCTGTTGTGTCAGATTTATTTTCAGTACCTCCACCCTAATGTCAAGATCACACCTGTATTCAGATCTATCCTGGCTTTATCTCTAAATATTTCATAGGCAACTTCCTTCATCGACCTCACTATATTTTTCGACTACTTTAATATCATTTCTTCTATCCACTCTCAGAACACCTGCTGATCTCCCAATGACATATACCTTCCTAGTCCAATCCGCAAGCTGCTTCCCATACTGCTTTTAAGTCTCTCTTGTACAATCACCTCATCTCCCTCCAAACAGAGCCAACATAGTTCACAATATTATTAGGTGCTTTTACTACATAAGAAAGCTTGTTTCCTCCATTTTCTGAACTTTTTAGTTTACAGTTTGTAATTATGATCGCACAAGACAGAGTATTCTTTATAGTTACTATTTTCCCCTAAATTCTTATTACTGATACTATAATTTCTATTTTGTATTATGTGTTTTATGTAAATTTATTTTTATTAATTTTATTTAATATAATAATATTTAGTAATTTTATTTATTAACGTCAAACCTTCAGATGTCAGATTTACAAAATTGTTGTGACCTCATTGTTTATCTTAGAGGACACTAGTCCCAAAATAAAGTAAACCCCCTCTCTCTCTTTCACTCAATATGTACAATGCCACAGAAGGAAAAAGACAAATATTCACCATTCTCCAGTTAATTTCCATTTCCTCATCTCTTCTTATGCTGGCAAGAAGATTCTTTATTTTTTTATACGACTGACAAGATTGGTCAGGCGATAAAGTTCTTGAAATGCTCAAAAGAGTTTCTTCCAATCTGGTCATTGTCCAAACATCTTCCTTCCCGATCCTAATGAATCTGTAGAGAGAAAAATTATTAGTAAATTTTCTTAAACAATACTTAAAATATATGCCTTGTTTTTCACTTTAGTAGAAAAGAGTTTTCTTAATTAATTATCCTATCACAATTAATTATCCTTTTTAATGAGAATAAACTTTTTAAGACAAATAGTAACATTTATTCAGTTTATAATATATAAATATGTTTTCCAGGAAGCTTTTGTTTCATTCTTACAAGAGTTTATTACAATTAACGAATAGACTATCACTGTGAACACAAACACACAAAAATTTAGGCCCATAAATTTTAACACGACTGCACAAGACACATGTACATCATGTCAACTGTCCTTCATGGGTACAGCTCTGTTACCTCACTTCTCACACCCTTCATATTAATACAGGGTGAATTGCTACTCGTGCTACAAACTTCTCCAGTAGATTCTTCACCCTAAAATGAACAAAAAAGTTCATATTGTCCATGGTCCGATTCTCNTGAGAATCGGACCATGGACAATATGAACTTTTTTGTTCATTTTAGGGTGAAGAATCTACTGGAGAAGTTTGTAGCACGAGTAGCAATTCACCCTGTATACACCATGTCTCACATGTCAAGAGCCAGAAAATGGAAAATAGAGGGAAATAAACTGTTTCATAAAAATAACAGAGTTTGAATCTTTACACAGATCCTCTCTTAAAGAACAATTTTTGATAGACAAAAAGATTTCTGTAGATTTTGAACAGAACCAGTCGCGGACATTGCCATCAGTCCCAATCAGAGTAATTTACTCCTCTAGAATGGACATAAACAGTAAAAATATATTAAATTTCATTGTAAAAAATATTTGTTACAATTTTTTTAAAGTCAAAAGGTTCGCTAGTATCACACATTTCGTGTTAACTAAAAAATAACGAAAACTGTTTAAATTTTGTGTTATGACAGCTGTTAACCAATCTTTTCTTAAGGAATGGGCAACCGACACTTGGCAGAGCAGATGGCAAAATAGTGTCAAGGGCAGGCTTTACGTATGAGTTCTTTCCCATCATTAAAGAAAGAAAAAAGCAGAGTGGGGTGCAACCAGATTTTTGGTCCACACAAATACTTACAGGGCATGGAAACTTTGCAGTTTATCTGCAGAAATTCAAAAGAGCTAATACTCCAAACTGCCAGTTATGCCATTCCTGAAGATGTACGACACAAGCTATTCTTCTGCCCAAACATTGAACACCTTCGTCAAGACACACGAAACAGTTTCCACAATATATGACCTCCAGAATTGAAGGAACTTGTGAAAAGCGAACCAACGTATCAAGTGTTCAAACAGTTTACACAGAGCATCCTAGCGGGTAATAAACCAAGTACCTGAATAAACTTTTTAAATCATACCGTGTAATTAAACTGATATATTTAAGGGTATAACTTTAGTTCAGATAATTCCGGTTACTGGTTACTTCTTTAAAATTAGGTTAACATTGTTATACAGTACCTAAGATTGCGATTGTTTTTAAATGCTTAATGATAAATGATTTAATTGGTCAAGCGGACCATGAAATTAGTGAATTTAAAGAATTAATATGAAGTACACTTCACTAAAGCTCTCCGTGGCCATTTCAATTGTCGTCGAGAATCCAAACCGATTACACAACATTTGAAAAATGACAAAAAGGAGGGAAAACTCATAAGGTGGGGTTGAGATAGGAAGTTGATGTCTGAGTGGATCGAGGTCACGATAGCTCAAGTGGTAGAGCAGCGGCGTACCTAGCCGAAGATCGTGGGTTCGAATCCCGCTCGTCCCATTAACTTTTTTTCATCTCAACTAAAAACCTTAATTAATTATATATCTAACCTCCCTCGTTCCCCTCGTTTAGAGCGAGACATAAGGAAGGTGTTAAGCTTCCATTTTTCTCCCATACAAGAAAATAGGTCAGTTTGGAGGCCGAGGTCTGCCAGTATGGAGTCTCCTCAGATATGGCAGAGTGGTGGATGGAAAAAAAATGGTGAGCACATCACGCTCTTGCTTTCCCCAGTAGAGGTACTGTGAGCGTGATATCGCCTATAGTCTCTTCACTTTTAGACTGAAGTTCAAAGAAGCAGTTCGTTGCTTAAAACCTTGTTTTTTATTCATCTGCATGCCAGTGCAATATGATATAAATGTCACCTTCTCTGAATACATCTTTTATCATCGAGCAATATTGGGTATTAGCAGTTATGCTGAACTGCTTTCTGTTGTGATATGCACAGTAATATATAATAGTTCATACCTTTAAATGATACTGCAATAATATGACAAAATTATGACTATGTCATTCTATGATCTTAAGGAACGCTTCCATAAAGTTTTGATCAAAATCTGACCAGTGGATTTTGAGATTACTTCTTGTTTACAAACTTTCACCCTTTATTATTTTAATATAGATTACACTGCACATACATTTGTGTCTATGGTTTATTTTGAACGTTGCTTAAAATTTGTACAAAGAAATAAAAGAACTTACGCTTCGCTAGATAGAACATCTGCAAAATGTTGAGTAAGGTATTTGACAGAAGCTTCATGAAGTTTCAAATTCATATTTATCACAGTTTGAGCCCATTTCACATTTGTGACTGTCGCTTCAAGTTTTTCACATCCCATTATAGTTTCCAGAACATTTTCTGCACTCTGAAGACATTGAATTAATAAAACAACTCTTAATTAAGGAGAAAGTGTTATGTACCAAGTGGACAATGTGCTGTTTGTAGCATTTATCTTGAAGTTCTTTAGGCAAATTGGCGAATCCCTTGGTTGGCCAAACTCTCACGAAATATTTGGTAATCCAACGCAACGACTTTCTGTATATTTCATCGAGCCCATAGGCTGCGGCTAATGGAAGACATTCTAAAACACCACTAATACAACTGTTGCTGTTGCAAGGCTGAAAAGAGAATAAGTCTTTTAAACACAGAGCTAAAATTTGCGCGAGTTAAAGGAAATAAAATTGACCTTATGAAAAAAATGACAATATTTGACTTTTAAAGTGTACATGATGACTTCTTTAAGTCCTTCTAGGCAAAGCATATCAGCTAGTGTAGCTAATTCAACAATGTTTATTGTTTCAGGTATATTGCTCGCTCCACTGTATATATGACAAAGAGCAAAATGCACTGCATTATATGAAAATCTGAAAAATAATAGGTTATATGTTTACTAAATTAAATAATAAATAAATACATATTAAATTTGTTACAGAGGAAAATACTGTTGTTTTAACTCTTGTAAAAAATTATTTAGATGATTATATTTTACCCTTGGAGGGATATAACGTTGCCTGCAGATTCCACCCAACCGCCGCTCAACATGCCAGCAAAATACTGGCAACGAGAACTAAGAATGCACTTATGAGCTTTGATCCTCCTACCGCCGACATCGACAGTGACATCAGGAGATATTTCATCTAAAAACATCCGGAGGAGATCTTCGCCGAGTCTTGAGCACGGCCCTCCCGAAGCGCAAGATCCTTCTGTCCCTTCAGTGCTGAGTTCTAAAAGTTTAAAATTATAGAAGTCAGATTGAAAAAAAAAACTTAAAATAAATGTACCAAGAGGTGATGGGTTTATACTGCTTTGCATACTGCTGTGATTCGAAAAGTCTGTGTCACTTCCACCTTCATAGGTTCTTCCTGGATATAAGTGTGGAAAAAGCCTGCTGAGGGATCGGCTTGATGCTGAATTGGCCATCATTTTTGTCTCTAGCCAGTTGCCTTCGGGAATGCTCCTGGTCATTCTAGAGCTTCTCACCTCCTGACTTTTCCACATCCTGCTCGGATCGGGCTGATTGTCCATATCCGAGAGTTTTACAAACCCCACAGAATTGGAATTCGTATCTTCCACGATTTGCGGCTGTGACGAGAAGTGATCTTGTTTGGGTGTCAATTCTTCGTTTGAGCCGCTTGATCTTATGTCTATGGCTGGATCTGTTTCTGTATCATCTTTTGAAAGATCGCTAATTATATCATGACTGGGTGTAGACAGTTCGAGATCATTTGTATTGACATTGACCACTTTTGAAACATCATCAATAATGAAAGTACGATCTTTACTTGATCCTGATATATCAGTAAAGGGTTCTTCGCTCTTTATACTGCTACACATATCTTCCACCTTATCTACACTTTCACAATCTGAATGGTTTTCTAGACTTTTCCTAGCTTTACATTCTCTGAATTCATGTTTTGCCCCATTCTGAATTATCCTACATAGCTCATTACTCGCTTTAACCTGACAATGCCAAGAAGAGGTCATTTTGGATTTTCTATGTCCTGAACTGTGCTCATCGATTGAAACAGGACCAGATTTGTACTGCTCGTCCAAATCTAATCTCAAGTTACCATCGTAAGATATGCTGCTGGACCGTTTGTGCTCTCGGTCAGAAGAGACTTCTCCAGAAGCCTTTTTTTCACTGTTCCAAGAATGGCGGTTTGTAGAATGCTTCATTCCAGAAGGGAGCGTCCTTCTTCTAGGAACAGGAGATTCATCAGCTTCGATGAACATAAAAAAGCTCTGTCTTTTTGTTGAAAAAGCTGAGTCATTGGTGGAACTGTCAGAAATGGACTGCGGTCCGTGGTCCAATGAGGAATCAAACAATGTTTTTCCTTTTGTAATTTCTGGATGTTCACCACAGTCCAAACCTGAATCCGAACTAGTTGATGTACTTTTTTTATCAAGAGTTTTGGCTGATATCCTATCTATGTAATTTGGTGCCTTTCTCTTGTGTGGTAGAAATGGTGACCCCGGTTTACTTTTAGGCGGAGTATTGTCTTTCCCATTTCCAATATCTATAAATATTGAAAAAAGTTTCTTCTCGGGTTGTGGAGTATCTTGTTCCTTAAACTTTTTCAAGCCGTTTTCCGAGTCAGAATCATTTTTAAGATCTATGTAGAAACCGCATGAAGAATTTCTCTCCCTCTTTAGAGCCATTGAGTCACTGCGTTCTGAACTGTTACTAGTTACACTGTCGATAGATGGAAAAGGATCTTCCAGTGGGACAAAAAAACCTGTACCAGAATTACTATTCCTTTGCTTTTCTTTTACTTTGTTTGCTGAATCCGGGGGTGATTTTCCAGAATCGCTCATGTCAACAATCCAAGATGTATTCATTGAATTAGACGATCGAGGTTTGGGTTTTTTGACTTCTGGAACAATGTCACAACCTCCGGAAAGAATCGGTGCAAATTCGTTTCTCCTCCTTGACATTAGCGGGCTTGCGGTCAAAGAATAATCTGAGCTTGCAGACAAATCTGACATCTGTGTCTGAGTATTTGAAGGCATTATTGGAAACATTTCTTGGTATGTGTCGGTTTTATCATTTTTAGCAGATGAATTTGTATCTTCTGTGGTCTCAGCTTCTCGCTTTGAAGAAACTCCACTTACGGAAAGTGAGCTGTTAGGTTCTGAACTGTTTGAAAGATCTGAAAATCCAGACATGTTTAATAGTATCTGTTGGGGCTGGTCTGTCCTCAAAGGGCTCGATGTTTTAACATTTTCATTGGCCTGTTGCTCTAATTCCTCTTTTGGGGCATCAACAGAAAAAGATTCATAAGGAAAATCACAATTGAGAGAGTCAGGTGAGTGGTCTTCTTCTATTTTCTGCATAGCCGACATAATATTTTGAGTAAAATCTTGTGCTTTAGTATCATTGGTATTATGAACATCTTCTGTTTTTTTGAAGCCATTGACTCTTTCATATTCCTCTTTAAGCATTGCCAATTTATCGTCATCAGGATCGAGTTCAAAAGTGTTCCTTCTGATTATTTTCCTATTTTTTAAAGTTTCGTCTTCATCTGGTATTCCAACATCCTCTTCTTTGTATTTTATTTCTCCATTATCACTAACATCATTAAAATTCATCCTAATTTCTTGTTCAAATTTGTTTTCAACTTTAAAATTTTCTTGTTCATGATCATTTCCTAAATCTAAATCAGCCTTTATATAATTGGTAGAATTTTCAATTGAAACTTCTATAATTTCGTTAGTCTTTGGTTCCATTTGCTTTGTACTTGTTTGGGGTGGGATGTAATCAAATGAAGTGATATAAGTTTCGTCCTCATCTCTTAAAGTGGACGCATCTATAAAATAATTCCCTTTCACCAATTTTTCTTGAGATCCTGTTACCTGTACATCCTTGTTCGCTAAGCTTTCCGCTTGAGTCTTCAAAGGTTCAACTTTCAATTCGACTTCCCGTTCGATAAAGGTGTTGTCATTATTCGTGGGGAAAGTAGAATCCCAGGTGCCCTGATCAGAAGACGCAGACGAAGGCGACCTGTCATCATGGGGAATTTCCTCGTTAGAAGCGACTTCCGTGACATCTTCCCTAGTGTCCTTCGGACTCCCGCCTGTCATATAACCAGACGAGACAGCTTCAAAGCTCACCTCTTCTTCCTTTGTCTCCCTCCCACCATTCATTTCATTCTCAATCGTATACGTGTGTTGTTTATTAAGTATTTTTAGAGTCTTAGCCCTTTCTTCGGTTAAAGATTGTACTTTATACTCGCTCTGTTCCTGTTCGCACACTGTGCTAGTAAAATCTAGAACAGTAGGATTTGTCCTTTCTTGTTCTTGTTTTTCTAAAATAGACCTAAAAACATAATTTTTATTTTATTCTAACATCAAATTTTAAATTACAGAATACACTTTAACAACATTAACTTAAACATAGCAAATTGAACAATAAAATAAAATTGTTTTTAACTGAATTTAAATTGAATTTTAATTAATTGTGATTAAAACTGAATATTAAATAAAATGAAAATGTACTTTATTCAATATTATAATGAGTTACAACTGTAAATATAAAAAAAAAATAAATAAATAAAAGCACACTATGGTTATGGTTAACAACTGTCTCCCGGAAAACAAACAAAAAGTTTTTTTAAAATTATTAATATATATATTTTTTTTAATAAATAAGCACATGAAACTATTATTCTTACTAAATTCTAACAATTTGTGCGAGGCATCTCATTAGTAACTTCTAGGGACAAAAGACCTGTTAAATGTAATATCAAGTGTACGGTGTTTAGTGACCGTTAGTTAATGATTATTTGGAGATCGTGAGATGCGGTCTGGTGTGAAGCAGGATTTAGAAAAACATTTTCTTTATCGTGCCAACGGTTCGATCTTTATTGAGATCATTGAGATTGATTGAGTGAGTACAAATACTTTGAGTCTAAAATTTCTATAAATTCATTTTTTTCACATCCTGCATGTATTTGTATAATTTAAACAACAAACAAGTTTATAATCCCAGGCCCTGAAGATGATCTCAATAAAGATCGAAACGTTGTGTATTTGCCAGCCCCAACTGTGCGCTGAAAACCTTGAAGCCAAATTTGAGATTTTGATTGGCTACAACGCTTCGTACACCTGACATTTTAAGGAACTGAGGTAGCCGAGTGGTAAGAACGTCAACTCGTATTTGCTATGCTGGCAAACCCAACTGTGCACTTAAAATCTTGAAACCAAAATTGAAGATTTTGATTGTCTCCAAAGCCTTATATATCTGGCATTTTAAGGGACCAAAGTGGACGAGTGGTAGGACGTCCACCTCGTATTTGACATACTGGCAGCCCCAACTCCGTGCTTAAAAACTTTAAGCTAAAATTGATGATTTTGACTGCCTACAAAACCTTGTATAAATGACATTTTAAGGGACCACGGTGGCTGAGAGAAAGGGTGTCCAACTCATATTTGCCATACTGGCAGCCCCAAAAGCGTGTGTTGAACAACAAAGCCAAAATTGATGATTTTGATTGGCTACAAAGCATTGAATACCTGACATTTAACAAACAACAGCAGCTGAGTGGTTAGGGCGTCCAACTCGATTTGCCACGTTGGCAGCCCCAACTATACGCTGAAAAACTTGAAGCCAAAATTGATGATTTTGACTGCCTACAAAACCTTGTATAAATGACATTTTAAGGGACCACGGTGGCTGAGAGAAAGGGTATCCGACTCATATTTGCCATACTGGCAGCCCCAAAAGCGTGTGTTGAATTGTTGAGCCAATTGTTTTATTATTTATTTATTTATTTTTTAATGGTACAAAAAATGCATTGTAAAGTATTTTGACCTCTTGTCTGCAACACCCAATGGTTATTTTACTTGCTTTACTACCATATCACTTCAACTTAAACAATTAAAGAATAAATTGGATTCCATATTTTATGATTTTTGCATATTACATATAAAAACAACATACATGCAAGAACCAAGGGTTTTAAAAATGTTTATTCTACAGCTAATATGCTTGATAAGGAAAAAACATACCTGAATGAATTTGAAAGCGCATCTTGTTCAGCTAATTCCTTAAAGAGGTCCTCTTCCACATGTACCAAATTATAATAATGATTTCTTTTAATTAGTTCATCTATATTTGATTCATTCCGTTTGCTGGCTGGCGGTGTTAACGCGGTCTGTCTGGTGTTAGGGATGGGCTCACAAGGCGAAGCTTTCGGTGTTACAAAAACATCTGAATCCGGGCTTTCAACTTCTTTACCTGAGCTGCTTACAATCTTAATTTGTGCAACAACCGCATCCTCTTTATGCTTAACTACATTCCTCGTATAAACCTCTCTACAAACAAAAAATATCATTGTTTATTATTGTTAAAAAAATAAAATCATGAGTATAATTATTTTAGAAAGATTTCTACTGCATTACATGTTTATACATGAACAACTAATGAGTTTTAAAAGATTTATGCAACATTCAGCTTACTCTGCTTTTATAACTGGCATTAAATTAACAATGAAAGAGAAGTAAAAAAATTAATCTCTTTGAAGGCTGGAACACTAAAAGAGAAAAAAGTTTATACGTAACAAAATCATGAGACAGCCTTTTGTAATTCCAATGACTTTTTACTATGTGAATATGAATATAAATTAAAATTAAATTTTCATTCGAGGTAAATAAAATACTTTTATAGTTAAGAAAATAACTATTTCATATTCAATGAGTTTCTATTGAATTTTTCCATTTCATTAATAGAAAATAAATACACTATTATTCTACAATAACTATATTGACTAATTATACAATAAATAACAAAATTGTTAATTTTTAGTTAGAAAAGAGAAACAAAAAGTTTACCAGTCATAAAACCTAAAAGTAGCATTTATTTGTGGTGAGCCTGTAAAACACACAAGTGCACAAAAACTAACATAAAGAGCAATGTGATCATACGAGGATCCCTCGAGGGTATTTCAGCTACGAGTTGTATGAACCCTCGGAGTGCCAATGTTTTTTGTAAAAAACAAACAAATCCCATTTGTAAGGAAGTTGGGTTCGAATGCAGAGCCGCTGGATTCGAACCTGGTACCTTTACCTTACAGTGATGAGTGCTGTGTCAACAACTAAACCGTTGTGGCTACCTACGCCCCTTCACACAAGTTTAGAGAGAAACAATCTCATCATCAACATTTAAAAAAAAGTTTAAATTGAGAAAAATATTCTTAAAAGTCCAACAAAACATTCCATTTGATTCAACACTTACTTTTTTCTAAAAAGAAGTTCATTCATAATTAGTTTGAAAGCTACAGAGAAAAAATATCAAAAAATAAAATATTAACATTTTCTTTAAAACATGCTATTTATTCCACACACACAATCCCTTGAGTCAATAACACTTTAATCCTTTCTTAAATAAATTTTGTTGTGTACAAATCTCATTTTTTTCCATTCAAATATTTACTTGGAATGAATAAAAAAATCATAATAGATTACTTACAAAACTAATCAATGAGATTGGTTGTGAATTAATGTTCAACTATATTTAGTACATGGCCATGCTAAAAAATCAAAAAAGAAAACCAAATAATCAATATACTGCAGTGTGAGCTAAAACATTGATAAAAGAAAAAGAAAGTAAACCATGCAGAGAAAAATGCAACTCTTTGCCAATAACTTGCTCTAATTCCTCCTCTCACCTAATGAAGGATTCGATCAACCTAACGGTGAGTCTATCGATAAACGGCCGCCTTTGCTTAGCAGTCTGTTTGTTAATTGCTCCTCTATTGCAGATTTCTTTGTAGAACTTGGGCGCCCTCGTCTCAAGGAGCCCTTTGTGAGTTTTAATACAACAGGAATGGAAGAGTAAGTTGAGATCAGGAAATAGACTATCACTGTAAATCCTGAAATAGGCAATTCGTTCTGGTATCGGATGGTTTCAAAAATTGTGTACAATTTGGAAATGTCTTGATATTACAATCACTGTTTTTTTAAAAGTGCAAATGTTTCAAAACGATAACAATTAGTAATATATTTAAATTAAAAAGTATTTCTAAAACATGCCTTGAGATTATAAAATGCACACAATGGGATGACTGTTGATGAAACACTGCCCACAACCAATTCTGTCAACTGATACTCAATTCACACGAGGAATGAAAATAAATCCATTAGAAACTTGATTTTTATCTTTTGACTGAGTAAACAATTTACAGCGAATGCTTGCCATTAAATAATTTTATCACACTTTAAAACGGAAGATTAAAATAAAAAGAAAAAAAAATGAAAAATCTTTCTTTCTTTTTTTTCTTTCTAGAGCACACATCAAGACACTTTTAAAATTATTATCGGTTAAGTAATTGTTTTATATTATATTATATATTAAAATATTATATCAAGCTTTTAAAAGTTTTTAATAATTTTAATTAATTATACTTTTTATCTCAAATGAAAAAGTGTCACGAGTGTGATTCAAGCTAAAGATTGTGGGTTCGAAATGCTTATGCAAAAAAATAAAAAATATATTTTGCATTGTATAAATTCACTTTTTTCCACATCCTACATGTATTTGTTAAATGTGGAAAAAAATTTGTTAGGATGTGGAAAAAAGTGAATTTATACAATGCAAAAAAAATCAAAATAAAAAATATATTTTGCATTGTAAAAAATTCACTTTTTTCCACATCATATATGTATTTGTATTGTAATGTTTGTAAATCCCAGGCCCTGAAGATGATCTCAATAAAGATCGAAACTTTGGCACGATAAAGAAAATGTTTTTCTGAAACTTACATCACACCAGACCGCATCTTACGATTTCTGAATGATTATTTATTAACGGTCACTAACCACCACACATTCTTACAAGCTGCCTTAGTACCAAGCTAAAATACAATAAGCATAGACAAATTATGACACTTTTTTCTTTATGAACCAACGCATAATCCTCTTGCTATAACATGATGTAAACATCTAATCGTCCAATGTAAATAGAAATGTGGATTAACGGCATTAAAACAATTAAAAAAAATAAAATAAAATAAAACAAACTTTTCTGGTTTACTTGTAGAATTGAGTAGATAATATAAAATAAATCATTTTACAAATTTGACAAATGCATATCAATATGACGAATAACTTAATCATGAAAGGAAAAGTTTATCAATATTTTGGAACATTATTTAAAATTAAGTTTGTCATCTATTAATCATTTATTAAGATATGAACTTTTCAATTTTCAACTATTACACTCTCTAATCTAAAAAAAAATATTGTAGTCATAATTATTAGGAGATCGTGAGATACGGTCTGGTGTGATGTAGGTTTAAAAAAAACACTTTCTTTATTGTGCCAACGTTTTGATCTTTATTGAGATCATCTTCAGGGCTCAATATGTTTGTTTTCTCTGTAGATGTGTCATTATTGTGTGTCATGTTGACAGTGCCCACAGAATAATGACACAACTATGACAAATAAGTAAATATAACATGAACTTTTCTGGTTTCTTTGTAGAATTGAGCTGATAATATAAAATAAATCATTTTACAAATTGGACAAACTTAATATCAATATGAATGAATATAAAACTAAGTTCGTCATCTATTAATCATTTACTAAGATATAAACTTTTCAATTTTAAACTATTACATTCTCTAGTCTAAAAAAAATATTGTAGTCATATTTGTACACCACTCTATCTGGAAAAAATTTCTAAATGGTGTTGTCTGTGAACTTATTTACACTTTCTTATCCTTGCTCTTAAGAGCACAGAATTTAGTTTATTACAAGCCAACATACAAAAAATACAGAATAAAGCTTACATTCTTCTTGATAATCTTGATAATCAACGACCTATTCTGCACAATCTAGTGTCATTTTGAACTATTATTTTTCTCGGTCTTTCTTACTTTAATGTAGAACCACAGGATTCAAACCTGGTACCGTTAAACATTTAAACCGCTGTGGTGACGACCCTTTTGTACATATGTATAATCTTTCTGTGCAATTTAGGGATAGTTGTATAAATTTTTTGACTAAATTTCGGACCAGTTACTTTATTAATCACATGAGTACTTTAACAATATAGAAAATATCACATTTTTTGCATAGATAAATCAATTACCAAATAGTATGATGGCAAATATTATTAATCCAACTTATATTCTTTGTGAACTTTCTATGGCTATTTACAACATTCGACAGGAACCCAAAGAGATTGTGCTTGATTAGCATTAGCCTAATGCGCAATAACCCCTAAATTCAAATTTGACAAAAAAATTCAAATTAAAATACATATCTGATAGAACCAACTAGCGACAAAATATTGTAACTAAGGTACAACGTTTTCAAACATATTTTTTACAAGTTCATCCAAGTCCCAGAACTATTAAATCTGGGACGTGTTAGGACTAGAATAATAGTTGGACTGCTAATAGGACACTAGATAGACTCTGGAAACATGTAACAAGCCTGATATTGCCAGTAAGCTGAGCTTCTTAGGAAAAGCCGAGGCCTAAAGGATACAAACGGGAGTCCTTGAAAAAGCTTTGTGATCTGGTAAAAAAACCTTAAGCTTAATGACTCTTAGAAAGAATGCACAATAGAACAATCATGCCATGATGTGCAGGTCGTAAACAGGCCAACACCTTTAATCTAATCTAAACTTAATCAGAAAAAAAACTTGACCAGAGAATGGTTCTGAACAATGCTTTTATATGGTTAGTTTATCATTCTTATCAACACTTCAGAAATTTCAACCTGTCATCCTATGAGTTATGAATCGTTAATTAGATCCTAACTAAAACTGATCATCTTGGTCTGCCTCACTAGGTTGGCCTGTCAGATATATTGATATCTTCATTGTTTTCTCAAAAAATAGCAAAATGCATCCGACAGACCAACCAAGCGAGGTTATGCAGACCAATTTGATCATAACTGCTCATATTGGTCTGCGTCACATGGTTGGCCTGTCAGACACATTGACATCTTCATTGTTGGCTTTGCCTGAAAAATAGCAAAATACATCCGACAGACCAACCAAGCGAGAACAATTTGATCGTAACTAGGTCTGCCTCACTAGGTAGGTATGTCATGTGTTTCGACATTTCGCCATCTTCATAGTTAGCTATGTCAACAGAGCAAACCACCGAAGATTGCCAGATCTTAACATTCGGTACGGTAAATTGATGGCAAATGTTATGTCAGCGTTTGTAAACCGTTTTACAGTGATTTTGATAGAAAGATCTTCTGTAATGCTACACAGGAGTTGAAATGAGAGACTATTTCTCATAAATTTAGTTGTTTAATTATCATAGAAAAGGATAAAGATTGTGATGAATGAGGATACACACCTGGTAATGTCTTGTTTGAGCTTGTCGTGCAATTTTGAGTTGAGCACTGACAATTCAGCTGTCGCCTTTTCGTTTAAAACCGGGTTTAACATCGGCGTTTCGGCCTTCCTCCCTGCCATCAGTCATGGCTCGGTCCTCCTTCGATTCTTAAACGTTAAAGAAAACAAGGGTCAGAGGAATTTTGTAAAGAAAAATGTAAAAATCCACTCCCCCCATTATTTGCAGTTACAAATATCCTTTTTTTACCCTTTTTCTTATTCAGGTCAATGAACAATTTTACGCTCAGCAGACTAAAAATTCGACAGATGCTTACGAAGTTGGAGAGCGATTGGAAAGCTAAAAGCAGACATCTCAATCCGGGCTTTCTCCGAATCCCAAGTTTTCAAAATACCTTTTATGTCAAAACCCATTAAATTTCTAATTACAAATTGTAATTTACCTTTTTTGTTTGTTTAATGAACTGTTTGATGGAGGAGGAACAACGCTTGAAACGATCCTTGACGATTCTTATCCGTGAAATTTAACAACTTAACTCGGTACAAGGTTCATGTTAGGGCAGAAAACGTTAAAACGAGTATTTGACAAGAAAAATAAAAAAAGGTGATACCCGAAGATCAGCTTTCTAGACAAGTTCAACTATGCTTTCTAGATTTGTAACCTTTAAATAAGTTTGATTAAAATCGTTTGAATTATAATAAATCTATATATTCACAAAGCTGTTCGTCTCATGAAATGAACGGAATAAAGCGAGGAGTTATCTATTAACAAATGTTTTAATGTATATTAGATATTTTTATTGAATCGTAGACAAATCGATTGTAATTGAGTTGTCTCGTTTTAAAAGATCTCACAATTGTTAGCACATTGGCGGTTAATTTAATCTTGTAGTGGTCCGCCTATTCTCGCTTTGTCTGCTTATCATTTCGCCACATCCAGAGGATGACAAACAGCGAGAGCAGGCAACCAACAGAACGAGGGAGAATGTGTGAAAGAGAGGGTGAAGGAATAAGGGAAAGTGTGTAAGAGAGAGAAAAAAAAGAGAGAGATTGTTGTAAGTGAATGAGAGATGGTGTACAAGGGAGAGTGTGTGTGAAAGAGAAAAATAAAAGAGAAAGAATGATAGTGAATAAGGGAGAGTGTGATAGAGAAAATGAAGAGAGAGAGAGAGAGAGAGAGAGAGAGAGAGAGAGAGAGAGAGAGAGAGAAAGTGAGCAAGCGAGTGAAAGAAAGATTATGATTAAACTGTGTTATTTCCTTTGAAATGTCCAGACCTCCGGATTATCATCATCATTATCATCATCATCATAGTTCATTTATTAATTTTTTATGAATAATTGTCAACCATCAAAATCCCAGTTCCTCCTGGAGAAATTGGTCAGTATATATAGTTTACAATAAACAGTAGACGCTACATTAAAAACAAATTCAATTAATTCAGGTTTTAAGTTGAGTCAGCGCCAGTCAAGCGGACCATGAAAAATAGTGAATTAAAAACAAAGTAATTCAACAAGAAACATTTATTTGTGATTATAAATTATTCACTAATAAAATAAATACAAAGTCATAACTTTCATTTATGCAGCATTCATAGTGCTGCATAAATGAAAATTAAAACTTAATATAGTTTTAAATTTTATACGAGAGGACAGATTTTGCATAGTTTTGTTGAATCATTTTGACAAAGAACATTATAAAGTAGTTTGGCCGTTTCTGATCATCTTGGTCAGTCCATTTTTGCATTAAGCCATCTTCAGTGGTGGATTTTTGTCTTAAACACAGGACCAAAATAGCAATAATAGGCTGATCAGGATAATTGTAAATGACCAAAGTAAAAATTTGTCACCTCTCGAATTTAACTTAAGGAGAAAGAATTACAAACAAAGTCAGACATTTAAGTATTTTTAATTAATTTATGTCGTTAAAATGTTGGAGCTTGACATCTTGCTCTTTTGGCCAAGAGTGCCTCCATGACTTCTTCACTTTCAAGCAGCTCCTGCAAATTGGTCAAAATATTGAAATCATTTTTTTTTTACAATGATAGAAATATTTACCATTTTCTTTTTGTTTAAAACGCTTGTGAGAATCAAGTGCATAAAATGGGCTTCATCTTCCGGCGAGGGACTCCCACATGTCGGTGGTGCATTGTCATTTATTATAATTTGGCTGGAAATAGCAGATTCATCGTCGACTTTCATCGTCTGGTTGGGTTTGCTGTTTTTCACTTTCTTTGTATTGGTCCACCGTTTCTTAGCCTTCTTCTTTCCCTTACTATCATCACAGTCCTCCAGTTCCATAACAAAAACACTAAAACATTATTGCTGGATGTGAAAAAAAATATGGGGAGAAAAAATGAAAAATGTGATATATTCAGAAGCAGTGTAAAAATTAACAGAATATATTGTAAATTTATTCTAGTTTTCATACAATGCAAATGTAGCCAGGACTTCTAGTACATTTATATTTTTATTTATAAATGTTTATCTCAATGTTTTCTTTCTAGATGTGTGCATTGAGTGCTGAAATGACCTAGATGTCAAAAGCAACCCAGCTGCATAATAGGGCAAGTGAACTTCCCCTAGGGGCGGTACATACTGGAGTAACAACCCTTCGAGGTGAATGATGATGATGAGGATACTAGGAAGCGAGGTTTGTACTCCCCAGGCACTGCAGCCTTCTGTTTTATCATACTTTCTTAGTTCCCCAGTTCAACACAATCTACTCAATCCTTCTTCTCAGAACTATCAGGTCATTGATTAGCTGCTACAATTTCATTCCCTAGGTTTTTTCTAGGTTATGTCGCCATGTTGCAATCTGCAAATGGGATCATTATTATATATGCCCATGTTATGTAGATGCTTTCTAAGATGCCAGTGACCATTTAATAGTCCTATCACTCTTCTGAGTCTGGCCCTCTACAACTGCAGCAGTGAGTTTGCTAGTCTTGATGAGGGTTGTTTTAGCATAAGTTTACTATGTCTAGTGCCGCTATTGTTTATCCACTTCTTTAGTTTTATTTAAATCCATTGTGCGATTGAGGATTTCTATCCCAAGTATAGTTTCAGGGCCTATGTAAGGTCTTGCATAGGCCAGTGTGAGCGCTTTTTCGTTACCCAAAATTCCTTTGTGCCCTGACATGGATTGTACTCCCAAGGTACCATCAGGTTGTCTATTTGTCAATAGAGCATTGTCTAGAATGTCGAGATTCAAGTGAAGTCAAACTTATTTGCAGCTGCACGATGCAACGGAGCATCATAATACGACATAAGTAGATTGCTATAGCCTATCCACCTATGTCATGCTATGCTCTAATAATTTAGGCGTTGTAGGGAGGGGATCAGATTAAGGAGAAGTACTTTAACAGATAAGGGAAGTGTTCAGAAGGGTAGAAATAGAGGGATTAAAATCCTTGTAGTAGTGACATATGAAGAATAATTTGTTTGCTCAATTGCATCTGTATATTTAAATTTAAAAAAATAAAAAATGCGTGTGTGGCAAACACAATTAATAGTAAACGATTAATAAAGGTACAAGAAAAATTAACATTTTATATTTTTTATAAACATTTATTTGTGTAAAAATTTTTTCTCTCTTCTCCTTTGGAGAAGAGCAGTCTGTTATGTCAGGTCGATTATCGATAATGCATCACAGTTGATAGAAGGATTCGATGTTGTGGTCCGAGGAACTTGTAATCACTCGTAGAACGTAAGTATTTCTCCTTTTTTGCCGACAATTTCCACATTTTACCAAAGCCGTGACGACTTACCTAATAAATGAGATCGCTAGACATCGGAGTAAGTCCAAATTCAGGTACGAATAATATCACTTTGGACCGAGGTGGTTGAACTTGTTCCAGAGTTGTTCCACTGCCTCGGCCCTACTTTTCTCTATTTGCGTCGGGTTTGGCAAGCTCGCCGATTAAACTTTCCAACATCGATCGTCTCATCGAAAAATTTAGATATTTAAAACATTTTCAAACAATTCACTAAAATTTGTATCACAAATTTCTAAGAACATAAATAAAATTATATCTTCTTCATAATTAAAATAGATAAAGTTCTATCTCAGAGTTTTATTATTATAATTTACTCATTATGATTTTATCCCAGTATTTAGACTATTTTGTGAAAATTTTGACCATTCAAGTATCGTATAAACTTTGCTTGAGTTTACTTTGAATCACAAATTGATCAAAACATAAATAAAATTATATTTTCTTCAGAATTAAAACAGATAAAGTTATATCTCGGAGTTTAATTATTATAATATACTCATTGTGGTTTGATCCCAGTATTTAGACTATTTGCAAAAATGTTGACCCTTTGATTGACAAATTTAACTGTGTTTTAGTTTGCTTTGTACCATAATTTATCAAATCATAAACTAAATTTTTTTTTACAGTATGAAAAAAAAAGTTAGAGCTCAGAGTTATGATTTTATTGTGATTTTATCCCAGAATTTAGACTATGGTATGAAAATTTTGACCATTCGAGTGTCACATAAACTTTGCTTGAATTTGTTTTCTATCACAAATTGATCAAAACATAAATAAAATTATATTTTCTGCACAATTAAAACAGATAAAGTTATAGCTCTGACTATTTTGTGAAAATTTTGACCATTCAAGTATCATATAAACTTTGCTTGAGTTTGCTGTGAATCACAAATTGGTCAAAACATAAATAAAATTATATTTTCTTCACAATTAAAACAAATGAAGTTAGAGCTCAGAGTTATATTATTATGATATACCGATTGTGATTTTATCCCAGAATTTAGACTATTGTATGAAAATTTTGACCATTCGAGTGTCACAAACTTTGCTTGAGTTTGTTTTCTATCATAAATTGATCAAAACATAAATAAAATTATATTTTCTACACAATTAAAACAGATAAAGTTATATCTCGGAGTTTAATTATTATAATATACTCATTGTGGTTTGATCCCAGTATTAGTATACTATGTTGCATAATGTTGACCCTTTGATTGACATATTTAACTGTGTTTTAGTTTGTTTTGTACTATAAATTGATAAAAACAAATAAAATTATATTTTCTGCACAATTAAAACAGATAAAGTTATAGCTCAGAGTATTTTGTGAAAATTTTGTCTGTGTTTGAGGGTCATATAAAATTTTTTGCTTTCTATCACAAATTGATCAAAACATAAATAAAATTATATTTTCTGCACAATTAAAACAGATAAAGTTATAGCTCAGAGTATTTTGTGAAAATTTTGTCTGAGTTTGAGGGTCATATAAATTTTTTTGCTTTCTATCACAAATTGATCAAAACATAAATAAAATTATATTTTCTGCACAATTAAAACAGATAAAGTTATAGCTCAGAGTATTTTGTGAAAATTTTGTCCGTGTTTGAGGGTCATATAAAATTTTTTGCTTTCTATCACAAATTGATCAAAACATAAATAAAATTATATTTTCTGCACAATTAAAACAGATAAAGTTATAGCTCAGAGTATTTTGTGAAAATTTTGTCTGTGTTTGAGGGTCATATAAAACTTTTTGCTTTTTATCACAAATTGATCAAAACAAATAAAATTATATTTTCTGCACAATTAAAACAGATAAAGTTATAGCTCAGAGTATTTTGTGAAAATTTTGACCATTCGAGTGTCACATAAACTTTGCTTGAGTTTGCTTTCTGTCACAAATTGATCAAAACAAATAAAATTATATTTTCTTCACAATTAAAACAGATAAAGTTAGAACTCGGAGTTTTGTTATTATAATATACGCATCATGGTTTGATCCCAGTATTTAGACAATTTTGCTAAAATTTTGACCATTCGAGTGTCACATAAACTTTGCTTGAGTTTGCTTTGTATCGCTAATTTATCAGAACATAAAATTATATTTTCCATACAATTACAACACACAAAGTTAGAACTCGGAGTTATATTATTATAATATACTCATTGTGATCTTATCCTAGTTGCTACACTATTTTGTGAACATTTTGTCCCTTTGATTGACAGTTTTAACAGTGTTTTAGTTTGCTTTTTCTACAAATTTATCAAATCATAAACTAAATTTTTTTCTACACTGTTAAAACACACAAAGTTAGAGCTCAGAGTTATATTATTATGATATACCGATTGTGATTTTATCCCAGAATTTAGACTATTGTGTGAAAATTTTGACTATTCGAGTGTCATATAAACTTTGCTTGAGTTTGCTTTCTATCACAAATTGATCAAATTGTAATATACTCATTGTGATTTATACCAGTATTTAGACTATTTGAGTATCAGTATAAACTTTGTTTTCTGATTTACTTACTTCCCAGCCGAAATGGATCTGAATTGACAATTAGTAGATAACATAACACCTTAATGTATGAAAGAAAACTCACGAATGCTCTGGATCAAGGTATGGTCTTGAAGAAAAAAGCAAATTCAGTTGTTACTGCCAAGCTGTCGACTTATTTTAAGGTCATCATCATAAGGGAAAACAATGTTATATATGTCAAAATTTTTTAATAATAATAATGAATAGAATGTTTCATATAACACATAGAATACCAAGTCTAATTGAGGGTTGATGGGGTGATGTTGATGATGAATGTAGATACTAGGAAGTTGGGGCTTTTGTTCCCCCAAGGGCTTAAGTCTTCTGGATTATTGTACTTTCCCATTTCATTAGTTCAGTGCAGTCGACTTGATTTTTCTCCAAAGGAATATTAGGCCACTGACGGCGTTGCTGCACTTTCTTTCCTTGGATTTTCTTTGTATCCTAGGTTATGTTTCCATTGAGCGGTTTCTTCAAGTTGCATGGCTGTTTCCTCCTCCTCATTGAATAATTTACAAATGGTATCATCATTTAATATGCTCATGTTTTGTAGATGTTTGTAGATATTAGTCCTTTCTAACAGTTTGCCTTTCTTGGTGAAGGTTGTTTTTGCATAAGTTTACTGAGTCTAGTGCCCATAGAGTTTATCCACTTATTTCCCAATTTTGTCTTTTTTGGATCATGGAGGATTCTATGTTTGTTTTTGTTATCCAAAGTATAGGTTCAGGATTTATAATAGTCTTGCAGATTCTCCTCTGGCCAATGTGTCTGCCTTTTAATAGATAACACCAGGTTGTTGTGTTTCCTTAGGTTTTGGATATTTTAGATGCATTCACTGACCAGTTTTGATATCATTTTTTACATGCTAATTCTATCCCTTATTTTTTGTCAGTTTAACCCTTTTAAGATTTCCTAAGGCAGAAACATTGATGACATGTATTTCAGCTTGAAATATCGAGGTGTACTTCCCTTATGAGTTTGTCTGCTTATATTTTGGGCTTGTACAAAAAAAATACCTGATCCGGTTCCTCCATTTGTTTTGAAACCATCCATAGAATTACATTCTTCCAGAAATCGGAAGAGGGACCCAAAGATTTGTTGACATAGTCCAGTACAATGCTCATATCGGGCAGCATTCCAACTCGCTCCCTATATAGAGCCAAGTAATGACACTTCAATTACACATAGGCTGCAACATCCAACTACAAACAAATTCCATTAACCTCAAATCCTTACATACAACTTTCCTTCCGATTTCCTCCCAATAATCTTCTTTGACACGTAAAAAGACAAAGGTTCAGTGTCCTGCTCTCAGTGATAGTTGTTAGTATTTTTTTTCATTTTTTGGGGGGGGTTTATGTACAATTTTTATTATGGAATAGATATACCTCTTGAAAGTACTTACTTATATTAAAAAAATAGGCCTAAAAGTATGATATAATAAAAAAGAAATTTTTATGTGAGATTTTTGAAAATTAAAGTTGTTTTTAATGTACTGACATTTGTTTGCTATTATTATCTCAAATTTTCAGAATGTAGAAAATCAAAAATGATAACTGGAAGAAAGCCATGGAGGAAAAACCTTTGGGAAAACCAAGGTTACCCTGACAACTACACCGACGCTTCTTTTTTAGAAGAATTGAAGAAAAATATAAACGTCAGGGAAGTAACGTTTAAAGAGGCATTTCTCGGTTCGAGCCTCATCACCCAGCAGTTGTGCATCATTGTATTTTTCTCCTTGAATTTCTACTATATGCACAACAATTTAATCAGCTCGGAAGTTCTCTTTGTTTGTCTGTGCATAACGGCAACAATTGGTTATATTTTTTATGTAATTGTTGATGCATTGGCCAATGTTCCTTTATGTAAGTTGACATTTTTACATTTAAAAATGAAAAATACAATTTATTTATTTAAAAATTATTCTATTTAGTCAGTTGTGCCATGGCATGGAAGGCGATGATGTCTTCAATCCAAAAGCTGGATAAAAAGAGACATCTAAAGGCTATAGTCTACTTTCTACTTTTGGGCTTTGTACTCTCGCCTGTTTTAAAAACGCTGACTGAAAGCGTGAGCACTGATACAATTTACGCTATGACTGTATTTATAATGGGAATACACATGGTGTTTTTCGACTACGGCTTGAGAGCTGTCATCGTGTCGAGTTCGCTGTCGTTAAACGCCGCTGTCTTTGCTTCCGTATGCCTGGCTTCCAGATTGGCAACTCCGTTTGACACTTTTGTACTTCTGACTTGCAGCATCCTTCATTTTTTACTTTGTCCTCTCTTGCTTTCCAAATTATCAAATTACCCTTTAATGATATTGATAATTATGGCTACGCTTTCATTGTACGGCTTGTACCAAGTCGATAAAGTTTTAACTTCCATTTTCTTTTGTTCGGTAATATTTATAAACTTTATCTGTCCTTATTTATTCGTACGTTGGCACGCTTATAAAGATAATATATATGGCCCTTGGGATGAAGCTGTTGTTGAAGATTTAGGTAAAAAAAAGCGATTTTACAACGTAAATGTTTTTCTGATATGTGTATATTGTTCCAGGTTGATGTAAATATTATCGAGCAAACGTCTGCTTAAAAGAGGTTTAAATGCCAAATAAATAAGACTGTTGTATCTACATTTAAGTATTTTTGTATGCAATACATTTTAACCATAAATTTTGTGAAATAAATCAATTTGTTTTTTGTTTTGAAATTTTATGTGTACAATGCTTATTACCTGATGATTAAATATAAGCAAAGTGATTATTTGGAGATCGTGAGATGCGGTCTGGTGTGACGTAGGTTTAAAAAAACATTTTCTTTGTCGTGCCAAAGTTCGTTCTTTCTAAACCCGTCACACCAGACTGCATTTCACGATCTCCAAATAATCATTAACGGTCCCTAAACACCACACATATAGCAAAGTAGAAGTTTAAAAAAATTATATTAAAGGCTGTCAACAATTTAGGTTATCAATATATGTATTTAATCATAATTAATTTTATATTTTACTACCTTAGATAAAAAGTATAAGTAATTTAAATGATTTAGGATATATTTGCTGCATTTTTCTTTATACGAGGATAGTATGATCGAGGCAAAGAGTGACCACCAACAGGGGAAGAACACCACCCCCAGTGGGGCCACCCAGACATAGCAGCAACTTCTCTTATGCTAATGAAATGATGTATACATAGTACTTGAGAGTGAGACATGTGCATGCTCTGGGCATCATCCACATGCACATGAGTCCTTTTAACTCAGAGAGCTACTCTCGTCAACACCAGCAAAAAAAAAAAAATTAAAAAGTTTTTCTCTTTATTCTCTGCATTGTCTACCAATATCTCAGCTTGATTATTCGACAAAGTCCTCAGTGCTTTATAGTGGTTATAGTCAATTAAAATATGCTTCGCCGTTAACTGTACCTTACAGGTTTAACACGTTGGACTTGGAAAATTCTCTGAATTAAGTGTCCATGTGTCAGTTGGCAATGCCTGACACATTTAAACTGTTTTATGATCCTATAGCTGATTAATTTCCTTCTATATCTTAGATTGAACAAAACTTCTGTTCTTACTTCTATGTATATAACTAAATAGAAATCTTCAGCAGGATCAGAAAAATATATGAACAACTGAAAGGGGGGAACTGAAATATAAAAACAACAATTTAGTGGGGAAAATGTTGTCTGGGCTCTTCGGTACATCTGGGAACAAACGGATAAGACAGTGAAGTTAGCCACGATGAGACCCTGCCCACATCCAACAAATTTATAAAGAATGATCGCTAATGCAATAAAGCAATGAATGGAGAATACACTGGAACAAAAGAAACACAACTAAATAATCAAATCTAAAAATAGACATCAGTCCCTGGCCTGCATAGGTTAGGTCTAGAAGGGAAAAATGCCATACTTACCAGGTTGTGCTTAGGTCCAAAGTTGCACATGGACGCTTCTAATGGTGGAGACCGTTGTGTGGAAGACATCACGGTGGAGCATAAAATAACAGACTGCGTGTGTGGTGATTAGTGAAAGTTAGTCGATAATTATTCAGAAATCGTGAGATGCGGTCTGGTGTGATGTAGGTTTCAGAAAAACCTTTTCTTTATCGTGCCAACGTTTCTTTATTGAGATCATCTTCAGGGCCTGGGATTGACAAACATGTTTAAATTTAACAAATACATGTAGGATGTGGAAAAAAATAAATTTATATATTGCAAAAAAAAAAAAATATTTTTTTAAATATTCAGTCAAAGAATTTCTACTCACTCAAAGTGTTTTATGCAGAAAACAAACACTTTGAGTGAGTAGAAATACTTTGAATATAATTTTTTTTTTGCATTGTATAGATTCACTTTTTTCCACATCCTACATGTATTTGTTAAATTTAAACTTTGTAAATCCCAGGCCCTGAAGATGATCTTAATAAAGGTCGAAACGTTGGCACGATAAAGAAAAGGTTTTTATAAAATCTACGTCACACCAGACTACACCTCACCATCTCTAAATAATCACTGAATTTTCTGTAACTATTTAAAGCGCCTTCAGAACTAAGAATGCTAAACCCGCATCACCTTTATGTCTTAAATATAGCCTAACTCTATGAACCTTACGAATAATCTGGTTCTCGGTTTGGTCTGAATGAAAAAAAGCTCAATTAATATCTGCCAAGCTTTCGATTTATTTTAAGGTCATCATCAGTGCAAAACTATGAGACTAGCCCTTGTTGGCAATGTTGGGACTGAATATATTTCTAAATTTGTAACCATTTACTAAAAACTTAAATTCTGTCAATCTATAGATATCTTTAAGATTATTTTGCCCTGATGATGACCTTAAAATACGTTGATAGGCAAAGAACAATTAAATTAAAAAAGAAATTTTTATTAAAACCGTATCGAGATCCAGATTAATCAAGATTCACAAAGTTAGACTACAAGTAAGACATTAAAGTAATGCGGGTTTAGCATTATTAGTTCTGAAAGGCGTTTACAAATAGCAATTCCTTTAGGATTCTAAGAATTACGCCTTTTGGAAAAAAATCGGCAAATTGAAACAAATATAATAAAACGTCATAAATACGATCAATCAATGATCTTTGAAAAATAAATATATATGCAAAAACGCCCGTTATTTAATAGGTGTTTATATAGTTAACAAATGCAGTGAACTATAACTTTGTCATTCATTTATGGTAGTAATTCATAAAAATAGCACCTTGCGAAAAAATCCATCGTGAGCTGTCCTAATTATAAGAACAAAGCTAATATTTGATGCTTTGACAAGAGCAAAGAATTGGGGTGCTATAGGTGATTGTGTGAATGAATTTATTAGCATGAATGAACGGGCACCTTCCCTAATCACTGCAAATATTAAGTACTCAAGGATTGTGTGTGTGAATGTAATACATTAGCATAAAAAGAGGGATTTTTTCCTCAGTTAACCCAATGAATATAGAATACTCTGGGGTAGTGTGAATGAATTTTGGTGTGTGAATGTAATTTATTAGCGTGAATGTGGGGTTTATCCAAAATCATTCAAATATTCTGGGATAGAGTGAATGCATACAAGACTATTATGTTTTAAACAGTTTCTGTACTAAATTGGCAAGTAATTATTCTAATTTTCATACAATGCAAATGTAGCCAGTATATTTATATTTTTATTTATAAATTTTTATCTTAATGTTTTCTTTCTACTTGTGTGCAATGAGAGTTGAAATGACCTAGCTGTCAAAAGCAACCCAATAGGGCAAGTGAATTTCCCCTAGGGGCACGCACATACTGGAGTAATAAACCTTCGAGGTGAATGATGATGATGATGATGATGATGAGGATACTAGGAAGCGAGGTTTGTACTCCCCAGGCACTGCAGTCTTCTGGTTTATCGTACCTTCTTAGTTCCCCAGTTCAGCACAATCGCCTCAATCCTTCTCAGAACTATCAGATCATTGACTGTAGCTGCTACAATTTCATTCCCTAGGTTTTTTCTGTATACTAGGTTATGTCTCCATGTTGCTTCGCATTCGTAGATGATATGGGTGGCTGTTTCCTTCTCCTCATACATAATCTACAAATGGGGTCATTATTATATATGCCCATGTTATGTAGATGCTTTCTAAGATGCCAGTGACCATTTAATAGTCCTGTCACTCTTCTGAGTTTGGCCCTCTACAACTGCAGCAGTGAGTTTGCTAGTCTTGATGAGGGTTGTTTTAGCATAAGTTTACTATGTCTAGTGCCGCTAGAGTTTATCCACTTCTTTAGTTTTATTTAAATCCGTTGTGCGATTGAGGATTTCTATCCCAAGTTTAGTTTCAGGGCCTATGTAAGGTCTTGCATAGGCCAGTGTGAGCGCTTTTTCGTTACCCAAAATTCCTTTGTGCCCTGACATGGATTGTACTCCCAAGGGACCATCAGGTTGTCTATTTGTCAATAGAGCATTGTCTAGAATGTCGAGATTGAAGTGAAGTTAAACTTATTTGCTGCTGCACGATGTCAACGGAGCATCATAATACGACATAAGTATTTTGCTAAGGCCTATCCACCTATGCCATGCTATGCTCTTATAAATTAGGCATTGTAGGGGGGGGGATCTTGGTTAGGGTTGTTTCACCATACGTTTACTATATCTAGCACTGCTAGAGTTTATCCACTTCTCCTTTTGTTTTGCTTGGATCCATTCTGTGATGGAAGATTCTATATTTGTTTTTGTTATCCCAAGAATATGTTCGGGGCCTATGTACGGTCTTGCAGATCCTCCTCTGGCCAGTCTGTTTGCTTTCTCATTACACAAAATTCCCCTGTGCCCTGGCACCCAAGATATCATCAGGTTGTTGTGTTTCCCCAGGTTTTGGAGATTTTGGTTGCATTCACTGACTAATTTTGATGTGATTCTTTCACATGCTAATACTTGGCCATCAGATCTTATGAGGATTTTTTTGCCAGTGTAAACTCTTTTAAGATTTTCCAGGGCACAAGCATTGATGGCATTTATGCTTGAAAGACTGAAGTGTACATCCCTAATGAGTTTGATTTCTCATGTTTTGGGCTTGTACAGAAAATGCCTGATCCGATTTGTTTTGGAGCCATCTGTATACCATATCATTGTATCTGATGCTATCCTGTCATCTTCTTCTCCTCTATAGTTATATGTGTTTGTTATTTGTGTTATTTTGACCACAATTGACGAGGCCTGGAGGTAAGTATAGAGAGGCTAGTATCAGTTAGGAACAAAAGTAAGTTACTGTTTTATCATATAGCATTATACTTGGCTGGAGAAACATTAAAAGAAATTAGAAGGATTTAAACACGAAAAAGACAGGAAAAGAATTGAGGGTTGACGATGATCAATGTTGTTCAATCTTTTATCTAGTTATCTTGTTGTCCAGGTACCCATAAAAAGAGGGAACCGACTTGTTGTGTTAACAGTGTAATAAATAATAAATGTTGTTTATATATATTAAATGTTTTCAGGTCAATTAAATGATACACACAAATGTTTTAATTAACGTTTTATTTTTGAAAGACTAAGAATGTATAAATTTTTAATTGGCTTAAATGTTCTCTCAATAAGTTTACTCAGGTGATGTAAAAGAAAAAAAACCCAAACTGATATGACAATGAAAAAAATCCAATAAAATAAAACAACCTAAAATCGTACTTTGTGCAACTGACTAGTACCACACATTATCACGTAATTAATGAAAAATCAAAAGAAAAATATATAAATTTAAAAAATGATTAAAAATTAAGATTGTTTTGTAAGTTGTTTGAAGCAGATAACTTGTTGTTTTTTGATTTATACATAAATAAACATTTCATTTTATCCAAAACAAAAATGAAACAACTGTTTTGTGGAATGCCTTTAAAGTAATAAACAAAACAAAACAAAAAAATTCATACATAACAATTTAAAAATGAACAAAGTCTGAGAAAACTCTCTTACAAATAAACAAGTTAATATCACAAAGTTTCAAATTATTTTGGACAGCCGTTCTTTATTCTTATATTTCATTTGCTTTTCATTTGTTTTAAGATACATTTCATCTTACACAACTCTTATAAAAAAGGAACTTTTTATCTTTTACCTTTACTTCCATTTTATCCTCGATCCATTCTTTAAATGTTAATTCATTTGTGTGTCATTTGTCACTTCAAGCAAATTTAATTGTTTTAAAAGTATGGTAAATTTTAATAGCCTTTAATGTAAGCAGCAAGATGTTTTCTGTCTTCTTCTGATAGCCCGTTCCTCAATGTTCTCCTCACTGTAATATAATACATTTTAATTAGTTTCAATATATGTACATAAGGTCCAGGACAAAAAGATAGCCCACCCAAGTTTGACTTGCGTTTTTTTTTTTTTTTTTTTCACTTTTTCAGCAAAGTTTTAATTGAATCTTGTTACTTTATTGTCAGTAAAATTTCAACACCTAGAAATAATATATATTTTGACTTTGAGGTGGAATCCAATCCATCATATGAAACTTCAGTTTGTTGTAAACATTTGGGGTTTAAACACGGGTCATGCTAGTTGTTTGACGCTTTTTGAACTCGCAAATTATGAAAAATTGTGGAATACTAATTTTGGAAGTATCAAGAAAAGGAAAGCCATTTCTACCTTTTTAAATAATCCAGGAGGCTAAAAAGAAGAAAATACCAGATGGGCAATCTGTCTTCATCAGCAGGGGAAAATGAGCAATTTTGAGGATCGCTTCATACTTCTATTTGGCAGATTGGAAAATCACTCTAAGAGCTGGAGTGTCAACCAATATCAAAAACATAAAGAGGGTCATAAATACACACCTATCCAAAGGGGGAAAATTAATTAATTAAAGATTAATTTTCTTACTTGTTTCCTCATCTCAGCCTGATTTCCTAAAAGGCTGATCAACTAACTAGCTTGTAGAGGCAATGATTATCTTGAGAAAATTATACTTTTAATGCATCTTCGATGAGGAGTGGATTGAAGTTGCGATAGCTCAAGTGATTAGAGGTGTTTTGAGCCGAAAGTCTGGGTTCGAATCCCGCTCGTGATGCTAGCTTTTTCATCTCAACCAAAACCTTAGATTAAAAGATAATTTTCTCAAGATGTTTATTGCCTCTACGACCTTCCAGTTGAATGTTAACTGAACTGGAGAAAGGTGGCGACTAGGTATTAGAATTATTTTGTCATTCATTTTAAGTGTTCTTAACTTAAACTTTAAGTTTTAATAAAAAGTGAATATGTCCTTTCTTTTTGTCTTAAATATTTACTGTTATTTCCAGGGAATAATACAGTACTGGCAGATATTTACCAAAAATGTAACAAAAAAGTTATGATTAAAAAAAAAAAATTTAAAAATTAACATATACCCAAAATATTAAGGTGGGCTATCTTTTTCTCTTGGAGATTATGTCCAGAATTATTTCAAGCTGAACAAAAGCGTTTTGTTAGTTTTGGCTTATTTTGTTAAAGGTTGTTAAAACATCACGAGTTGCAAAAATCATCACATTATTGAACTGCATAAAATGATTGATATTTAATTTTTATTAGATTAGATATAATTTTTTTTCAATTTTAAACAAGTTACACCTTACAAAAACAATAACTTCCAGAGAACACGAGTTACTACGACTCACACTTTTAATGTTTATACAAGTCAGAAAAAACAGTTTACAGCATGCTAAGATATAAAAAGACATAAAAAGACGATGGGTTCACACAACTGATAAACCTACTCTGCTAACTGGGCTGGTGCTGACAAGATTTTCTCTTGTTCTTGACCGTTTCACCACTATAATCATTTATTACAATTGAACAATTTTTTTTATAAGAGAAATAATTTAAAATGAAATAATAATAAAAAAAACTTACAGGATTTACGGTCTGCATTTCGCGTCCTTTTCCTTTCTCTTGGAGTTGTCCTTGCAACAGATTTGGTTGCAGTCTTGACGAGGGTTTCAAGAATTTCATCATCTCCGTCTGTCAGATTACCATTACTCCCATCGACAGAAGGGCTGATGGCTAGTTAGAATTTGAGCATTGTTTTTTTTTCTTTGTCAAGTTTGATTTAATTAAAACTTAAATAGATGGCTAATTACCTAAAACAGAATCTCTTTTGGTCCTCCTCCATAATGGTGTGCCTTGGAGCGTTGTCTTTGATTCTTTACCGTCGACATTTCCATTGCCTAAAAGCTCTTTTAATTCTGCATCTTTTTTGTCTTCATGACTTTTAAACTTGCCGACCTTAAAGATTTAAACGGGGTTAAAATATTTTAAAGACAGAATGCGACGTTAATGAATAATAACCTCGGTTATCATCTTTCCTCTGGTTTTATTCCTCTCCCTGTGGCTGGCCTTCTTTTCCAGCTGCTGGATCACCCTTTCTCTCGTCGTCCTGTATTCGAGGGCAAATTCTGAAATTATTCGGCAGAGTTCGTTCGGCTTGGTCACTCCCACTCGATGCATCGGAATGCCTAGCCAGAAACAGAATTTGTGAAATCTATGGATGACTCTCCGATGAATTTTGTCTATAACGATTATCCTCTCGGCACAGTCAGCCAGAAAATCTGAAACTCTTAAGCTCATCATGTTAAAAAAAAATAAAATAAAATTTATACAATCTGATGAAGATTTTTAAAAACATACTTCAGTTTCATACTTGTCGTCCCGTCATGCTTGGATATTACTTTTAAATGATCAAAAGATGCTTTGCACTCTTGTTCCATTTTGTTTATGTTGGCAGCCAATTCTTCAAAATCTACTTTGGAAGCCCTTGTTACGGCGCCGATCTATTTTTAATAATTTGTAAATTGTTAGTGGTTTGAATAAATAATTAGTGATGTAAAATCACCTCTGAGTATAAGTCAGTCGAGTCTGGGAATTTTTCCATGACCATATGACAGAGATGGTGTAAAAGCGTGTGCTTATGAACTGTATCTTTTACTTCTGGAACTTTTGATAAATATTCTATTTGAAATCCTTTTACCTGAAAATTGTTTTTATTTTTGAGAAACTATAATCTTATTCGATATAAGCACATTTTAAAATAGAAAATCGATTGTTCTCACTTCAGATCCATTGAGGAAGATTCCAATCGAAAGAAGAGTTCCTAAAATAGCTTTGAAAGTCTTATTGACTTTAAGCGTTTCCATTCCCTGTTTTAAATCCATTAGAGGGTCTGCTATTTCCTGAAATTTTTAGAAAAAACATTGAGAAGTTGTAAAAATTTTTTTTTATAGTGCACCCACCTTTTCCAGGTTCTCGTAATCGAGTTTAAAAGCCCAGAGCTTTAGACGTGCAGGGAGTTCCGATATTGAAGCTAAAGTCAGAAGAAATTGTTCCGCACTGCCGAGGGGCAATTCAGGATTTGCAGATTGTGCTTCTTGAATTTTCGACCTTTCCTCTTCTGTCGGCAGCATAGTTAACAATTTCTGGTCCAGAAAAAAAATTTTTTTGAATTAAAAAACTTTCTGTCTTGTTTGTTATATATTAAAAAAAATTGAAATAAGCAGTTCCAAACTTGCCTCGATCCCTTCTCTATTCATAATAGTTGCATCCATTTTCAAGATTGCCGTTTTTATTGAACGCGGAGGCGGGAGTTTCGTCATTCCTATGTTAATTGCATTTGATCTCTTGTGGTCTAACACGATCACTTCTTTGTTTTTGTTCATTTCTTGCTGTTTCTGTACAAATAACAGGATAAAGAAAAAAAAGAGAGAAAATATTGGTTAGGATTAAACATAGAAACTGAAAAACAAAAGTAGACAAGCTCAACAATGAAAACGAAACAAAATCAATTTTATAATTGTCAAAAAAATAGAATGTACACAAGAGGAGATTAAAAAAAAAATCATAGTGAGAAGAGGGTACGAAAAAGTATAAAGTTTGAACCTCTTTTGATTTGCGTATTGTAATCCGAAAGCAAACAGTGGAACTATCTCAATGTTAAATTTTTAGATAGTGCAAATATTTCAGCTTGAGAACCATGGGAAATATATTTGAGGTAATAAATAAAAAACAACAAATGATTAGTTTTCCTTTTTTTATCGTTAAATACATTCACAAATAAATGTTTTGTTGCAATTCTTTCTTTGAAGCAAGAAATATCATGCAAAAATAAAATGAAAGACTCACCTCCTAATGATTTTTGGACCCAGTCACCAAAAAGAAGATAAACAAGCAAAATATTAGTATTTAAGGAAAGCATTTTCTCTTTTTTTAAATAGCTAAAACATTTTTTTTATATACAAGTGAAGTCCAAACAAAAATTGTTTTAATTTTTAAGATATTAAAAAAAATGATCTTGTTTGAACTTATCATTAATATGTACAAAATTATTTTATTATTGTCAATGTCTATAAAATTCTGACAAAAATTGTATTCTTAATTATCGCTCAATTGAAATGTGTTTTTAGTATAACTCATGTGAAAATGTGTTATGTAAAATTGTTGTGTTTATGTTAAAAAGAAAATTACAGGAAAAAAAAAATACAAACAGAAATGTTAGTTGTAAATTCATGCTTGATGATTCATGCAAAGTCTACTTTTAAATTCAACACAATTTTCAATTTAAAAAATAATATGAACCCGTTTCATTTCAAAGCAAATCGGAACTACTCTAAACATTCAGATTAATGTTATATCACATTCAGAAGACCTATTTTCTAATGTGTTATTTTTTCTTTTTACAAAAGCACTATTAAAAGTAAATTTGAAATATATTGGCCTGTAAAATAAGTCTATAGCATTTTTAATATTTTAATTTTATTGTGGGCCCGGGATCGGTCTTTGGGAGATGTTAAGCCCCTGATCGTTGGTTGGATACAGGTGAGATTGGTAAAAGATTGTCTATAATAAAAGTAACATCAAGAGCTCCCTCGTGGTATGGTGAGGTTGGGGTCAGGGAGGGTATGGAGGATATAAACAGAGCAGTGAACTAATAGCAAAAGCTAAGGTAAAAAAAAAAATTCTCTCGTTTCAAAATATAGTCATTATTGACACATTCTGAAAAGGGGTTTGTTAAGTTGTTTCTACTGTTGGTTTCGTTCTATATATTTGTATTTTTAAAAATGAAAAAATGATTACCGCAAAGGGAAAACCACGTGTTAGGAAAATTTGTAACGTGTGGTGATGATGCTTTAAAAGATAGAACTGTAAGTGGTCTACTTGGAAGTGGAAATTTTGATTTGTAAGTCAAAAAGCGTTCTAAATCTATGAGAAGAATCACTTGCAAAAAGTGAAAAATAAAGCACTCTAGTCATCCCTCAACCATCGATGATGACCAAATTCAAGCTTAAGTCGTGTCTAATAAATACATTACATGTGCACACACACACACAAAACTAAATTTGTTTACAAGTGCCTGAAATTTTCAATAATCAAAAATGCTACAGACTTATTTTACAACCCGATACAATTTAAATATAAATTTTAAGCCAGTAAATAGAAAACCCGACACTGATTGAAATGATGAAGAAAATAAATTAAAAAAAAAGCTGTGAATAGTGAGGTACTTGACAGGGCTGGAATGATGATAATAATGAGAATAAAAATAAAAAATCAAATTTTTGTGACTCCAAACATTAAACAGGCAGAAATAAACATAGAAAAGCATGCATAAGTTACTAGTCAATGGTTAGATACTGAAATTGAATATATAAGTTTTCTATGTCCTGTTATGTTCCAATTTTGATGTTCTACATAAATAATATTTTAATAAAAAAATCAAAACTAAACTAAAAAAATCAGGTAATATATTTTTACTCCGACCTTCATGTTTTGTTGATGATAGATATTTTTGTTTGTTTTAATGTGAATGATTAAAAAAATATCATTTTCACCTTTGTTATCAGATCTTTAGCCCTAGATTCAAATAAATGTTCCAGTTTTTGTGTGTCGATAGCAACGGTACTTAATTCATCCCAGAGAAGACGTTCATTGCTCATTTTTGCCAATACGATAGGATCATCTCTCACTTCCTAACAATACAAAAACAAAAAAATAAAAAATAATGTTTGAAAAAGGTAATAAGATTGTACCTTCCAAAACAGCTTTAATGTTTTTTTAGTTTTCTTTGATGAAGTTTGATTTAGATTCGGTGCAGGGGGTGGTGGAAGACCACCGATGGACGGAGGTGGGCAGAGTGCGGGTGGAGGGGCGATGATCGGCGGTGGTGGAGGAGGAGCACCGTTACCGATGCCGGCTGGAGCCAATAAATCCCTTTCCTCATCACTAGCGAGGTCTGTAAAGTCCAGGTCGTTCAGATGAAGTGCTCTTGTTGAATTCTCCTTGAGAGAATCCCAGTGAAGTTCAGTCTCCGATTTCTTAATTTCCAAAGGCTGATTTCTAGCCAGGATATCGGCACTTGTTGGACTCCTCGGACAGTCTCCTCTCAATTGCGATTTTGCCAATTCTATTGAAAATTATTTGTACAATTTGTATTTAATTTGAATCTATTGTAGATTTTGGGTACACAGTATTGTTTTACCTTCTTTTGCTTTAGATATTATTCCTTTCATATCTCCAAAAGGGTTTTTAGAATCATCACTCGGGCTGTTCAGCGTATTCGCTAATTTTTGTGTGAGATCTTTCACAGTGCCTTCTCTCATGACAGCGTATCCGTTAGTTTTGCCATCTTCCACATCCACATTTTCCTTAGGATCTGCATTAAGGAATTGAAATGTTCAAATAAAAGTAGTCATACAATTACAATAGAAATTAATAAAGCAGCAAATGTCTATTTCAATTCAAATCAAGTTAAAAACTCTAACCTTTTTTTTCATCCGTCTGAGAGATGAGATCTAATTTTACTCCTTCAAAATTATTATTATTATTATTGTTAATGTTATTAAATTGGTTTTCATATGAAGTGTTGTTGTGATGTTTTGTATCATTGTTATTACTGTCTTCAGAGGGTGAATAGCCATTTGATTGTTCGGAGGGAGAACCGAACCCAGAAATCACAATGGGCAGCCCCTTTGCCTGAGTCTGTTCCCTTATGAAACTTTTTTGCCGCTCGGCTCTTTCTCTCCTCCTTCTCAGACTCGGCGTCATTCCTGCTCCTTCTGCTGTTTGTTAGTTTTTCAAAACCAGAACACAAGCGTTAGGAAAATCAAACAGCCAATTTAAAATCAAACTAAAAATGTTTCTGTATACTTTTCAGTAGCCAAAGTACATTTTGGCTTTGAAATTAAAATCACGATTGAATGAGATCTTACCGTTTAATTTGTAAATATCCTCCGAGGCGATTGGAGACGTTGCGGTTAAAACCTTGGAGGACAGCGACAATGCTATTGGACTATTTCCTGTCGAAAATCTCCTAGATTTCCTTCTATCGACATTACCGTTTGTTAGGCTTTTCCTGTTTATTATAATCTTCCTGTAAAATGAACAACTGTTGAAATACTCTCAGGCACATTTATAATCCAACACTACGAGAACACATTTGATTTATGGCATGTTTAAAAATCTAACTGACCTAATTGTTTCATCTAACTGGCGTAGTGGAGTTCCCTTTTCATCCCCATCTTCGTGATGAAGAACAGCCTCGTAAATTTGAAACTGTCTTAATAGGTCCAAATCAGTTCCTTGTTTTGCCATGAACCTGTGTCGATTGACAAATCGTAAATATAAAATTAAATAAAAATTATGTGAAACTACGTACATTCGAATGATGGATTCCATCCCTTGTTCTTCAATAGCGTCAACCTGGTCATAGTACATATCTTGGTCCGGTAACCCGTTTAAAGTCTTATTAATTAAGGTCATGGAATAGATTAAAAGTTCGGTATCTGCAGCATCGTAGCCCTTCATTAAAGCCATGACGTTGCTCCAAGCTTTAGTCGCTGAAAGTAATTAAATCAATAAACTACATCTATAAAATTAAGAAGATTACTTACTGTGAACATAATCAACAGCTTTGATTGCTTTTACAAGTAGAATGCAGTTAGTCTCAGCATATTCGACGAACACAAGCAACAATTTAAGAGCCGTCTTTACTACTAGTCTGAATTTGGAAGATACAAGGTTGTACAGCCATTGAAGTGTTGCTGGATGCTCAGCCACTCCGTTCATGCCATCTACATAAAGCATGACTTGGCCCAAGGCTATAAATATAAATATCGAATTATTGCAAAGGAAGCAAAATGAAATTTTAAATTTGGGTTAAATATGGTTTTCTAAAAGTTTACCTTCCAACACTCCTTCTTTTACATCTTTGTTAGCATTAAGTTCAATTTACTCTTGTTAATTATAATTGGTTTATATTTTCTTTATTATAGTTTTGTTAATAATTAACATTTACCTCTTAGTATGTAATTTTGATAGTTTTGATCCGCATCAGATCCTACTTTTATGAGACAAGCAAGGCCATCATTTTGGACGAATTCATGCACCAAATCTTTATCTTCCTGCAAAATATATAAAAAAATATATAAAAATATTTGTGGTATTTAATATTAGCATACCTGAAATATTTGCTTAAGGGAAAACAAAGCTCTTCTTAATTCTCTCCCTTCAGAGTTCAACAATTTTTCTGAAATAAAATAAATTTTTTAATGAATTAATGGTAGAAGTTAAAGATTTTTTTTTTTTTGTAAAATTTACTCACCGATTATGGTATGAACCCTCACTGAAAGCTGCGTTCGTAGAACGATTGAATTCTTTCTGCTGAAAATAAAGAATAATTTTTTTAAGTTATACAAGGTATGCCTTTAATTCATAAACATTTTTTTCCCGTTATGCTAGATTACGCTTTTAATAATGCTGTTTTTCTCCAAAACAAGAATGGACTATAAAACTTATTACATTTCAACAAGATTTCTTCAAAATGGATGAATCGAGTAATAACAGAATCCTTACATAAATAAAAAAACTATAGATTTTACAAATATTGTTAATAAGGATATTGGGCACCTGCTCCTGGGCCGTGCAGGTGTCACTTTTATGAGAAAGGAGTGCCACACATAATAGAAGCTCCTTACAGAGAGCATGTAGGCATTTTTTTACCCTTTCCACCACCCCGCCGTACCTGAGGAAGACCCCATACTGGCAGACAAACGCTTTAACTTGATCGAATTTATATATCTAAGGGACTTCAAATAAATCGGATAAAATTACCTCCCAACGATATTTCCTTCAGGCGAAACCCCTGGTCGGTTTTCGAAGGAACAATATTTTCATTTTGAAACCTAAAACAAAAGGTCTTCCCTTGCACATTTACATTTTCTTTTTTATATATTCATATTATCTAAAATTTTCTTACTAAGAAGAGGAAAACAGCCCGGAACCCTAAACCTAAACCTATTTTAATTGTTACAGTAATAAAACTGTAACAATAACAACAATATTTAGGACTTACTAATCAGAATAAATAGGGACTTGTTAATTTAAGCGTAGTTGAGGCAAAACCTTTTAGTGGTGCAAATGATTTGATATCACAGACTAGTTTATGGAGATTAGGCGGCCATTCTGCTGAGGTGATGGTCTTTCGCAAACGAATTTGGTACAGCTGAAGAGTTTATGTTCAGCATCTTCTTCGGTGCTGCAAATGGAGCATAAAGGGCTTTCTGTTTTCTTATATTTATGGAGATAGCTTGTGAAGTTTCCATGTCCTGATGGATTTGGGTGGTCCAGTAGTTGGGGTGTAGCCATTTTGCTTTTTGCCTCCTTTCAATGCTGGGGAAAAATTTGGATGTCAGCCGACCTTTATTGCTGTTTGTCTATCTTTCTAGCCATGATGCCCTTGTTATTTTTCTCAAGTACCCTTTTGCCTCCTTTCCAGTTGTGCTTCGGAACCAGTCTATTTCTCCTTGGTTTGTATCAATTGCCTCATTTTTCTTTTTTTGGTGTATGACCACCCTTTCTTTAAGGACAAGATCTATTGGCGGTGCGTTGGCTATTACTTGTAAGGCGTTGAAATCATCCTGTACCCTTTTGTGGTTCTTATAAGAGCTATTCATTGGCTTTGCTCTATTATAGCTTTGCTTTTGCTCGGTAGTCGTTTGACCCATCCGGCTGCACCATAACTGGTATTGGGAGGAGGACACTTTTATAGATTGTGGAGAGCGCTTTTGTGCTAAGTCCATATTCCACTTTCGCTATTCCGTTCAATATATTGTACACACTTCTTGTTGTTTCCCTTATTTTAATAGCGTGGTGTACCGGGTCCAGGTTATCACCTAATATTACTCCCAAGTACTTGACTTGATCGCTTGGCTTTACTCATTTTCCCTCTATCCGGATGTATGGGAGAGCATGTAGGCATCTTGCCGAATTTAAGAATGGTTCTTGGGCAAGGTAGCTCCTGCTTTCTGGAGGACATTAAAAAAAAATATTGTACATAAATGTGTTTTGCTTGAGTACATGTATTTATTAGCGTGAGTGGTGAGGGGTTTAGTGTCGATGATAGAATATTTATAAAGTACCCCATCACCCCTAATTTAGATTAGATTATTAATATTGTGTGACAATCGATGGAGGCATATCGAGTACTCCACTGATTAATCAGAATGAGTACAATATACATACGTGTGCAAGTATTTATTAGTGTGACTGTGTTATTGAAATTAGTTAGTTTTAGGCTAAATTATAGTTGGGGGCTGAAATGACCTAGCTGTCAAAACCTCCATTGGTACTTAACAAGTGATGACCTCATGGGCACTAGCTTAAGTGAGATAATAGCAAGCATAATGGGCTATGTTAATTCCCCTGAGGTATAGACACTACGGTCAGCACATCGAGGAGCGACAACTCTTTGGGGGGGGGAGTACATTAAAATTATTTATTGTAATTGTAATATATATATATGTGTGTGTAACAGTACTAGAAGATAACATATCAAGAAGACAAGTTAAATTACATGACTAATTGTCAATGATAGCACCAAGAAGATATGAACATATCCATTTATTGGAAGCATAAAGCTTATAAAAGTTACATTATAAAATTTCGTAACACAAAATGAACTAAAAAAATTATGATTGTTTCTTAGATGATGAAATTTTATATGCAATAAGAAAATTTAAATTGTCGTGTACACTCATGGGGTGGATTCCGACTCAAATAACTCTGAATGCCCAGTGGGTATAAAAAGAACAGCGATGAATGGAAAATCTTGTGGATTGAAACACATGAAATTAATTTAAATTAAAAGAAGAAATAAGAGGACTGCGTCATACCATGTTGCACACAGGTCACACCAGGATCAAACATGAGCACCTTCTAATGGGATTTTGTGCACAATAGATCAATACTGTTTATGCTGCATAGGTAGTAAAGAGGCTGGTGTTTATCTTCTAACAGGGAATGGGACATGAGGCCTGAATGTAATTTATTAGCATGAATGAAGGGGCATTTTCTGTAATCATTCTGAGGAATATTGAATACTCTACAGCAGTGTGAATGTAATTTATTAGCATGAATGAAGAGGCTTTTCCTCAATCAGCCCAAGTAATATCGAGTAGCCTGGGGCACTCTGAATGTATTTATTACTGAATAGAGGGATTTCTTCCCCAATTGTTCCGATGAATATCGAGTACTCTGGGGCAGTGGGAATGTAATTTATTAGCGCGAATGGAAGTGCCCATATTACCCTAAGTAATATGGATTAGTTTGTAACTTTTAGCGTGAATGAAGAGGCTTTTCCTCAATCACCCTAAGTAATTCGACAGTCTAGGGCATTCAGAATGTAATTTATTAGCATGAATGAAGGGACTTCTTCCCCAGTTACTCCAAGAAATATCAAGTACTCTGGCATAGTGTTGTGAATGAAGAATGACATGTGTGAATGTAATTTATTACCGTGAAATAAGTGATTTGTGCACTATGGTAGATTAACTTGGTTTTAAATGTATATATTTTCATTATATCTGTAAAGTTTATGTGTTTTTTTGATGTATATTTTTTTAATTGACTGATGTCTGAAGAGGCCGTGAGGTAGGAGAAAGGCCAGCTTATAGAGATGAGAGAGTGGTTATCTTAAGACCCAAAGCATAACTGATGTAAATATATCTTAGTTAAAGAGTATAAATAGGAGAAGTAAATAAAATAATAGCAAAAAGGAACAAGCAAAATTTAAATCCTCAATCCATCCAGTTGGTGAAGTTAAGGGGCGAGTTGCTTAACTTGAACTACAAACCGTACCAATCTTCAGAACGAGAAGAATGCCGTCTTTGTAACTTGCAAACAAGGGAGGACATTTTCCATTTTATAGCAGTTTGCCCTATTCTTTCTGAATATAGAAGATTGTTCTTCAGCTGCAGTGTATTCACAAGAAATTAATTTTTAAGTTTGTTAAATGGATCCAATTGGTCCAGGGGCCTGATGTATAGGAAGGATTGTGTTGAATGTTAACATGTTATTAATTTTTTTTATTTTTGTGTGTACACTTATTTCCCTTCTTACTTATATTCTTGTTTATCCTTATTTCTTCTACTTAATCTATTTTTATTGGGTTTATTGCATTTAACTAATTCGTTATATTAGTTTCTATTTAGTTATTTATTTTAGTTCAGGAAAATTTATACTTTTGTTAACTATTTACAATAATTTATAATCAGAGGGTTTATATTATTTTACAGTGTATAAAATTATTTATATATTTTACTTTATTCAGTTATTATTATTATCATCATTATTACTGTTACTACTATGTTCTCGCCACCTTCAAGCGATGGAGTATTCATGTCGTTATTTTTTTATTGAGTACATTTATTTTCACATTATTATAATATTGCTTATAAATTTAATAAACTTTATTATTATTAATACCGAAGAAGAAAAGGGCTACCGTGTTAAATGTCAAATAAAAAATTTTGTTTTATGGAAAAATCATAATGATTTTATCAGTATTGTTCCTGGAGTGGTCTTCTTCAGTAAATTCTTCCTTATTAGAGTTTCTTGTTGAAAAGTTTTATTGTGGACGTTTTATCCTTTTCGTTTTCTTACTGTCAAATGACAACCCTTTTTGTAGAAATTCCAGGCAAAATGCGATCCTACTTTGTGACTTGACGCTAAGGTGACTTGACGAGAAAAGCCATTTCTTTTATTGTTTTCCACACTTCGGTTCAGTGACTGTGAAAACGGGCCGGGGGGAAAAAAAATCAATTCAACCATTTTTATCAAGTAGAAAAACGACCTCGGAAACCTCGATAATGTACCATATATGTCATAATGTAACCGTAAGGAAAAAGGAATGACACACAATACACAAGAGAGGATTATTGAATCCGTTCCGATCCGGATGAAGAATGAAGAATTACACAAGGGACCATTCAACGACCTACGACTACGGCGGGCTTACGACAAAGGACTTTTCATACACAAAGCCGTCAATTAGTGCTTTAAAGTTCTGTTTTAGAAGGATAAGTTCTTCGTAGCCCGCATTCTACAAAAGTCTCATTACTATTCAAACCGTCTACGTACACTTTTACTTTTTTCCCCCTTTTACATACTTTTCTATTCACGTTGCATATAAAACAGATGTGTCTGTGTTCTTATCTCTCTTACTTTCTTTTCCATCTCATTGTTCTATGAGTACAAGCTCCGCTTTTACTCAGTTAACACCCGGCCAAAATCTATGCTTTACCCTAAAATGCTATTTTGTCTCATAAAAAATTACGTGTGATCCTCAAATTATAAAATATAATTTCAATCAGAGACATTCTGCTTAATTGATTTTGCCTTTGAGCCCCTCCTTTTTATGATTATACGGCGTTATAATTACGCCTGTAGTTATTGAATGAGTTCTTTAATCGTCAGTTGCCAAGGACTTCCTTTGTTAACAAATGAAAAGGGAACGAGGTTGAAATATTTTGTTTAAATTTCAGTAATGATTAATAATTTCACTTGAACCGCAAGCTGGTAAATAGTCAATATTAAACCGGTGTGCTGAAAAGAATTTTAAAAATTTAAAAATTCCCCCAGAAAAACGCCAAACGTTAATCTTAACAGGTGCGATCGGAAGGTATTATTAAACTAGAGGGCAAATCAATCAAGCCGAGCACTAAAGTGATATACTTGGGGGGGTGGAAAATAGGCAAAAAGCTCAGATCATCTAATAAAGTTGAGAGAAAAAAACAATATGCACATAGTACTAAAATCGGACGCCTTATAATCCTTAACTAACCTAATTGTGGGTCGATGGGGTAAACATTTCGCCATAGGTCCTCTCACACTACAGTCTCGCTAATAAATACATTCACTCTCGAGAAACGCTAGATAAGACAAACTATCAGTGTTATATAGAATAAAACAATCATATTTCAAATTGGTCAAGCGGACTACGAAAACTAGTGAATTGAATAAGTTAAAATGAAGTATATCTTCACTGAAGCTCTCCGTGGCCATTTCAATTGTCGCCGAGAATCAAATAGATTACATGATATTTGAAAAATGGCAAAAAGGAGGGAAAATTCAAAAGGTGGGGTTGAGATGGGAAGTTAGCGTCCGAGAGGATCGAAGTCACGATAGCTCAGGTGGTAGAGTAGCGGTGAATCTAGCCGAAGGTCGTGGGTTCGAATCCCGCTCATAACATTGACTTTTTTATCTCAACTAAAAACCTGAATTAATTGCCAGATATTAATTGGTCAAGCGGACCACGAAAAGTAGTGAATTGAATTGTTATTTTTGTCTGTATCACTTTTACTCTATATCCTTTCGATAATAATCTTCTACTTTCCGACGACGAAGTTATTCTTTAGTTATTTTGAGTTTATATTTTTTTTGCTGTATTTTACCCCAATTGACTCGTTGGATTTTTGATTTGTGCCGTGACAACTTTTATACCAGAATTTAAAAAGCCAGTGGTGCTTTCGTTTCTTGTCCGACGTCGTGCAAAGATTTGTGTCTGAAAATTATTGTCATAGTGAAATTCAATATTTTATTAAATGCGCGTTATTTTAGGAAAATCGAGAAGTGATGAGACGGCGGAACGAGACCGCGAGCACTTTTTTGATGAACGGTCAATACACTGACCGTCCAAAGTTCGCATGGAAATATCGCCTGGAAAATGTGCCTGGAATGGCGGATTAAAATTGTTCCCGTGTTATAAAACCGGAGTAGATTTTTTTTTGTCAGATGTAGAGGCTAAGCCGTGGAATCGCTAATGCGCCTCTAGACGTTGTTTGCGTTCAAGGAACTAGCTCTAATTAGGATTGATAGCTCTCATGAATATAAACCGATGAATATCTAATCATTCAAGGACTACATCATTCGATTCGATAATTCACATTACTTCATTGAGAATTGATCAGGGTCGTAAATATAATATTTTTTCAAGAAGCTAGGAAAATAGGATAAATGTTGCGCTCAGAAATTTTAATGTTTATAATTTCTATAATGATTTTGTTCGGCATGCAGAGAAAGGTAGCTCGATGTGTCTCACTTGATTGAGGGGTACAGTTCCTTGCCTCCATATAGGGAGCGTGTAGTTCTTGCCTGAGCATCGAGTATTTGAATCCCCAGTTCTGATTCTTGGATTAAATAGGGTTGTTTTATTGTATATATTACTGATAGTTTTGCATCCTTAGTTTGTGTTGAGAGTGAATGTATTTAATAGCGTGAATTGTGAGAGGGTTGATGGCGGTATATCGAGTACGCCACCACCCTAACCGAATGATATGTAAGAAAGAAGGTATTTAAGAGTGAGTGAAAAATCCAAAGCCAGTATTTATCTTCTAAATCAATGATAATAATCAATTATAATTTAGAAAAATGAAAAATAAGAAAGGAAACAAATAAAAACATTCGTGAGCTCTATTCAAAGTAACAATAACTCTTTTTCCCTCTGAATTGTAATAGATAGTTTTGTTTAAACCTGTAATCTTTTTCCTCCTTTGTAGATACCTAAAATTGTGTATTGTTAAAATAGGACACACACGACGTATAATCAACCGTCTTATTATATTTTGTCTGTTGTGAACTTTGATCGGATAAGACCTCAGGATGCACTTTAGAATCGCCGGTTAAACTCGAAAAATATTACGATCCGGTGTTGAAAACCGGCATCCTTTTTTCTTATGCCTCGAGGACTCGACAGAATTGCACGGGAAACGGCGTAAGTATAGTCGTACCTCAAACAACGCAGAAACCGAATAAAATACATAGTTTAATGTAACACCTTTACTGATTTCTCCCTAACCATTTATCTTGATTCAAATCCTGCGGTGATAATAACCCTGGACAAAATAGGCAAACTTTTCATCTGCCATGACTGTTTCATCGGTCATCATTTTTTCTTTTGAAGAACATAAACCATGTTACATGTCATATGATAGCTATTATACTTCTAATTTGTTAGTTGGGATGTGTCATAGCAGGATATCAGCAGAGGGTCTAAATCGTCCCCATGCCTCTCTGTACAATCGCACGGCGTTCATCTAACAATAAGATCGTCTATACGGGGGTACTAGTAATAAACTAGAAAATTAAAAAATACCATGTATCAGGCTCATGCATTCTCTTCCATAGGTGGTAGATTGGATTCTCCATAATTTTCAAGTAAAAAAGCATGGGGATGGTTTGTGTTTGGCACAGAGGTCTCATATTTAAACGTCTATCATTTTCCAAACTACCTAACACGTTCAATTAAATTACGTAACCAATAGGAAATCCTTTGTACAGTTTGATGGCATAAGGTCACCTTTAAGAAACATAAAAGCTGTGGTCCCACAAGGTTCTGTTCTTGAACCAACCCTAACATCTATATAAATGACCTTTGCAAGCTTAAAACTACAGCCCAACTGGCTCTTTTTGCTGTTGAAACGGCCTTTATTAGAGCATCCTACAGGGCTGATTCTATCTGCAGAGAATTGTGAGTAATTAGATAGTTGGTTGAAATATTTAAAAAAAATGGAGATTCAGACTTAATGGTAGAAATATTGAAGTAGTACTGTTTACTCGACTCAGAACATGCATTGTCAATCATGTCAAAATCATGTCGCCAATACCATGGGCTAAGAATGTTAAAAACATTGTTAAAATAAAATAAAAAAGTAATATATGTTAAATACCTTGGAATGTATCTGAATTCCATATTAGTTACACATAAAAAAAATGCTCAAAAGCATGGATCAACTTATGGAGCCGTTACCCGGTCTTTAATAAGCGTTCTTGGGCAGTAAAAATAAAAACTTATGAACTATACATCCATTAATAACTATGGTGCCCCCACTTGGTGAAATATGTTTAAATCCAATTGTGCTAAGCTCCAGGTAGTCGAATGCTGCTCTAAGAATTATTAGCTGAAGGGCATCCTAGCCAGTATCTAAGACATTATCTTAAAATCATAGGTAAGCAATATCCTCTATGTATCCTAAGCTGGCGTCCCACAAGGGAGCATTCTTGGACCTCTTCTTTACATTTCTATTCTTTCAGAAACAATTCTCTCCACTTTTGCTGACGAGACAGCAATCCTTTCCCCGCATAAAGATCTAGCCACTGCGTACAGAAACCTTCAAAATCATTTGCATGCCTCGTCGTTTTGTCCAAAAAGTGGAGTATTAAAATAAATGCGACGAAGGGCCAATACATTAACTTCACCCTCATACATATTACATTACCACGTGTTCACTTTAACGAGATTTCACCATCCCCTGACGAACACGTACGTTCCTTGGGGTTCCAACTGGACAAACGACTAAAACGAAATGAACTAAACAGACATTACAAACTGTTATCACCATCACTCAACAGGCGATCCAAACTTCCACTTAACTACAAAAGATTAATATACACTATGGTGCTCAAGCCTTATGGACTTAGGGTATCTAACTCTGGGGGTCAACCAAGCATCCCAGCGCCCAACGGATCCTTTAAAAAAACTGTTAATCCCAGTTATGTATCAAACCTCACATACACCGAGGACTTAATATCATCTTTGTTCCAGAAGTAGCGAAAACCTATGTAAAAATTAGTCATTCATCCTAATGCCTTGGTCCATCAGCTCAGCTCCACTACCATCCCAGATAAACCCTGAGTCACCCATGGCCACACGATTCCATAACTACAAAGAAAATTACAAACTGGGCATTATTTATTTTTTCTAAAGGAATCTCACCACTGGGTGATTTCTCCTCACATGTTTTTAATTTCAATTTTGCTCTTACAGCATTTTTACCGTTTTACAGATGTAAAAATCAATAGAAAAAGAAAAATAATTATTGGAGGGATTCCATGTTGGACTCTCATAGTCACACCCTAAAGATGCCTGGATTACAACCCACTTCTATAGAGAAAATGCAATTTTTGATATGATTAGGGATGACTTGAACTACCGTAAATAAGGATAAAAGACACATATTGAAAAATAATGAACACGTGTAAAAAGGAAAGTCTACTAATGTACCTGGTTTAACCTAACCTATGCGTAAATAGATATTAAGTACAGCTTCTATTAAGTCTTAATATTTGAAATACTAACTTTTCGGTTCTTTTCATTCATGTGAAAATAATTTTTTTCTGTTAATAAAGCAAGCATTTATGCTTATTATCTTACGAAATTTATTTTTCAATGAAAGTAGCTCAGTATTTAAAAGTGTTTTTAATGATTTAGATTTATTCCGAAGGGCTGTTTCTTTTCCTGGGTGTGTTCTTTTATCCGTCGCATTTTTGTGCATTCTCGATGTCGCTAGTCGAGACGAAGGCAGGAGACGCCTTCGCGGCTGTCTGAATTTCGCCGGCCGTCATTATATTTTTTTTAATCAGCCCTTGGAAGAGCTGTTCTCGGGAGTTGCCGATGAAGGAAGACCTGAGGAAAGCCGGGAAGCCCCTGAAGCCGTCCGACATCGTGTAAAGAGGTACTCTTACAATCCCCATGACTTCGTTGCCGTATTCCAAAGAGTTGATGGTCTTCTTTTCCAGTACTGACATCTTTTTCTCGGACAGTTTTTTGACGTAGAAGTAGAGAAGGAGGTTCTTATCTTTGCTGAAATGGATGCAGCAGAGATCGTCGTCTTCGAGCACGACTTCACCGGGGTGAAGACCCGCTTCTTCTACCAGTTCGCGATTCACCGCGTCTTCCGGCGTCTCTCCCGGGTCTACGACGCCTCCGGGGAAGCCCAGGTGGCCGTCGAACCTCAACTGCATGAATATTATCGCTTTCGGGTTGTACACTTTCAAAATGGGGGTTATCGATTCCGCGTACAACATGCAGTGGGACGCCTGTGTACAATTCCTGTATTTTCCTTCGTTCAGTTCGGCCGGTTGGACCTGCTTGTATTCCCCGGGCCGCGTGGAGAGGCCCAGTTCGTCTTCGAACTGACACTCCTTGTGGAATAACATCCCTTCCTTTTCTGTCCTAGCTCCTGTTCCACTCGATTGTGTTAAAAGATCCATTTTCGTCGTGGTTGTGTTTTTCAACATATGGCAAACTCGGGCGAAATAAAACGATTTCTTCGAAAAAATAAAATTTTCAACGCACTACTACTTACTTGGAGTTAAAAGAATCGAATTCCTCTTGCTGTTCGTTGATAGAAGCGTCCAGATCGAGGTAAGAACCATAATCGCCGTCTTTGTAGAGTTGGAGCGCAGTATCGTCCAGCTGTAAAAAAATAAAAAAAAATAAAATCGATACAAATAAACACCTCGTCCCAGATATTAAAGAGTTATTTTAAAATAAAAATCCGCCTAAATGTTCTCCAATCGAATAAGTTCTAAAAGACAAATAACAGCCGTGAACTTTAATTTAAAGAATTGAGATAAGGTAAAGCGGTCTAGAGGAAAGCCGAGGTTTACAGCACGATAAAATAAAACTAATGGAGGTATGTAAATGTATTTACTTTACATTTCGTAACCTCGTAATTTATCACATTCACCAGTGGGAGGGATCTTGTCGGTTTAAAAAAAAGTCAAGATAACAGAATCTACAAGACTTGTGCGGTCATCGGGCTAATCGTGAAAAAAGAGATAGAGGACTTCAATGCCTGTTCCTTAAAAATTTTGAATAAGGGAAAAATGGGGAACAACTAATTCCTTTTTTTATATATATTTTGAACTGCATGCTTCGACGCAACAAGTAAACATGATCCAGTGATGGTAGCCGTTAGTACACCAATACGATGAGCGAGATGACTCCGTCCTAGTGTTAAGGCTGTTGCGGGGCCACCGACGATTCAATCTTATGTTGGGATTATTAGGTAATGTGGTGGATGATAGGTTTTTGACGAAAGGGTTCGGATGATGGGGTAGTTTGGATGGTCATGGTTTGTAAACAAATTGTACCTTAGCTGGAGGGTACCGGCCAACCGGAGCTGGAGATACAGTGCCTTCTCTATCTCTCCGGGGGTGGTGAAAGGCATGGCTAAAAGGGTGTGCTGGAAACCACAAAACTGCCTTTTTTAAGGCACATGCACGGATGTGCCCTTTTTAGGGCATTTCGGAACTTGGTTAGTGTTGCACTACCTCGCTAGCCAAGGGATGAGACAAGTCCATGCATGTAAAATCTTCCTGGTGTTCTTTCGAGAACACTAGGCGTCTGAGAAGTCCCCTTGGGGATAAGTCCGGACGTTAAAGATCCTCATGGGTCTCAACACCCAGGAGTAAGATGGGGTAGTTTCGAATGGAACGTTTTGTAGCGGGATTGGGCTAGCTCGGTAACAAGAGGGACATTGATTATTGTTCTGAGGATTTTGGATTGAAGGGATTGGATTCGATTGAGGTAGGAACGCCAAGCAGTCCCGTAAAGTTCAAATCCGTATGTCCAAATGGGGGCCGGGGTGGCAATGTAAAGTTTTCTTTTGTTTGTCAGTTTTGATCGTCTGTCGAGTAGACGTTTAAGCATGAAAAATCGTATGTTGCAGTCTGTGCGCTTAAGTCGTGTATGGGGGTTCAACGTCAGTCGTCCAGGTAGAGTCCGAGGTATCGTACATGGTTCGCAATTGGGATGGGAACATTGTTGAGGTATACTGATGGGAGCGTTTTCTTTAGGGTAAATATTATGTTTGTTGATTTGGTTTCGTTGATCTTGATTCTCCACTGACGGAGTCAGCATTTTAGGATGTGTAGGTGATTTTGGAGATTACGGGATTGCGGTATCATCAGCAAAGGTGAAGGTGATAGTGTTAGGTTGCGCAGGTAGGCCGGAGGTATAAATTGAATAAAGGAAAGGAGCGAGTACGCTGCACTGTGGGACACAACTAATTTCTGGGTTTATAAATGCGTATTAAAAAAAAATTATTGCTAACTGTGCAAAATATACATTGATCATATAGTGTAGTTGTATACAAATCTGATAGATCTGCCATGCCAAGAGGCAAGTGTGGTGGGCAACCAGCCAGTACTGGAACTATTATTTAGTTAGGGCTAGGGTAGTCTAGGAGTTTTTGAGGGCGATTTAAACAGCACATGGTTATAAGGGTTGGACGTTTAGTCGGTTGAGGTGGTGCGATAGTTTAGAGTGATTGAGGAAGCGTGTTCGGATCAGATCCTTCACGAATTTTAAAGTCTTTATGGATCATTTGATTGACGTAGAAGTTTTTGACAGGATCTGGTTTTTGACTCATGAGTAAACTAAGAGGGATGTAGAAAGGATGTAGTGACCAGCAGTATTAATTCTAGAACTGAAGGATGTGGTGGACCATTTTTAGAATTAAAACAGTATGCTAATGTTATCGGATCCTATTTAACTGAAAGTCCTTTTAGAGTTAAACTAGAAGATGAATATTATTTCTTGAAAAAACAAACAAACAACGGAAGTACCCCAAGGGAACATATTAGGTCCATTACTTTACATGCTATACACTAGGGAATCATCTACATAGTTAACATAAAAAATTGCAATATTTGAAGACGATGCAACAGTGATTTCATTAGTAACGTCAATCATTCTGGTCAAAACCTTCAAAAGGCTTGCAACAAAATAAATCAGTGCACAAAAAATGAAGTATCAAGCTCAATCAGTCATAACATATTTACTTCAGAAATAAAAAACTGATCATATTTGGCATCGATGGAGCTACACACAGTGGTACTGCTATAATATTTGGGCATAGATTGTCGTAGAAGGGAGGCGGAGAACTTTAAATTGAAAGGATTGTTCCATGCAAGTCTGCTATGTAAGTAAAGTCCAAGGTAGCGGACTTGGTTGGATGGTGGTATTACTTTGTTACTTATGTGCACTGGTGGGCAGGTTTGCCGTTTGAGGTTGATTGTTATTGGTTGGCTATTTTGCTCGTTCAACCTGATCCGCCACCGAGTCAATAATGAGGATTAGATGTTGGATTTCTTCTGTGGCTAGGATAGGACTGGGGTGTCATCCAGGTAGTGAGTTAAGATGTGTAGGTATGTTATGTAGATGGTATGGAGGATTGGACCTAGGATACTTCCTTGTAGAACGCTAGCTAGCTATAGCTGATGGGTTAAAAATCGGTGCCGATTCTCAATTTAAACCATCGATTCAAGAGGACGGATTTCAGGATGAAGGAGGGTCCGCTTTAACTTGTAAAGGAGGCTGGGATGCCACACACGGAATTATTCCGTAACGTCTAGAAATACGTTTGAACAATGTTTGTTTTCTAGAGCCGAGGATATGTGGATGGACTTCTCTGCTGAACAATAGGATATAGAGGTCAAAATCCAAAGTGATGTAATACGTATAAAGGAAATCACAGGACTTGGTATCTTTGATAATAATTAATTACTTTGTATCTGGCACTTCAGTTATGCACGTTCATGTGTTTATACATTTCACATGCCACTTTCGTTTCTACCTTCACGGAGAGCTTTGTGGATTTATCATTGAGAAATGGAAGCCAAGGATTAGAGTGAATAGCAAGCGTTTCAAAGCCCTTTTATAAAAGAAATGTATAGTGTTTTATTTGTCGAAGGGGTGTTGGTGAATACAGGAAAAAATTTGGACGGAAATGTTGTTAACTGCCTTTAAGAACTATCTGAAATCCAAATGATCAGTATTCGTCCTGGTATAAACGACAAATTTGTGACACTTGGTACCATATACAATACTGCTGAACAGCCGATACATTTTAACTATCCTTACGGACTTCGCAATTTGCCTCCTAACTCCAAACCTACCCAAGCCACTTCCAATTACCAGGAGCATCTTGAGCTCATTGAAGAATGGTGCGAAACGTGAAAAATGAACCAAAAATTAAGTTCACGGTAAACAACAGTCTTGCTCACGCCCATAACTTAACAGTAAAGAACTACCGACATACTTAGTAGACTGACGTGGAGTCTTCACACAAGACTCAAGCGACAAGAACTAATTAGACGATTGGGACAACTACGAAGAAATTAGACATGACGTTAAAGAACAGCTCTGTACAAAACACTACTTCGACCTATTTGGAAATACGGTGCGGAACTGTGGGGGTTCCACCGGGCCATCTGACATCCAACAAATGCAAGCATTCCAATCAAAAGTCCACAGAAGAAACCTCTAAACTCCTTACTATAACTACACATCACTATACACAATGACCTTCGTCAAAGAATTGATCCAAATGTGCGAACCACTTCCTCCCATCTCAAGAAACCTCCAAGTCCCTTCCTCGCCTGAACCCGATGGTATGGTATGGTGGAAGGGATGCCGGGAAGCGGGGCTTGTATTCCCCAGGCACTGCAGCCTTCTGGCTTATTGTACCTTCCCAGTTCCCTAGTTTAGTCAATAGACTCAATCCTTCTTCTCAGAAGTATCAGGTCATTGACTGTTATTGCTGCAATTTGGTTCCCTGAGTCTTTTTCCTACGTTAGGTTAAACCTCCATTGAGCTGTTGCTTCGCATTCGAAGATGATATGAGTGGCTGTTTCCTCCTCCTCATTACATAATCTGCAAATGGGGTCATCGCTGTATATACCCATGTTGTGTAGATGTTTTCTCAGATACCAGTGACCGGTTAGTAGTCCCACCACTCCTTTGAGTTTTGCCCTCTCCAATTGCAGCAGTGTTTTTGCCAATTTTGGTGAGGGTTGTTTCAGCATAAGTTTACTATGTCTAGCACCGCTAGAGTTTATCCACTTCCCTCTTTGTTTTGTTTGGATCCATTCTGCGATGGAGGATTCTATGTTTGTTTTTGTTATCCCAAGGATAGGTTCGGGGCCTATGTATGGTCTTGCAGATCCTCCTGAACCCGATAACAAACTGAGAGTGAGTACAGCATTGGCTCGCTTCTCATACCACGTGTCCTCCGAGTGCAGTACTGGCCCAAGCGTTAGCGTTTTGCCCGAGATTTTATACCGTTAAGAACAATTTTTAATTTATATAATTCACGTTCAGGATACAAATAAATATAAAAACAAGTTTCAAGAAGGGCAAATTGCCTTCAATTGGGTTGTTCTGATGCTAATAGTTTAAAACTTTTTTTTCCAGGGCAAGTCATTCTCCCTCGAGTAGGTCAAACGCATTGTCCGACTGGGGCGGAAGGAAGGGAAATAATTGCGGTCGAGGGTGGAAGAGGTTGATCACTGAAACTGATAAAGTGGAAAGGTCCCGGTGTAATTGTGGGAAACGAGTTTCAGTTCGGTCATCTCCCACGACGTCTCAGGATCCATAATTAATTGGATGACTCGGCCGTGTCCGGCTCG